TTAAGATATTAGCCATTAAAGATGTTACGACTTTTGTGTAAGGAATGATTAGTGTTTAATCCTGCTGTAAAAATTGCTGTTTTTGGAAGAGTGTCAATGGGGCTCCCTTCGCTTTTGAACCCAGCCCCCAAGTGGACACTCAAGGAATTGCAGCGTTAGTGGTTGCTCAAACAAACACTTTTTCCTCATGGGCCACACACTTCTCCAAAAGTTATACATCTCAGTTATTGCTGTTTATTTAGATAAGAAAAAGAAAATTTAAAAGCTGACAAAAACATCCTCATTAAAAATGATATTAAAGGTTCTTATGAAAGAGGATTAGGGCCACAAGAAGAGAAAAAAATAATTACAGGAGGGAGATTTTTTATATATATTTCTGTTTCGAGATTGAAATCCAGATTTAAAAAAAGTCGAAATTTTGTCTTTATTCATGTTGACTTTAATATCGAAATGTCAACTTTAATCTGAAAATTTCACTTTTTTTGATCTCATAATTTCGATATTTTTCATGACATTGCGACATTTTGTAATCTCGAAATTTGACTTTAATCTCAAAATTTCAATTTTTGATCTCGAAATTTCGACTTTATTGACATAATTTCTATTTTTTTATGTTGAAATTTCGACTTAAATCCCCTTCCTGTAATAATTTTTTTATCTCGTCATGTGGCCCTAATCCTCTTTCGTGGGTTCTAATACAGATCCTTGTCGCACACCACATTTTAAATTAAATTAACTGGTCAACCTTTTTAACATGTCACCTTTTTTTTTTTAGCTTTTTCTAGCTAAGCAAAAATAATTGTATGGTTGACAGGTCCAAAATCAGCTTAGTGCATAATAATTATTTGTAGCTGCCATTATGTTTGACACACTGTTTTATCAATAGATCCCAAGGCTCATTTAAAGAGGCCTTGTAAATATTGACACATAACGATCATGTTACTTGGTAATATTTGAACTTAAATCTTAAGTTTGATCATTTCTTTACTGGTAGTTAAACTCTTTATGTTTTTGAGTAACTTTTTCCCTGAGTAAGGTTTTTAAAGAACAGCTTTGCCCAGTGAGAAGGAGCTGCTAGCTTACAAATGTACGCTGTCAAAGTCGCTTTGCCACTCGAGTTAACACACATTGAAAAGACAATTATCATTTGTCATGTGTCTAATGTATCATAAAGTCAATTAACTGTATTTTCACAGTAGTTTAAATGGAGGAAATGCAGATATTTTCCATTATGGGACCAGCCAAGGTTTATATGTTTCAAGACAGAAATCATTGACATGAAAAACATTTGTCACATCTAAATGAATCGAGATAAAGTCAACAGCTGAGGGGAAAGTAAACCCTGTTCAGCTCTGCCAGAGTTTTTTTTTTTTTACTGCCATTTACTGCCAGTGTCCCTGCAGCAGAATGCCATACTGTATGACTCAGAGGTCAGAGGTCACAGCAGGTTTGCATTGTATCAAGCGGCAAACACACCCTGACACATGTTACAGATGTATCCTCCACTTTTCAGCACCGATACATCTACATTTACGTCAAGGGAAGGAGCAGAAATTCAAGTTCGGGCCAAACAGGGCGGATAATCACAACCAGGCCGGTTCTCGCTGCGAGATCGAGCGAGAAGGCTCGAGACGACGAGGATCAAAGACGAGGAATAATCAGAAGATGTAGCTCGCTTGGTGTTTAGCGACGGGGTTAACTGGACTGAAGTGCGTAGATTTAAGGCCAGGGCAGCAAATCTGGGCACTTTTCTTAGCGTTGGTCGGGGTGGGGTCGGGCGGGAGGCGAGCGAGTCTGCAGGATTGAGATAAATTCAGAAGGGAGTTGAAGGGAAGTGCTCTCACATCACTTCCGGTCTTTGTTTGAGCCGCTATTTTCAAGGCTTGGAATGTAGTTCCTGTCAGGAGGTGAAGGAATTCAAAACAAGTTCATTAACTCTACGTAGGGGAGCACTGAGGTGGGAAAGGGTGTGTATGCATTGTGTTTGTGAATGAATGCTTTTGTGAAGAAGAATCGACAACAAAGAGTGTTTCAATTATCTTTTAGGCTTTATTTTTTGGGGGGGTTCAGTAACAAAACTTATTTGACACATGTGCAGGCTGTTTCTTAGTTACTTAGTGTTTTGTGTCGTGTGTCCAAGGGTCTGTGGGAGAATGAGAAAAACTCAAGCACCACACCCTCCTCACATCCTGTGGCAGGCCTGTCCTTGTGTGTCTCAGGCTGGGGTCCAGAGACATACCAAAGCCCTGCAGTCCCAGATCTCTGACATAAACACTGAGCCAGAAAAGGAAGTCTGTGTGTGATTGTGCTGATGTGTGTAATAATAGTGATAGAGATGTCTTTGCAGTTCGCTACTGTTATCTCTGTGCGAAAAATTGACTCTACGTTAAACCTCCTGCAAAATTGGGTTGATGCTAGTTTCCTACTATAGCCGATGTATTGCTTTTAAATACAAACGTTTCTATGTTGATACTTGCCCAGAAAGGTGAGGTAAAAGGACACCACCCGCTGCAGTTATAATGACAAACCACTAACTGTCTGATATACCCAAATAAAGCTAAAATGCACCCAAGACGTCTAATGACACATCATGCTGGTGTGACGTTTGGAGTCTCCACTGTAAGATCTATGCTGAAAGCCGTGGTGTTGACATCTAGCTGCTTCTGCAAACCAAAACATACAGTGTTCAGCATTAATGAGTACACCCCTTCAGAGTTGTCAGAAAACCTTTAGTTTCCTTTCAAAATCAACATTTTCCATGTCAGACTATACAACAAAACACTTCCCAAATGTAGGCCATTGATTGCAAACAAGATTTTTTTAAGTTGCATCCAAAAAAGTATTATATTTTACTATTATTATTATTTTATTAAAAACCAGGATGCAAATATGAGTACACCCCAACCAAAGTTCTGGGAGCAAAGCTAAATTTTAGTCACCATATCACCCTTATTTTCATCTTATGGTAAATAAAATGGTATGTTGAACTCAGCTTTGTGAAAACTTTGGAAAATTGTACTTTTGCTCATCTGGATATTGAGTAATACATTACTTTTAATAGGGGGTGGACTGACTAATGCTGGGCACTGTACATATCAGTACGCTTACATGTTAAAAATATCCATTTAATGATTAAACCTGACTGAAACTAAACTTTTAAAATGCATATAAACATGTCAGTCTGAATGAAATCGCACTCAATCAAACTTCGGTAGTTGGACTAACATACCTAAATGATGCATTTGGGAACTGAATATAGTGATTAGCATGCTAGGTAGTTTGCACGTCAGGCTTTGGCCGAGGAACTAAAAGACATAAATGTGTTGTAGGAGGCAAAATAGTGTTAAAAAAAAATTTCACAGATAAAGAAAAGACATAAAAAGACAAAGATGTTGTATGTAAGAGTGGTAAAGAGCTGTAAAGTTTACAGTTTGACATACAACCTGTTAGCCTGTTGCTTGTAGCCTATAGCTAGTTCTGAGTATCACTAATACTCAGAACTTTAGCTAGCCCCATCTCCATCAAAAGCCGATGTTTAAGAATATGAATAAGAATGACTTAATTGATCCTTATTTCTCATGTCTCAAAAGTCTTCTAATATGTATACAAGAGTTGTAAAATTTGGGTGCACTTTGGATGCTATAACCTCTCCGGTGTCTCCCAAGCTTGACATAGCCTATTAAATCTGCAGGGTGTGCAAAGTAAAAGTTCAGCACTTTGGGAACACTTCTAATACCTGAGTTGAAATCACGTCAGCACCTGGAGTTCGAAGATGTCGAACAACAGTAAACAGCAGCTTTACCAAACTCCCAGCTAATTCTGAACAGACCAAAACAATCTAAGGATCCATCTATTACAATGAACTAGAATAAACTCTGAGATCAGTACATCCATAAAACAACAAGAAAATTGTAAATCAGTCTGAATCTAGAGCTGATTTTGGATCATTCCCTGGCCTCAAGAATCAAAACCCACATACTTGCCAATTTAAACTCTTAGAAACTATGTTTCAGAAAAAAATCTTTGATTTCTTAAATTTTCCAGTCTAACCCATGTTCCATCGGTTTACATGGAGGATGCAGCCAGTGGAGCTGTTATAATATTGGATATACTTTTCTAATAAATTGATTATATGAAAGATTCAAACAATGAAGTTTAATCTAAATTCAACTATTAGCATAAATTTAACAGGGTCCAGTGTTTTTCTTCCTACTCTTGTTACGGTTTTGAGTATTTCATTTCTCTACTTGTCACATATGCAGTTAATCTAATTGTTTACTAAACCTCTTCTAGCTGTAAAATAAAAAGTTTCCACAGCTCCAGACACCTGGCTCTTCCATTGTGCTGCACCAGTGAGGGCAGGATGTAAGCCACACGGCGTTTCCCCACAGTACGACTACAGGCTTTTATTAGTAAGCTGGTATCTCTCTCCAGGGACGACTCAATAATGCCCAGTTCTTTGCTCACAGACATCCGGAAATCCAGCACTTTTCTCCAGCAGAGACTTCAGTCCCGGTAATAACTCTCTAGGAAACGACAGTCAGCAGCAGAGGGATTTGAAGTGAAAAGGAGCAAACTTTTTTTCTGAAAGCAGCCTGACGTCCTCAGAAATGTATGTAAGAAATCTCAAGCCATTCAGTTTGAACTCAAAAAGGGGATTTTCCCTCCTAAGACTCTTTCTTTTGAACAGTTTTTTTTCCCTATACTACAACCCTGAACTTGTAAACCTATCCTGTCACTGAACAGAAAGAGCTGAGCAGTGAGACGCCAGAAAAAACAAGTTTCTTTTTCTTCTTTTCGACTGAAATTTCTCTATATTTGTTTTTAGATAAAGACCCCAAGGACTGGAGCTACTTGTGTGATCTTGTCAAAGCAAATCAGGGATAAATTTGGTCCTATTTATGCCGAGAATCCGCCTTCTAAGCCATGAGTTAGAGGCATGGATGACTTGACTGAAAGTAGGGCAATCTGTAGCTGTTAGCGAGTCCACGTCTTCTCCACTTGGTACAGGTCGACTGAAAGTTAGGCCATTAAAATAACAGCCATCGATCCAATTTTAAGTGCCGCTGTAAAAACAAGATGACACCGTGAGATCGATGAAGGGTTTGAACTTAAAATCCTTTCATAACAGAGGAGAACACTTGAAAGTAAACACAGTCAAACTAACAATTGTTTCACTGATGGCTTGTTTATCTCACAATCAAGCTCAGTCCGCCGTCCTTTGTTTTATCACCCTCCTCTGCTTCTGTTTATTTGCACACGCCGTCCCGTTCTCCCACATTTCCTCCACGCTTGTCTCCTCAGTGCCATCAGCTCCGATGATGTGTAGACACATTGTTGAGGGTGCAACGCCGCTCACACTTTAGGGCCCCTCTGCTGATGTCTTCGACGTAGTTAAGAGAGCGCCTCGCCTCATAAAGCCTGTGCGCGGCAGCGTGCAGTAGCTGTTAGGCCCCGTCAGAGAGAGGCCCATTTGTCTGACTTGTTTATTGGAGCGTTTTGCAGCAGTGCATGCTGGGCTCAATGCAGGTTAAGAGGTCAAAATTTCTGTTTTCATTCTCTCTCATTAGGATGATTGACACCGTTAGGAGCACAGGAAAAACCACAGGTATATATTTTGAGTGTTTCCAGTCTGGGGAGATACAGTATCAGACAGGCATGTTTACAGGAAATCTGTGCAAACTGTCACTTTTCATTTACCGTGATTTACTCTCCAGAACTTCACCGAATAATCCCATTTATATGAAATGAACCTCAAGGACAGTGAGGCACTGGATCGTTAGAAAACCAGAGACAGAGAGGAGATCAAATAGCTGAAATGTTGAGACTGTTGCACAAGGATCCCGGGGTTCAGCTGTGGTTTGGCATAAATCTCCACTGTAGACGCTGTCTGATACACCAGGACTGCTCCTCAGCCATCTGTGCTCAGTTAGAGAGCTACTGTAGATACTTTTTTAATGACGCCGTTATTAAGACTGAAGGGGAAAGAGAGGGTATCAGGCTGGTATTTCTTGAGTTTGAGCTGTAGTGAACAGAAATACTGAGATGAGCTGTGAGACTAAACAAGCCGATTCAACGCAAAGGAAAAAAATTGACTGAAAATGTCCTTATAACCTGACGGACAGAGTCTGTTACACAAACAGAGAAATGTATTCTCAGAAATGTTTCCCCATCTCAAGCTGATCTTTGACAGAAGTTCACTTCTGACTCACACACCTGCATGTTATACTCGATATTCACACACGAGAGAATCTGAAAAGAAGATTGAAAAAAAGAGGAGCGAGTCAAAGCCAAGTAGGGGAGAAAGTGCTCGAAATGCACTTGAATTTTTCATCAGTTTTGATTGTTGCAGCTCAGCAAAAGTAGGTTACTCCAATAGATAAGCAAAAAGAGCAATTTTCAAAACTCCACAGTAACTTTTGAAACTATCTTAACAGATATAAATAACAGTTTTCTGTATTCTCCTTTATAGATAAATGCAATGAATCCAAGCACAAGTTTGAGTGCAACCAAGTCCATCTTCTGTCTACACATGTACTTATTTTTAGAAAACTCAGTCACCAACTGGGTGAGAGAAAGCAGCCTCTGAAAGTGGCGACGAGGCAAACTAAACGGACCTGTTAGCTAAGCAAGTGAACTGGTTTACGGTCTTTCTGAAATCCATCAAAAGAGTTTGATTATTTTTACGTGCTTGAGGTTGATTATGGATTGATTTGCTATGGAGGGGAAGAGCTTAACATGCACATCAGATTTTACAGAATGTCATTTTTAAAACCCACCAGAGAGTGTCTGACAAAGCTTTAACTTCTGGAAATGATGGCCAACTTTAGCAACTCCAGTCTGAACAGCTGTTGGATATAGAAGTTTCTCAGCGAAAACTTCTCAGACCCCTTCTTCCCCACTAAACAGGCCAGTTATTTAAGAGCCAAACCTGCTGTTAGTCCTGTCAACCACCAACCAACAAAACTGACACAATGCGACGAAACGGAATTCTTGCCTGTAATCAACAATGGTTGACTATTTTTCTCTCATTTTCAGACATAGTCCAGTATTCTGGAGACAAACCCGATCAGCTCTTTTTAGGATCTGGATTTATATGGGCTAAGGTGATCTGAGAAACAAGGATCACCACAAATCCACAGTTTTTAAGCAGGGGTGGGCAATCATGTGGCATGGAGGGCCGAAAGGCTGCAGGTTTTCTTTCCAACCCAAAACTCCACCAGGTGATTTCACTGATTACCTTACCTCCAAGCAGAGAGCAGGGACTACTCAGTGAAATCACCTGGTGGAGTTTTGGGTTGGAAAGAAAACCTGCAGCCTCTCGGCCCTCCATGGCACATGATTGCCCACCCCTGTTTTTAAGCATGATATTAGGGATGTCCCAATCTGATATTGATATCAGATATCAGTCTGATATCAGCAAAAACCAAATATTGGATTATATCGGCCTGCATCTTTAGAGATTTTAATCTCTGATATCAGCACTCCAAAACAAGCAGTCTATTCCAGACTCCACTCCATCACCTCTATCTAGCGGCGCCAGGATCTAGCATGCAGAGCCCACGTGATCACAACAACAGTGTGTACTAAGGTACTAACAAAGTAGCAAGGAGTCGGAGTGATATCGGCTGTGTGACAGTATTTTTTGTCTAATTCCGAAAAAGGCGTTGCTGCTGAGTGCAAAACTTGTCCTGCATGTTTGTGCCAATAAAGGATCAATATCAGTATCTGTCAATATTGAAGGCTACAATATCGGTATCATATCAGAAGTCAAAAAGTTGTGTCAAAACACCCCTAGTAAATACATGATATAGAGAAAGTATTGAAATGGACTAAAGGAAAAGTCAGGGGAACACCAAGATGATCAGAAATCCTCATCAGGGTAATATTGATGGAGATAAAGAGTTTCACAGCCGTCCATCTTGTAGACAATCACAGACTCACCACTATCAAGATTTGCTGCTTTTTGATGATATTTGGTGGGCAAATACAAGCCACTGAATTGCTGGTTTATTATCTTTCATAGCTCTAAAAAAAAAGGACATTTTTGTAAACCCTCCCTATTTGTAATTTCATTGACTGTTTTGTACTGTCGTAAAAGAGCCAAAAGCTGACAACCTGCTATCACTTCTTCTCTGAGTTGTCACTGTTTTTTTGGGTGGTCTTGGTCTTAATGGACCAGTACGCTCCCCCCCTGAGCTCTAGAACAGATGGCTGCCTGGCTGAACAGAGACCTCCAGCCTGTCTGCTCCTCCCTGATGTCACTCAGCCCCTTTTGAAGTCGTTTCCCCGTATTCAGGATAGTGGACATTATACTTGAGACCAGACTGGGGTGCATCAACAATCCATAAAATTGACCGGTCGGTGCTTCTTTGGTTGCATTTCTGTCAAGCCTTTGAGTCAGAGCACATCTTCAGTAACAAAGACCATGCAGAGCTGACAAGTTAACAGGTCAGTTTATGAAGAATGAGGGGACGAGTGAGTGGAGAAAAGGGGGTCATGTGAGGATCTCTGAGCAGTGAATAGTTCGGTTAAGAGCTAAGAGGCGTCATCTTGTTGAAAGGAAATCATTTGGTCTAATTGTCTCCAGACTTGGTTCAAACGCTGGAAGAGAAGAGCAGAAAACAGGATTAGAAAGTTTAAAGAGCCACTACAATCACTATTGGATAATATCATTAAAACAAGGGAATTTCATGTCGACTTAAGTACGAGAAAAAAGTTAATTTGAAGCGAATACTTCTATAAAAACCAACCATGTGTTTTAAAACTGCTTTGTAGTGATAGGAGACCAAAATCAATCTTCCTAGTGATTAAATTAGAGCTGTCTAAGTCTAAATAAAGCACTGAGGACTTCTCTAAACTACAACAGCTTTCTTGGACAAACGCCTCATATGATCAAACAGTTTAACTCAAGTGATGTCAAACTGGCAAATATGGATGAACGCTTAAAAACTGAGGCTATATTACATTCATGGCACACAGAAGATCATGTTATTTAATTAACAGTCTCTGGAATAAAAGGTCAATTTTTTTTGTTAGGTTGAAATATTTTGTTTTTAAAGGGACTGCCATAAAATTTAAGAGCATTTACTCATCACATCTATACGTGAAGTCTCTTAACTTTAGTGAGCCTCAGACTTATTTTCCCTGAACCATCCTCTGCCAACACTGTGGCTGGACATTCGATCTCCTCTTACGTCTTTTTTTCTTTGAACCTTCTTAACATTTATCAGCTACAACCCGACGGAATTTGCTTGGAATTGATCGCTAGGGTTTCCCGTCCTTTGCACAAACAAGATTAAAATGTAACAGATCTGGAAACAGACGATTGAACCAGCATAGAAACCGTAAGGTGGGGCGAAGTATTGCAGAGTAATGCAGACGCTGAACAGCTCTGAACAGCTATGTAGCGCAAACGATGGCGTAGTCAACACAGAGGCTTTGTGTTGCATTCAATGATTTTCGAATCAAGCCTCATTGAAAATATGGACTTGAAAATTGTTCTGGAAATACAACAAATTGTGATTTTTGAAAACTGAATGCATGTCTGAAATATAAACATGTTGTTGAACCAGACTTTGAATGGATTGTCATTTCATCTTGCACTATTCATGCTCTCCAGATGAACCGCAATGACTTTGATTATCCCCAATCAAACACCTCTAAGAAGTTATTTGTTGTCTTTAATTGGCAACAGATCTGCAACAATTTAAACTTCTTTTTTTAAACATATCTATATTGGTTTTTGTATTCCAACAACAACATCCAACAATTTAAACATATGGCAGTGATGAAAATAATAATGGAAATATAAATAATACAGAAGAGGTAAATAAATAAAATGTCTTGATAAAATAAATAATTAAAAAGACAAATTAAACCAACAAATTTGTTAACAAATAACTGATCGATAAATAATTAATACATAAATAAAAATAAAAAAATAAAAAAAATAATCTAAAATAATCGTAAGTATTGTCAATTATAAAACATTTAAACTATTTTTTAAACATATCTTAATTGTTTTTTGTATTGATACAACAACATCCAATAATTCAAACATATGGCAGTAATTAAAATAATAATTAAAATATCTATAATACAGAAGAGGTAAATAAATAAAATGTCCTTATAAAATAAAAAATTAAAAAGATAAATTAAAACAACAAATTAGTCAACAAATTACTGAGCAATAAATAATTAATACATAATAAAAAATATATTTTAATAGATTAAAAACATTGAAAAATAATCTAAAATTATAGCAATAACAACTAATTATTAAAAAATTATACTTCTTATTCATGGTTACCAGAAGACGCACCTTAGCAACAAAAGTGGCCAACTGGCTTGAATTTCTACCTCCCATACATCAAATTTCTCTGATTATGTTAGCGTAGTTGTTATTGTAAAGGTTATGCAGTACACTGTTAATTTGTTTCATGTCTTTCAAACCTTTAACTACTTTTGAAAAGATTTATGTTCTCTTGTTAGTATCGCTTCCATGTTTAGTCTAGTTCTGCAAAACACTGAATACACTTCTGCAAAGATCTTAGGATAACTCTCAAAACACATGAAACAGTAGAAAGTTTAATTCTTCTGCTTACATGTCATGCGAAAAGTTGGCAGCACTGCGGCGCATTCTGGAGCCAAGAAATCTACATTTCTGTATGTGTAACAGCGTCCCTCGTCGTGACACATCATCCCTTGTAGACAAAGCTTATTTTTATTCAGAAACACACGACTGAATCATTATGGGCCAGATTAGCATGCTGGTGTGATGAGTGTCCACACTTTAACACTCTCGAAGTACAAATGTTGTGGAGACGGCGGACTGCAGATCCAAACATCAACCTCAGAGGGCTGGGGGATTTGATTACTCTGGTAAATAAGCCATTCAGACTCACATGTGTTTCCGAGATGCAGAGTTTGATGGAATGTGTACAAACGTCCTAATCTTTCCAAAATGTTGATGACAGACTGACAAAAGAGCTGGCAGCCAAATGGCGGAAAACCGAAGGACGGAGAGGCCGCGAAAAGGGATGCTACGAAATATACATGCATCCTAATTTTAACAAAAGGCAGAATTAGTCAGGGATATTTTTGGTTTTTGTTTGGCTCTCTACGAGTTCTGCAGCATCAGGTTTGAATTATAGATATTGAATGTACTTCTGGAGGTCACGTGGAACAAAAGGTCCACAAGTGAAAAGTCCTGGAGGGCTCTGAATGAGTGCAGGTCTGTGATTTGTCTCATACTTAGTTTGAAAGGGAAGTGATGGTCTTGGTGGCAGGCCTTGGACTGCAGGATGTCCTGTTTGAGTGCCCACCATGGAAGTCCTACAGTAGGGGGTATAGGGTTACAGCTTCACTGAGGGTCCTGGGTTAACACTGAATCAAAGGTGTTGACACAACTGCAGTTTAAGATTGAAATTAAAGGTTTAACTTGGATCAAGAGTGAAGGTAATGTACAAGGATACCTGGAATTTTGCCTCCCTAACTAAAGTAACTTCCTGATTTCATCCAGAGCTGTACAATAAACCACAAACCCAACCACACAACATGCATCTGCTATCCTGCTGGCTTACCTTGCTGGAGAAAATCAGCACACGAGACTGGTTCAACACAAGCGGGAAAAGATGCCAAAAATGGAAAATACTTGAATTTGCAGGGGAGGATTTATAATTCTGTGATACTTCAGCTAATGCGAGGACATATTTTTGTATTTTAACGGACAGATCAAACAGTTTCCAAAGGTATTTGCCAAAACTGCTTAAAAGTTTCCATCGTAGCGGTACTGTAACTTCTTAAAGATTCAAGATTAGAGAAGACCTTTTATCAGTGAAGGTGTTGGGTGCTCACTGAAATGACAAGTTCTGCTTGATAAAATCTCTTAATGGTACATGCAAAGTCACTCTTCAGTTTGGATCCATACGACCATAGCTCAACTTCGAGGGATATTCCGGTGTAAAATTACTTTAGAATCAAACACACCGTAACACCGAGTTAGACACCCCCTCAAGAGATAAATGTTGCCGACCCCTTGCTTCTCTAGTTATACCAACTTTAGTAACGACCACAGATAGCAATACAGAGAGTCACACGCTCAACCAAAAAGCCACTCTATAGCCACATGCTCAGAACAGCACCTAACTTCATCAACAGTACATATAGGGTCCTAGCCATAGTACTAGCCACCAAACATCTTTTTAACTTTGCCTGATTTCTTTAGCAAAGAGACTCAACATAACTCACCTACTCTCTTCCAGCAGCCACTTGTTTGTACCGAGACCAGTCCATTACGGACTACAGCGGAGTGACGCCGCTCAAGAATATTTATGATCATTTTCTTAATCATTGAAGTAATAACCATCATAACATTCTCGCTACAAACAAGCGGCTGCTGGAAGAGAGTGGGTGAGTTGTGTTTAGTCTCTTTGCTAAAGAAATTAGGCAAAGCTAAAAAGATGTTTGGTGGCTAGTACTATGGCTGGGACCCTATATGTACTGTTGATGAAGTTAGGTGCTTTTCTGAGCATTATTTGTGGCTATATAATAATGCTATAATAAAGTGGCGTTTTGGTTGAGGTTTGTGTATGGCTCCTCAGACCGTTGCGTATTGCTATCTGGGGTCTTTACTAAAGTTGGTATAACTAGAGAAGCAAGCGGTCGGAAACATTCACCTCTTGAGGGGGTGTCTAACTGTGTTACGGTGTGTTTGACCCTAAATTAATTTTATGCCGGAATATCCCTTTAACTGTGCATGTAAACGTTCAGATCTCTTTACCTCACGTGAACTGATTCTACATAAAGTAGGGGGTTAGCATAACAAATGAAAGGCGTGAGTGATTGAGTGGAAGCACACAACAGATGCTGGTCTCTCCTTGAGTAGCTTGATGACAATAAAATATATTGATGGCCTTTTCTGTCAACAAATACGACAGATTTGAACCACAGTTGTCATCCTTTTTACTTTTTAGGACCTGTTGTTGGGCACAGTCAGCTGCCCTCTTGTTCATGCCCCTTTCAGGGTCACTGCGACTGCCCTTTAGCAGAATCTGTCAGGCCCTCGTTGACGCAGATCCGTTTCCTGTCAAAGTGAGATTTTTATTGTTTCAAGGGAGCGGGCTCCTGAATCTCTCTCCTCCAGCCTTTTCCTGTTTCCTCACGAAGGGGAAGCGCCGCTTTGCTTCGTTTTTTTTCCTCCTCCCGCATCTTCTCTGGGACAAATCTGGAACATGGACTGCAAAACTTTGGTTGTGTGGGCCAAGTCTTGATTTCAAAGAATGAAAAGAGTTAAAACACTCCCACGATGGGCTCTCTTACACAAGCTTAAAACACACACACAAACAGGTTCTCACTGATTTTGCATCCTATACTCTAATGCTTGTTGGTGTGTGCTCACCTGCGACCCCAGAGAAAAGTGTTCCCATGGTGCCCCAGCACGTAGTCTCTTTGTTATCGCGGAGAAAATACTTCTTTGTGTGCAGGGAGGGTCAGATTATTCATATAGACAGTGTTGGCCCCCAAATGAAGAATGACATGACAACAAACATGATATCCACTTCAGCAGTTTCGTTTTCTATGAACCCTGAGCGTGTAAAAACAGGAAACGTCTAAAGCACATCATATAGAAATCCACAACAGCTTTCTTACTTTGCATTTAGGGGCTTGTGTACATAATAAGCCTCTAAATTGTTTCTGTGATTTTTTTCTGTTTTTTTATAGTGTAAATTTATGGCACAGACTACGGTGAAATACTGTAGAAAGTACAAATAGTTAAATGAGAGCTATGTGGTTGTTTTCACTCAGTATTACGTTTGTGAAATTACATATTATTGAAAACTTCTGACGCTTTTCTGGCTGAGTTGCATATGAGAAAGTAAAATTTTTACATTTATTTTACATGTTTTATTTTTTTCATTTTAATTTTACATTTTAAATTTCCTGTTCTGAAAATGTTCATGCCAGCAATCTAGTCAAAGCTCCTGTGCTAAGGCGGTAAACATCTATGAAAACAGCTGAAATTTCAGTTGATGCCTTTTAATGACATACAAAAACAAACAAACAAACAAAAAAACGACAGCAACAAGACTGAAGATTTTTAAAACCTCATTTGTAGAGCCTATATCTGGTGCAAGGGGGTAGGTCCAGACCGAGTAGCTGAAGAAATTGCACTGTTTTTGTGCAATTTCCACATAAAATAATAATAAATCATAAATATGACTGTTAAAACCACAGCATGAGATTTTGTAAAAATAAAATATCACTTCTTAAGCATGTGGAGGAAACAAACCTTTGTTTTTGTGATTACTGACAGGAAAATGAGGAGGAAAACTGTGCAGAAACAGTGGCACAAGGAGCTGAGCGCAAGAGACATCATGCAAATTGAAGAAAACAGCGCAAGAACAAAACAAAACAGTAAGGGCTTTGGCAATGTAAAAGACTGAGTGAGTGAAAAGAAAACATTAGTGGCAGAGTATTTCAATCAGGTGCTGCAGTTATTGTAAGTATCAGCTGAAAAATGCAAAAATGAAAGTGCTCATGTTTATCATAATAAGACTGACAAGAATACACTGCCAGTAAAGCGCTATTAACGTGAAAGTTTGAGGGATATCTTTGGCTGTCTTTATACATAATTTAAAATAAATAATGAACTTAGTAAGGTGACACCTCCACTTTCACCCGTTCACTTTGATATATGATACTGTACCTCACCTAACAGAGATGCACCATTTTAAAGTAACGAAACTTCAGTTTTCACCTTTGACTTTGACGACTCGGGGATGACTGGATGCATGACTCCCACTGTCATTTGTGGTAGTGCATGCGTAGCAAGATTTCATACCATTTAAGTATTTTTTTAACTACCAAGAGGCCAAACTTACTTTGTTATTTGACTGTACACAGTATTGCAGTCTATGCTCTGTTTTATATAAGTGTTATTTTGATTTGTGCTCCAGAAGTCCAGCCACAAAAACCTCAAACACACCCAAACATGTTTTTTTTCCCCCGTCTGTGTGTTTCACTGGCACATTCAGCTGTGCATGTGGTTGGAGAAAGAGTTCTGGTTGTCAGATTGATCTGTTAAGCTGAGCTCCGAGGCAGGGGAGGAGCAGCCTGTCTGACACACTTGAACACGATGTGAGCTACAGTAACCGAATGCTTTTCAGGCTCACACGGAGACTACAACTGAACTCCAGATTGACCCTGTGCAACCAGACCTCTAAAAGACCCCTTATGGCAAGAGCAGCAGAAGTAAAACACATCTGCAGTTTCATAATCGAGGCACTGTCATGTTTTTGGAAAGTGACTTACAAAAAGGGTTTCCTGTGCAGGATTTTTTTTGCTTTTGTTACAACCAGAGCAACTACAATGTTGAAATCTTGTGAAGTTTAGCTTGGGTCGGGGCACTTTGAGGGGGAAACTGCATTCAAAATTTGAGGTTTTGTGAGTCAGGAAAAAAATTCTCCATCCAAAGACCCGTTTAGTGGCTTTTCTGCACTGTCAGAAATCACAACGATTAAATATAATGGTTTTGCAGACTAAGTTTTACTTCTAAATCTGTGTTATTATGTATCTGCAGAGTCATCCTGACGAAGTTCAATTGAATTAATGTGTTAACCACAATTATTGCTGCAAAATATGCACCAAAGTCAAACAACATTATTGCAGAGCTATCATTCCTACCAAAGAGAAACACAAGTAAAAGGAGGGAGCAGAAACCTCTTCCTTATCATGCAACACTTTAGCTTAACAAGCTGCAATTTGACAGATTTAATCTCACAGTAAACATGAGCCTATACGAGCTCTCATTGTGCTATAGGCTAAATTACTTAACTGCCTCTAAGTGTTGTTATATTAAACTCGATGTAAGGTTCAGTAAACGCAACAATCTCAAAGTACTGATGATTCCTGCGTTTTCTTCTGGACTGCAAAGGCAGCAGAAGGCCGTAAGGTGAGGTGAAAAAGTTGAAGCCACTTGCCCTATTTCAAGATGTCTGCACTCTTCGACACAATGAGGAGGGGGACAGAAAAATGCTTCAAAATCAGATTCGTGAAGCGGTTTGAGCAGGATGGAGAGTGTTTGTGCAGTGGAGGGGTTTTATCAGCGCCAAACACTCACAGGAAGTCCGGTTTGGGATTGTCCGTCCAATTCCTGCGTTCCTCAGGAAGCCCAGCATAAAAAGCAACTGAAAAACGCCCGCAGACATTTCATTTGTGGACGGTCCGCTCACAGGGAGCACCTCAAATCAAGCCGCGAGGGTTTTTATTTGAAATAGCATCAAACCCCAGAGCTTTAAAAGAAACCAAACACCATGGAGGAGTCCTCTTACGCACTGCGCCGGTGGCTCGTGCTCATGGCCGCCGCTCAGCCCGCGCGCGCGCACGTACCTGGTGACCCCATACAGCGAGGGTGAGTTATTTATTTAGTTAGTTATTTTTACACATTTTCACAAACTGACTTCATTTTCAGGACTGAAAAAAGTGTAATGTTGTGCAATTCAATGATGAATTTGACTTTTTAAAACATGTTGATGTGTTTTAATTTCAACTTAAATCAAGTTATCAGTATATTTAATAGTGATAATATCTGCTACTTACTAGTTAGACCTAATGCCATGGTCAGCCCTAAATGGCAAAACACAGGTTGCAATTTACATCAAAATGCTGTAATAAATAGCTCTGTATTATATAAATATGGCAATACATAAATAGTTGATACATAAAATTTGATTTTGGGGCGCTCTATTTCTGCCAATAATATCGATTGTTCATAATTCACACACCTTCACAAATCTCTTTGATTAACATTCCATGACGTGCAAACATACCTTTATCTTGGCGTATTTTCTCTTCTTTCTCTTTCTTTTCTCTGCTCCTGAAGGATATGTCCTTTTTTGCCACATTGTTTTGCCCCTGACAACTACCTGAGCTTTGGATGCTCAGTGCACATTGCACGGCAGAAGGCACATAACGGTAGCGGAGCTTTAACAAATAAGCAGTAAGAATAATAGGCCTACATAAGCAGCACTAAAATGTTTTAACTTTATTTTATTTTTACAATAATATATATTTGATCATACAGAAAGCATCACTCATACATGCAAGAAATAGAAAAAATATATATATATTTTTTGATTGCTCTTGGGGGCCCCCTATTGGCCGCGGGGCCCTAAGCAGACGCTTAGTTCGCGTATGCCTTGGGCCGGCTCTGGTTGTATAGGTATGTTTTGTATGCGTAGTATCCCACAACAAGCCTAATGCTAGGTAAGATAATGGGACCTTTTTAATGTTTATATTATTGCAAAGTGTGTGTTGCACTTTTTCATAAACAGTCGAGTGCAAAAATTCATAATAGTGACTTAAATTCATGATTGAATTTTTTAAAATGTGTATTATTAGCGTTTTAATGCCTCGTACATTGAGTCAACTGCCCGTAATATTTTCTTGTTGTAAAAATTAACATGTAGTCTAAATTTTCTGCATAAATAATCAATACCAATACATTAACATATCAGAAATTTTCCTCCCCTTTTAATCATTTAAAGCTCCTGTGATGACCATTAAATTTGTATTGAACTTGGCGCCTCCTGGTGGACAAAGCATGCCTATATGTCGCTGCTGATTTCGTTACTGTTAAACTAACAAAAAATTCATTCTGTTTTTACATAACATATAAATAACTTACTGAAAATCCTTAACCTGAATATTATAAACTTACTTAATCATTTTGTTCGACACCTACCCCCGGCAGCCGTTTCAGGCATTGATGATAACAGAATAATTATAATAAATCTCCTTCTTTATGGTGTTATTTTCCTCACAGGGTCATATAGAGGCATTAATATTATTTCAGTCTGTCTTATGATGAGTAAAAGGTCAACACAGGAGCTTTAATTGCTTTATTAACCCTTTTTTTCACCGTTTCATGTCAGACTTAATGTTATATAATCAGACTAACTTCTTTTGGAACATTTTAAAGTACTTCTGTGTTCATTTAGGTACCTAAAAGTTACTCAAAACCCTTAAAAAATGGTGTTCCTGTCCTTTAGAAGCATCTCCCGCCTTTAGACAAGCCTGCAGGGTCTCACTTTTCCCATGAGTCGGCGCGTGTCGGTCGGTCTGTCGGTCGGTTATGAATGAAAAAGCTCGAGTTTTCTGTAGTCGGTGCAGCCAGCGCGTGCTGTGACGTCACTGGCGGTAACCAGGCGATGAGTGCGAGCTCGTGGACCCCCAGCTGGAGGAGTGGGAGGAGGTCCTTCATCACCCCCACATGATGCTTTTTCTGTGTGACAGTGTGAGCTGCAGGGGGAAACCTGAGTGCATGCGGAGTTTTATCACTGTTTGGACTTTGAACGCACCACCGGGATATAAACGGGACTATCTAACTTTGCGCGAGAATTTCTCCACGCTGTTTCGCAGGAGTGTGTTTCTATCTGTGGGACTTATATTTGAGGAAAGCTGTTTTTTCATCACACGGTTTGTGATTATTCTTGAATGCATGCATGCGCTCTCAATATCGGCTTATAAAGGATTGTGCGTGCATGACCGGTGTTTACATGCGTCTCCTATTTGCGTTTGTTTTAAGCGTTCATTTCTTTACTAGTGAAGTCATCCTTTGAATTTGAAGCACGAGTTAATGTGTGTGTGTTTCAGAGATGCTACGTTGTCTAAGGAGGAGGATGTTGCGCCCGTACAAAGTGATCTCAAGATTTGTGCAATGCTGTAAAACAGCACCCTCTAGTGGCGAATGATAGAAATGTATCTGCCACAGTTTCTCCTCACATGCCAGTAGGTCAAAACCTGCTGTGTTTGGAAAAATTGGGCACAAAAACACATAAAATGCAAATTCAGTGAGATATTTGAACATATTTTAAAGTTTTGCACAAACTTAATCATTTTGTTGTTGTCTTTTTTACACCTTAAATCTAAATATTGGAAATTTACTTTCCAAGACCAAGTTTTGCATCATTATCAGAACTTTTCCCAAAATAATCACATCCAATTGGTAAGATCCTATTGACAACCCCCCCCCCCCCCCCCTCCTTTCTTATGAACCGGTGTGAGATATGATATTGTCACTCACACATGTTGCCTTCAGAGTTCCCCCCTGCTAACTGCTGGGATTTGTGAATGAGCTCTGACTGTAGATGTGCGTGTTCTGTCTCCGGGCGTCCAGCCAGCAGGGGATCAGAGAGACATGCAAACCTGTCAACTGCAGCTAAGCATCACCTCAGGATGAAGGAAGACTTTCCTGCAGGCTTTAGTGTGTAACCTGGGATCACAACTGCAAATGCAACTGCAAAAAAAACTGTTAGAGATTTCCCAAAGGGGTCAGTGTCTGGTCTGTGTAAAAGCACGTGCCTTTGGGCAAGTTTCACAGTTTCCTACACTTTTATTTCTTACAAACGGATGGATAGGGATTTTTGAAATCCTGTGCAGAATGTAATTAATCCAAATCGGTGTGAAGGGATAAAGGAAGATTTCTTTGTCTTTCTCCTGTCTTTTGTGTCTCGATCTCAGGGTCAGTGTTTCTGCAGGTCAGGAGGAGTTTAGCCTAGTTTTTCGCAACACCCTGGACTGTTTCTGCAGTAACTCCACACAAACATGTGCCTTTTTGGGGGGCTTTTGGCTTCACTTTTTATTCAAATTTCAGATAAAAAGGTTATTTAAAACATAGGATAACAGTGATAACTCTGCTTTTATTTTATATTCATATGTTAACTTTTTTTGGGTGACTCTGCATGGATATATGTAATATTTAAGTCAGTACTCCCTCAGTAGAATATTTGATGAAAATAGAGGCATTGAAAATGGAAATGTATAAGTCATTATTACTGAAACAAAGATAACATGGATGAATGCAAAAAGTTACTCTTACAATTCTTAGAGTTTACAAAGTTTTTTGTAACTGTTAAACTTACAAACAAATGTGCCATGACATTACTTTTAATAGTTTCAAACATGGGGTTTGTTTGCATACTGAAAGAAGTGGAATAGAGGCAGCATGGCTGACACCTGGCATTAAAAATGAAGGCGTATCAATCATCACTTATGACACTGATGGTCTATTTTTGCTGTTAGTTGTCATAAAAACGCATCAATATGAATTTCATGAACATTAAAAAAAAAAAAAAACCTTTTTAAAGGACGACAATGGATGCCAAATGTTTTTGGAGAAAGTCAGTGAGAAGTTACGTATAAAATGTGAAATTCAAGATTAATGCACAAACCAACACCTGAGCTTTATGAAGTCATTTTCCCACAACATCAGCTGGATTTCTGTTTTCATACACTTTAAATCCCTTTAAACCCTTTGAGGAGCTTTTCTGTCTGTGTTGACTTTGGCGCCCCCTGTGGACAAAGTGGATAATAGCAAGGTTTATCACTCACTGACATCAATAGTGACACATCACTGTTTATTTCCGTCTGTTTACCTTTAAAATATTCTCACAGGAGCTTTAAATAATGGAAAAAAAGGAGGCAGACTATGAGACAAATAACAGCCAGGTGTTATGAAGGATATATTGAGGTTATGTCAAACTTTTAAAATTGGCAAACATCCACCATAGCAACTACACGTCATCTCCTGACTGATAACTAAATCAAACATCATGTTTTTGTCATAGACCTCCATAGCTCGTCATTAAAACTGGACTGAATCTCTATTCTGATAACTCATGATCTCTATTTCCTCTCCATACAGGTAGCCGGAGTCGTCCTCCTGCGGGAGAACACACACACATCCAGCGTGAGGAGACTTTGGCTGCGGTCCACAGACTCCCCCACCCCTCCTTCCCTCCTCCTCCTCCTCCTCCTCCTGCCCCTTCATCCTCCTCTCCCCTCCTCCTGGCACAGGCAGAGAGAAAGTGTGAGAGAGCGAGGGAACATGGGAAAGAGGAAGACGATGTACCAAACGCTGCTCCTCTCCTCCTCCCTCTTCATCCTTCATGTGATGGGCACCACGCAGTTCTTCGCTCACCACGGGTAACGGCTCCATTCACGCTCTTCCTGTGTTTATTATTGGATGTAATTGAGTCTTTTTGGCCCCTTGAGCTCTAGAAATGCCACTGAGACCTGTTTGTTTAGAGGGACCTGTGTACACAAATTGCTTGAATGACATTTAAACATTTAAAAGCTCTCTTTTCTCCGGGACCAAAACTGTCACTCCCAACTATTAGATGTAATCGCTCTGCAGGCTCATCTCGTCATTATAAGTTGATTTGGACACGGGCCAAAATAAACCACAGGCCAAACAAAAGATCAAGTAGATCCAGAGAGGTCAAAGGTCAGCTCTAAACTCCCCCACATTCAGGAGTGATTACACAGGTCAGAGAGGAGCCACAAACACAGACCAGCTTTTCCAGCTTTCTGAACCACACGTCTCAGTGGAAATCACTTTCTCGAGAAACTTTTTAATCTAAATCGAGCACAGCTTCCGGCTCATATGCTCTTTGAAAGTCTCTGTTTCAAGGCGGCGTTAATGATTGATCTCATTTCTCTCTCTCTTTTTTTTTTTTTCTGCAGGAGGAGGGTGTGCGGCCGAGACCTCCGTCACAGCGTTGTCATGGCAACAGAGTCATATGTCCAGCCGGTGCACAAACCCTACATCACCCTGTGTCAGGGGCATCGCCTCTGCAGCACGTACAAGTGAGTTAACCAGCAACAACACATAATAAAAATACAACAATTTCACCTCTTTGATGCATAAATTGAAGATAAGATGTTCATTCAATAGTCCCACAGGGGGAAATTCCAAAATTACAGCAGCATGGTATAGATACAAATTAAAAGATAAAGAAACTTTGAGTTTAAACAAGATATGTGCATGCGTTATATTATCATAATAATAACAGGTAAACATAAAAATACTGTCTTTCCGAAGCATTAAACCTTGAATTAACCTGGAAGTACCGGTTTTTGAGTGTAATTAAGTAACAAGCTGAACTGAAAGAATCACCTGTTGGATGCACAAATTAATCTGGAGGCAGTTAGTTGCACCTGATCTCCACAGCAAAGCATTCAAAGCTTTAATATGTAATTTTCTGTAGATTATTTTTGAACATTTATTTTCTGAGATTATTATATTGAACATTTAGCATCATAATCTTACTTTCAAAATTTTGTTCATTTTTGGGCATCATGTATAACCCTCTAATAAAAACAATTTAAAGCTCCTAAGGGGAGTTTTTTCACATTTTAGAAAGAGATTTAAATTCATATTGATGACTTGTTATCCCACTGAGCAATAGACAGCTATTAGAGGTCTCTCTCTTTTTTTTTAGACCTAATTTCAAACTAAATTCTGTATATTTTTAGATGGAATTTAGACGTTGCACTTTAACCCATTATTCGATAACTATTTATTTCAACTGTGAGTTGCATAACTGATCTCCAAGTACTTAACCAAAATAATTATGATAGCCGTTGAGCAATAAACAGTGTAGTATAGATATAGCCCAGATTTAGACTTGATCTAAACTTGCCCGTGGTAGCCTTATTTTAGACCAGTCGTCTAGACCAGTGGTTCTCAAGTCCAGTCCTCGAGGCCCACTGTCCTGCATGTTTTGGATGTTTCCCTGCTCCAACACACCTGATTCAAATGATTAGCTCATTATCAAGCTCTGTAGTGGCATAATAACGAGCTGATCATTTGAATCAGGTGTGTTGGAGCAGGGAAACATCCAAAACATGCAGGACGGTGGGCCTCGAGGACTAGACTTGAGAACCACTGGTCTAGGCTACATGTAGTCGTCTATTAGACCTCTTTTAGACCAAAAAATGCTCAGTGGGATGATAGACAAAAACAAACAAGACCACCAGCATCATGATTGGCTGTTATTATATCATGATTTTTAAGGCCTGTAACTGTTGTGAAAAGGCAGTTGCTAGCTGAGCAGCTGTAGAAACAGCCCTCTTAGATTGACTACTAAATTTTAAAACTGAATTTGGTCAGCCATCATCATCGATTTCCACCTTTTTTCATGTTTCGGCAAGAAATTAAAAATATATGTAGGTAGAGTCTCCCCCTACAGGCCATTAGAAATTATGCACTTTTGGGGCACTTGCACTAGATTAGATTTTATAAAACTTTATTTATCCCTCAAAGAAATTGTGCATTCGATGCCATAAACCTCTGTCTATTTCATTTATTTATTTATTTTTTATTTTGATGTTTATTTAACAGGGACAATACATACAACATTACCACAAAAAATCGAAAATGTCATGCATATAAGACGTCTAGCTTCAGCTAATTTGCCGTCTTTGTGCCTGGTCAGGCTTTAGTGTAGGATAAAATATACTGAATACTATAATACAACTACAGTGAATAATACAGTGTATTAATATTATACAATACAGTAAAATACTGTACAGCACAGGATCATTATTTGGATTATCTGACAATACTTTGAGGTTTGCAGCGCCATTATCAGTGGTACCACCATCTAAATATCTGTCTACTGTTTCAGACACTTCCAAATAACTCCAAATTAGACTTCTTATATTAGGTTAGGCTCTCGGCATGAACATGGGGAATCTGCTCCGTGCGTTGTCACAACAGCGCTCTAATTAAGCGATCACTTGAGGTTTAGCCGCTGCTCGAGCAGAGGGGGCTCACGAGTGCGGTCGTAAATAGATCAAGACTTTCTCCCACACACACAGATGCACATTTTCTTGCACAGAAGTGGGTCACGGTGGCACATGTTTGGGTGGAATCTAAGTATCGAGTACTTGTGTGTAACTACGGGAAATGAACCGCCTGCCCCGCAGAGACCGCGGTCATGTTTATTTTGGCCCGAGTCTCCCTCCTTACTTGCTGGATCTCTCTCCAGCTCTGATGCTTTCGAGTCCCCCCTCTTACATTCCCTCCGTTTTAATCTCTTATTTTTTAACCCTTAGCTCGCCACAAGACATATTTTCACTTTTAGACGATTTATTCCCTCGTTCTTTTAGATAATTACTGGTGGGATATCTCATGATGCTAAATTATCAGATTTTTTGTTTGCCTTAAACACATCTATCTGCCTTTATTTTGTTTCAAGTGTTTACATCAGTTTATCACTGGTATCTGTCTTTGTAAACCAAACATACCAGAGGTTGCAGCTCTCAGATTTGACTTTACATCCCTGCTCCTATCTCCCCTCCTCGATTCCTTTCTCTTTCTCTTTCCCGACACACGCTCTCAGATGTCAGCGGTCTGAGGTTTCAATATTCCTGCAATTTTCTCATCAGCGTTCTTTCGGGCTGACAGAATATGAAAATGGCTGGACCGCCTCGACCACACACTCCTGGGTGATGACAGCATCATGAACAAATGGGAATCACTAAGTTTGTGTGTGTGTGTTTGGTGTTTCCACAGGACAGTGTACTCTGTGGCGTACCGGCAGGTGAGCAGAGCGGCACCACCTTCACGTTTCTACCCTGAGTGCTGCCCCGGCTGGAGGAGGTTTCACTCTCACAACTGCAACCAAGGTAACCCGGAGCAACGCGATGGCCTTTATTTAAACCTTTGTTAGCCGCTGCTGTTAAGAGCAAGATATTTGATTACTCCTGAGGAAAGTTTCAGTCAAAACTGGGAGCCAAATATGAGCTAACAGGGCTGCAAAGGTTATAAATTGGTGGTCAGGATTAGCTAACAAGACTCTTTCAAACTAAATTTACGAAAGAGATTTGGGGAAGAAAAAGTTTAAGATTGAAAGCAAAAAAAGTTGTAATTTCATGTTGAGAAAAAGATCAGCAAACCCCTCAGTAAAACATCATAATCATTGTTTTAACTACATTCTTGTACGTTTCAAATAAATAAGCTCTAATGTGATGATTTAATGACTTGTTTCCAGTCTTTACGCCACACTTAGCTAGCTTCTGTGGACTGAGGCTATTTAGCATGCTGGGCAAAATCCGCCTCTTTCAAGTAAATGAAGCACAGGAAGTGAAGACTTCATATTTCCTCTGTGTTATGAAGATAATATCAAAAGATATTAATGTAACTTTTAACCCTTTTCCATCTTAACTTTTATATTTCCAGATAAATTTTCTGTCTTAAAGGGATATTCCGGCATAAAATTAATTGAGGGTCAAACACACCGTAACATCAAGTTAGACACACCTTTGAAAGATGAATGTTGCCGACCGCTTGCTTCTCTAGTCATACCAACTTTAGTAACGACCACACCATAGCAATAGACAGCGGCCTGAGGCACCATAAATAAACCTCAACCAAAACGCCACTCTATAGTCACAAATAATGCTCAGAACAGCACCTAACTTCATCAACGGTACGTATAGGGTCCTAGCCACAGCACTAGCCATCAAACATCTTTTTAGCTTTGCCTGATTTCTTTAGCAAAGAGACTAAACACAACTCACAGACTCTATTCCAGCAGCTTGTTTGTAGCGAGACTTCGGGCCAGTCCACTACGCACTACAGCGGGGTGACGCAGCTCAAGGAAGAACATTTATGATCAATTTAAAAAAATGTTTGGTGGCTAGTACTATGGCTGGGACCCTATATGTACTGTTGCTGAAGTTAGGTGCTGTTCTGAGCATTTTTTGTGGCTATAGAGTGGCGTTTTGGTTGAGGTTTGTTTATGGCTCCTCAGACCGTTGTGTATTGCTATCCTGCGGTCGTTACTAAAGTTGGTGTAACTAGAGAAGCAAGCGGTCGGCAAAATTTAACTCTTGAGGGGGTGTCTAACTTGATGTTACAGTGTGTTTGACCCTAAATCAATTTTACGCCGGAATATCCCTTTAACTACATTTTTGTATGTTTCAAACGACTCTGTGTGACAATTAGATGAATTGTTTTCAGGCTTTACTTAGCTAGCTTCTGTGGACTGTGGTTATTTAGCATGTTGGGCAAAACCCGCCTCCTTCATGTAAATGAAGCACAGGAAGTGAAGACTTCATATTTCCTCTGTGTTATGAAGATAATATTAAATTATATTAATAATATTTTTAACCTTTTTCTGTCTAATTTTTTTCGTACCTCCTAAAGATTGTCAATAATTGCTTCAACCTGAATAGTGACTCCATCTGTAAATGTCTCCTACAGCTGTGTGTGGACAGCCCTGTATGAACGGAGGTACCTGCTTAAGACCCAACCAGTGTGCTTGTCCGCTCGGCTGGACAGGACACCAATGCCAAACAGGTGCGCCACACAAACACATTTACCTGCTGCGTGTTTGTGAAAGCCTCAGTGAGCTTCTTCTCACATCAGCTACAAACTCATCTCTCTGCCTTTTCAGACGTTGACGAGTGTAGGAGGCAGCATTCGTGCGCCCAGGATTGTGTGAACACAGCCGGAAGCTATCGATGTGCGTGCAGAGACGGCTTCAAGCTCACGGAAGACGGCCATTCCTGCCAGAGCCTTCCTCCTCCTCATCCTCCTCCTCCTCCTCGTGCCACCCCTCTGTCACCGGGCCAGGCAGCAGCGGGTGGCCACACAGATGCGGGTAAAGGAGCCGTGAAGGAGCGCATACTTGCTTTCACAGCGGCGAAGTGTCTGGAAAACAGAAGAGCGAGAACATAGCCAGCTTCGCGGTCCATTATTACTTTTGGTACGCGCTATGCCACTCTCAACTCGTACCGTGAGTAATAATGCACTGCGACTGGTGTCGACTCCAGACAGATGTGTTGTGGTCGGGCCTCTTGTGGTGAAACTGGGACCGGTTACTCTTTGATAATGACTCGATTTACTCCTAAGAGACCTGTGAGCGGAGCAAACATCTGACTTTAATCGAGCTCCCGTGCTAATACAGACATATTTTTATCCCACACACTCCATTAGTTCCCTTAAGTACGCTGCAATGTTTCTCCTAACCATGAAAAGTCGATTTTTGTAAGTGTGTGTTTCCTGTGTCCAAGCAACAAAATAATACATCCTCCCTTCTCGTCTCCTCAAGTGATTGTTGACCTCAGGATATTCTTTTTTAATATGTCAGAGTTATTGCTTTTTCGGGAAATTACGCAAGACGAAACTAGAGAAAACGTACCTTTTCCTGACTTCTTCAAATCTGTCAACTTTTTGGGGGCTTTGTGAGTCACCAAGCAGTAAATCTAGAGAGGAGATCGTCTCATGTACTGTCAGGAAGAAAAAAAAAAGAAGTATCTGTTTGGAGATGTGATATTGCCAAATTTCTCAGGCTCTGCACAGAACTCCCTCTGATTTATCAGTGTGTTTGTAGAGAATCAAAGACCAAATCACATAAAAACAGAACTTCTTAGCTATAAAAAAAAGAGTATCTTGCAGATACTTCTGAGTCAGCAAATTTAGAAGAGAAACTCTAAAAACGGAGGAGAAAAAAGCTGAAATATGACGGATCAATTCACTTGTGAGGACTGAACTCTTGAAGCAGCAAAAATTCCAAGGCCAGTAGTGATTTTTGGCTTCAGCTTGCATTCTTGTAAGTGTTCGAATACACACGTAAGAGTGATGTCCATGCAGATCACAAATATAAACAGGCTGTAGAGCTGAAAAACTCGACCTGAGCTCTGACTCCCTGCCAGGCTGCTGCAGAGGAGTGTTAAGACTTCATTCCTGCATCTCCATCTTCCCTTTTCCCCTCCCTGTCTCCTTTTTTCCCCCCGTTTTCTTGGCTCAAACTCGTGTTCTCATTCCTGCTCCATCAACCCTGTCTGCTGGGGGTCATCGCCAGTTTCCCCCCCCGCCCCCCTCCTTCTCTTGGCCCTGTTTCTCAACTCATTCCTGTCTCAGTAATGGACCACATCTGGGAGAGATTGAGCCGCCCTCTATGTCTGTCTGTGAAAGCACAGCCAAGCCCAAAAGCAGGGGGTCCCTCGTTTTTGCATCCTGATCTGGGTCTCAGTCTGCTCCAGGGACACCCCCTCCTCCCCCTTTAGGTGGAGATGGGGCAGAGATGACCCCAAAACAAGTTTATGTATCAGAAGAAGGATAAATAAGTGCCCGTCTATTTCTGTCGACCTCTCTTTCCGCTTGTTTGGCTGCTTTTCAGCCGTTCCCATAACTAACGGGTCCCCTTTGTGCTCTAAAGTCTCATTTTGGTCTTTTATGATATTATTTCATCAACAAAGATACACAAAACTGATCCAGCAGACGAGAGCAACCCAAACAGAAGAGTCAGAGGTTTAATATATTAAAAAAATATCACAAATATAGCAGATACTGACAGTTTTAAAAGCATGTGTTATGCCTAAGTAGAGATGTATCTGCTTAAGTTGACCAACAAATAGTTTTATACCACCAAATGTTCATTTATGAATTATTTCTTTATGCAATAATACCATGTAGTCAATGCAGATGACAAAAAATGAAGTTTTCTATCACTAAATTTACTGCTATGCACAAAAATATTCAGTTTGATCAAACATATAACTTCTTTTTGGTCTCGCTTTTGTCTCTGCCCTCTTCTTTATTAATCCCCTGATCAGTGTTTTTTTTTTATATTTGTGTGGTTTCTACAGGCGGAGGGTTTAACATCGCGGAGAATGTGACAGAGGAGGTACAGAGCCTGAGGAACAGAGTGGAGCTCCTGGAAAAGGTACAGATGTTCACATAAAAGCCCCCTTCACACTTATACCTCCCAGGATTTCTCACCAGGAACACCTTTAGTCCATGTGTGACGCTATGATGTAAAATGTGAACTGCTGTTTTAATCCCTAAAACAGATTTTAATTGGTTTTATTAGACTACTGCCTGTTTACATGTGGTTTAACTGTATTCATATGCTGACTCACACTTAACATAGGAGGCTCAGATGCTTTTTTATTGATATCTCACTGTGTTTGAGGTTATAAATCAAATAATTTAACTGTTATTGCGCCAATATTTTAAGGTGGATTATTGAATGAAAAGACAAAGAGCAGTGAAGCCCTGAAATAGTCAAACATTAGCATCTAAGTTACAAATTTTGCAAGTACTATGGTGTTTTTGACATGGTACGCATGCCATGGTGCAGGCAAAAACACTGTATCATAGTAGGACAAGGTGCTGGTACTATGGTGCCACTGTAGTTAGAGTACCAGGGTAGAATTTCTCCTGGTTCTGGACATGGTTTCAGAGGAAAAGGGCCGCCGTGTCTGTTCCTCTGAATATCGTTCCTTTTTCTTCCTTGCTTTAGAAGTTGCAGTTGGTGTTGGCCCCCTTCAGCAGCTTCTTCCCGCTCTCCCTGGACGAAGGCTTGTCAGAGAAAACCACTTTACTGTCCCACTCCTTCCAGCAGCTGGACCGCATAGACTCTCTCAGCGAGCAGATCGGCTTTCTGGAGGAGCGCCTCGGCACATGTAAGTGACCGCAGGCCGACCTTCGATTGGTCATAGTTGAAAATAAAGCTTGTGAAAAGAGGGGAAGTCCAGTTTAAGTATTTGAACACCACTTGTATTTTTGTCCCTGGGAAGACAGAATAGCTGAAAAAGTCTGTAAAAAGATCAGAGACCGAGTCAAAGCCAAGACGGCACGGTTTTCTATAACGTAATAAAATAGTCAATATTAATAAAATCCAATAACATAAAAGAATATTGTTCCTGTAACATAATAAACTTTTGGCTGACCTTTTTTAAATGTCAACAATACGACACTTTACCTCATAGTATTTGTTCAAAAACAAGTCAAGGCAAACTTGATTTATGAAGCGCATTTCATACAAAAGGTAACACAATGTGCCTCACTTTCATTTGAACTGTGTTACTGCTAGAAAAAAAACACTTTAGCTGCATTATAAAAGTTATTATTAGTTTAAACAAACAAAATATTATCCTCATGGTGGTGCTAGAGGAAAGCCAGACAAAAGTTTATCATCTGGGAGTCATGAATGTCCACTCAACAGACCGAAGTAACTGCAGGTTATCTGTGAAATGCAAGGTATATCACTAAAAAAGCTGAAGGTCTTTTCATTTGTTTTAAAGGATTTCTTTAAATATATACACTTACTTACCAGATTTCTCCTCGTGGGGTCCTGTCCTCAACTTTTGGATACTTCACGTTGATTATTTTTACTATAAAATGAGCTTTATCATATTTAGTTTTATTAGATTATAGTCAAAAGTTTAATTTTAGGACATAAGCTCAGGACCAGCTAAACTAACAACCCTTAATTTGAAATTCCCCTCGGTTCAGATTACAACCACTGTCTCAAGGTATATTACTGAGCTTGCTAAATTGTGCCGTCACTTCCAATAAAAGAGTTGATACCTGATGGTACGTTGCATTAACTTTTTCTGCTCTTCTCCCCTACAGGCTCTTGCCAGGAGAATTAACCACAAAAAAGCATCTACCGTCAACTTAATAACCTATGTACGGACCTACCAGAGATCGTTCGTACCAGGATGGCGGAGAACAAAAATAGCCTAGGTTCTTGTTTTGTCATGTCATGCTGCAATCATCGCACAAATCATCTGTTATTTTCTTTCTCCCAACGGTTCTATTTACCTTTCCTCTTGGATCATTGTCAAATTCTTGATTTTGTAACTGTACCTGTGGAGGGGTTGGTTTCAGTGTGACATCATCCCTGTAACATCTGAATCATACCTGTGAGGGTCGAAGGTCAAATTGGCCACTTTGTCTCTGTGTTTGTTTTGCATTAGTGCAGCTGTGTCCTGAGGCAGACATGGACGTCAGTATTTATCTATTTAAGTTATGATTACTTTGAGGTATTTCTCATTCCAGTCCACAGTAGATATTTTTACCAAGTTTTGTAACATTTTGTAATAAAAGCCTTCATCGAAAACACGTGTGCTGACTTTAATCATTTCACAGTCACAGATTCATGAATGCAAATATCTACTTATTGACAGTGTTGGGTAGTAACATATTAGTAACGCCATTGCATAACGCTGTTACTTTATTCAGTAACTATGCTGCGTTCGAGATACCTTAGAAGTCAGAAGTCCGAGCTGAAAATGACGTCACACCCAAGTTACCAGCATTTCAGTTACCAAGTCAGAAAAAAGCTAAAACGAAGGCCTGAAACAAGATGGCTACATCTACAAAAGTTATTTTAGCGCTTGCCTTATATTCAGATAAGACAAGTGCTAAAATAACTTTCGTAGATGTAGCGATCTTGTTTCTGCCACTGATTTTACTTTTTTCTGACATGGTAACTGAAACGCTGGTAACTTGGGTGTGACGTCATTTTCAGCTCGGACTTCTGACTTCCGAGGTAACTCGAACGCATCATTAGTAATGCCATTACGTAACAATGTGACTTTATTCTGTAACTAATAATGTAACACGTTGTTTTTTAAAATTCAGTAACTCTGTTTCCAAACGCTGCCTGACTCCGTTCCTTTTTACAATTGGACAACAGTTCCCATAGCATTTAAATCTATAAAGTTTAATTGAATTGTAAAAACAAAGCACTTGTTACTCTCTAGCGTCACACACGTAATCAAACACGATCAACCAAACATTAAAAAGGACTGGCGTGTGTTTGATTACGCATTATTTTCAACTCAAGAGCGAAGGGAAAAACAATATTTCAGTAACATCTAAACTGTGTTCCGGGTCAAAAATCCTTTCTACTGCAAACAACAGCAACAGCAATCTACAGAAGCACCTAGAGAAGCAGCACACTTCGACAAATTTAGCAGCTAAGATAGCTAACACAGCATCCGAGACTGAGAGTCACAGCAGCGAGCACACACCCACTCCACCCAAGCAGCAGGGGTTGGAGTTCGCAAGACAGACCCAAAACCAGGCACAACTCGATGAAACAATAGCACCGTATGTTTAATTGCTTATTTGGATCTCTTTATAACTATCAGGTTATTATTCCTAGAGTCCAATGGTAAAATGTTGGTGTTAAGTGTCAAGGTTTGTGTTGGTGCGTTAACATATTGCTCAGATGATTAGATTCAGTGATGTGGATGCAAATGAATTTAGACGGTTGTTTTAATCAACAGTTTGTTTAATTCATCATCAGCACAGAACTGAAATGACGGCCAGAGGGGAATCAGTCCACCTTTATGTATTGGGAGCATTGGAGGAACGTTTTACATTAACGAAAAAGTTACTTTCTCTGTAACGCATTACTTTTTGGTTTAAGTAACTGAGTTACTATATTACATTTTTTTTACAAAGCAACTAGTAACTATAACTAGTTACTATTTTTCAGTAATCAGCAAAGTACTGCTAAAAATTTACTTTCTCAGTAACGCATCTTTTTTGGTTTAGGTAACTGAGTCACTGTTATTTTTTTTCAGTCACTAGTAACTGTAATTAGTTACTATTTTTCAAAAACTAGCACAACACTGCTTATTTCTGATATATGATGAGATCTTTATTTAGCTAACTCAATACAGGATGTTGATCACACTTTTTTGTTGCAGTAATTAAGAGTCCATACAAAGTTTTAGGTTTTACTCTGATATGACAGCACTTTTTCTGAAATTATGTATGAACAGAGACAATCCTGAACTTTTCTCTGTTGAGCTGGCATAAAAGTAAATCTGGTTAACAGTTTTCATTGCTGGAAAAATTAAGATTCTGCAGAAATAAACTTGTACACAAATATCATGGTATTAGTAATTATGAAAAAGTCACGAGTATTTTAGTCACATTTGTGTCATTTCTATATGTATTTTTGTCCTTTAGTAACTGTTCTGTTGGCATAAAAGCTGCCCTTAAACGTTAGCTTAACATTTTGGAGCTTATCTACATAATTTTATTTGGTGTTTTACTTTGAATGAAATCCTATACTCTCACTGGGTTGTCTAAACCTGTTTTAAAACATCTACATTTCAGATATCTATACTATTTGGTTTGTGAAATAAAAAAAAAAATCCAAATATATGCATGTCAAATTAAGACAACATCAAAGGTTACAGGTGGTCGTATGCATCCAGTTGAGGCAAGTGTTTTTGGATGTTTCCGCAGGGTGCAGGGTAACTGGCTGGAAAGCCCCATCTACCCTGTGGAAGTGAGATGCTGGGGCTCTGTCATCCCCTCCGCTTCTTGTCTTCTCCATGAAATAGTTCGGGTGAGTGGGAGCAGAGACAGCAGTAAAAGGTAGATTCTAGCTGTGGCTGAGTACAAAGCACAGAAGTTGGGGGGCAAACGTCTCTTTTGGCATCTGCAGGAGATTGCAGGGCTGTCACAAGGGCAAAACATGACTTTGCTGCTGACTTGAGGGGGTCTGTAAAATTGTTTAGTGAGGCTTCTCCGAGTGGAGGCGCCCCTGTGAGTGAACCTGTATGTGAAAGCACCATTTCTGTGTAACTTTTGTTGTAAAAGAATAATTTTAGGAAACTTTAACACGTTGAGATTGGGATTTAAGGCTTCTATGATGAGTTTTTTGACGTTAATGAAAAAGACAAATTCATTTGTGTGTCTTTTTATGACAAATAAAAGCAAACAAGACCTTCAGTAATAAGACAGGTGATTTTTATACTGTCCTTTTGCCTGAAATCAGTGTGAGGGGGTAGGTGTTTGTGGAGCTAATGAAGAAACCATAGAAAGTAGTAGTACTTTGATAAGTTGTACTTTTTTGGACAAAAGTCTGTACTGATTTTGCAGTCTGTGGTGGTTAAGTAACAGAAAAGGACCAAACAGACATTTAACAGCATGACAACATAAGAAAAAAGAATGAATTTTATTTATTCTTTTGCAAGGCATTCACGTTTACCCAGAATAGGTGAAATCAAGAACACTACATCATCAATAATAACCAGAGACTATAATGGGCGTCTATACCATGTGTGCATATTTACACACCCACACACACACACACACACACCCACACACACTCTCACACTCGTACACACTCATACATACAATAAGGGACCACACACATACACGGCTCTGCAGGATGTCAGCTCTGTTTCTCGTATCCATCTAAAGCTACCACCAGGTACACTTTAATAGCTTTGGTGAAAATCAGAGAAAACCTCAAAGTCCTTTTTTTTATTTTACTAGTTTTTTTCCCACCTAAACTCAGCATGAAAAGTGCTTTATTAAGGTTCAGAATACTTTCCCAATATTTGACATACTAGATCGTAAACAGGTGCTCAAAAAAAACAAAAACAAAAAAAAAAACAGCAGGATTTGTTGCAGAGCCACCGAGTTCAAGCTGACACAAAGCTTACAAATCACACATTTGTAGTACAAAATAAAGAACTCAGCAGGAAATCAATGGATAAAACACTCCAATAGCAAAATGTATATGGTATAGTTAATAATTTGGGAGAAATTAATTTGGTAGAGTACTTTTATAACATTCAAATCCACTTTCTGCTAATGTAAAATCTGCTCTTTAAAGATAAGAAAAATCAATAAATATATTTAAACTAAGATTAAAATACAGAAATGAGTAAATACCTGTTATATGGGGCATAAATTTCAATCTGGTTTTGAACATAAATGAACATCACATGTATTTAAATGTAAGGGCCCAGCAGGTTTCTACTAAAAGTACTGTTGAACAGCAGAATGCAGGCTTCATACCAACATTGATATATCCTGATGTGCAGTAGTTTAAATTTAACATTTAATGGTCAAATAAATACATTTCCTAGTTTGATGCTGACTGTATGCAATACAACATCCCACTTTTGTACAGTTGTTTCATAAAATAATATGCAGTTAGTAGCACACAAACGTCCTGAATGCTAAAATACATTCTCAGATGGGCTTTGATGGGCAAAAGCTGCGAAATAATCAAGTCGTAAAAGGCAGTGAGTGACGTGAAATTTAAGACCTGCATGTAAAATCAAGAGTTCAGTCGATTCCAGTTGGTTAGCAGTCTTCATCGGTTTATGACTTACTAAAGTAAATTTATTATTAGCAAACTAGCCAAGCAATCCAAAGTGCAGCAACAAATCAAATTTACGCCCAAAATTTCCACAACTTTTAAATACTCCAATTTTTTCCCCTGAAGTTGAACTGTACAAATAAAACCATGTTACTGGCTTACAGATCAATTAAAAGAACTTTCTGAGATGTAGATTCGCCAGGATTGTTAGTCAATTAGTAAAATTAATTAGAACAAATAAAATCAGATCAAGTAAAAAAAAAAGTTCAACTTTGTCATAGCTGTTACACAAGTTTTCTCCTCTTCCTTAAAGCAAAATCTACCTTAAAATCTCTGGAAAAAGGAACTAATATTGCTTGGGATCGATCAGTAAATGAATGAGCAGGTTCATAATGACACAGTAAAGAGCTTTCACTGGAAACTTTCATGGCACAGCAGGTAGCTTGCACTTTGGAGCAGTAATTTGACATTGCACAGAATGAAATCACCTTTTTTGACACGTCTTAAATAGTGTGTTGAGTTTGGTTCCAGGAAATTAAAAAAAAAAAAAAAACTCCCTTCAAGAAAAAAAAAAGAAGGTTACCAGATCTGGAAATAAATAGAAAACAGAAATACAAAATGCAGCGAGAAGACAGTTGCTGCTGGAAGCTGTGCGCAGATTTCTAAGGTTTCGAAGAGAGAACGCACAACGATACACCAACAATGCAAAACACTGACAACTGATCTGTCCGCTTGAGTCCAGTACATCAGAACAGATGGGTGCTATTGTTATACGCTGTATCTCGTAACCCTCCAACTTCTTGTTTTATACTTTAAATAAGGTTATAGAGTTGGTTTCGAAGCAACAGAACTTAACAAGTCCGTAACGTTGACGTTTCGCTTTGGTGTCTCCACCGCTCACGGAGACCCCGCTCCTTTTGTCTTTAGGCAAGAGACTGGAATGCAGAAAAGGGAGGGAAGACTCTTAAAGGAGAGAAATAAAGGAAAAGGTGTGTGTGTGAATCTGAAGATTACTAAAACAAAAAAGGAGGGAAGCATGAAATCCGTTGACATTTGTGCGCAGAGTCAAGGAAATGCCAGGTGCTCAAAAGAAGAAAAAGGCTTAAAATTAAAGTACGCGATGGCGGTTAAGACAAAATTAAAGCCAAGATGAAGGCGCTTAGAGCCGTTCCATAAAAACAAACAACCAAGAAAAAAAAAAAAAAAAAGGCATGCATGAAAAACACACATCCATACTGCTCGGCTTGCCGTCCGTCACTCCGCTCCCGGTGTGCAGAGCAAACCTGCAGACTCGGTGAGGGTCAGGACTGGCTGTGCGGTCGGGCCGGACCAGGCGTCGACTAGACAAGAAGAGATATCATGACAAAGAAGGCCTGTGTCATGTTGTTTGTCCTGGCCGGGTAATGAGGGGAGAGCAGGAGGCAGGGGTCTGGGGTAAAGGGGATGGAAGGAGAGAAGAGGGGGGAGCTGAATGGTAAATGTTCAGTGCCGCGTCGGCCCGTTGCTCTGGGTTACGGAGTCAGAGACGTCCAAGTAGGCAGAGCGCATCACGTTGAAGGATTTATCACAGAGGGATGAAACATCGTCTGACGCCATCCCCTTTGTCTCGATCTTTGGAAGGATCTTCAATCTGATGGTGCCTGCGGAGAAAACAACACTTGACTGTCAGAGGCGTTTTGCATACAGATACAGACATCAAACAGAATCAAGCAAAGGATCGAAAAAAAAAAAAAAAAAGACAAAACGAGGAAAATCAGGATGTGTTACCCGATCTGAACTCCTTTTCTTTCCGTAGGTAGAAGTTGCTGTAAGAGGAGAAAACCACAGGGATGATGGGCACCTGAAAAACAAGAGGAGAAAGAAGAAAAGGACTGAAAAATTTCATCATTTATCATCATCATTTCAGAAATTCAAACATCATGACTTCCTGTCTTAAACATTGGCAATGTTTTGTTTCTGAAACCATCAATATCAAGCTACAAGATCCTTTCTTGTCTGCTGACCAGCTTCCTGGAGATGAGGATTAACTTTTCCAGCAGGATGTAGCCCCTGTCTGCAGCACCAAAACTACTCTCAAATGGATGCTGACCATGATTTGATAAAAGAAGTGAACCAGACCCACTTAAAGGGACATTCCGGAGTGAAATTAAGTTAGGGTCAAACATACCATAACACCGAGTTAGACACCCCCTTCAGAGATGACTGTTGCCAACCGCTATAGTAACGACTGTACGATAGCAATACACAGTAGTCTGAGGAGCCATAAACAAACCTCAACTAAAACGCCACTCTATAGCCACAAATAATGCTCAGAACAGCACCTAACTTCATCAACAGTACATGTAGGGTCCCAACCTTAGCACTAGCCACCAAACATCTTTTAAGCTTTGCCTTATTTCTTTAGCAAAAGACTAAACACAACTCATCTACTCTCTTCCAGTAGCTACCTGTTTGTACGGAGACCTCAGGCGAGTCTATTACCGCATCGGGGTTCCGCAGCTCAAGGAAGAACATTTATGATCATTTATCTATCATTTCCTTAAAGAGAAAATAATCACCATATTAGTCATTTTGCACTGCAGACGCGGTAGTTCTTCTGCCTTAGCGTCTCTGTCTGATTGCATTTCCATAAAGAAATGATCATAAATGTTCTTCCTTGAGCTGCGGCACCCCACTGCAGTCTGTAATGGACTGGCCTGAGGTCTTGCTACAAACAAGCGGCTGTTGGAGGAGAGTAGGTGAGTTGTGTTTAGTCTCTTTGCTAAAGAAATCAGGCAAAGTTAAAAAGATGTTTGTTGGCTAGTACTATGGCTGGGACCCTATATGTACTGTTGATGAAGTTAGGTGCTGTTCTGAGCATTATTTGTGGCTATAGAGTGGCTTTTTGGTTGAGTGCGCTGCTCCTGGGACCACTGTGTATTGCTATCGTGCAGTTGTTACTAAAGTTGGTATAACTAGAGAAGCAAGTGGTCAGCAACATTCATCTCTCGACAAGGTGTGTAACTCGTTACAGTGTGTTTGACCCTAAATTAATTTTACGCCGGAATATCCCTGAAAGGCTACTATCAAAGCAGCCTGTGCTTTAATACCACCTCAGCAGTGCCATGCTACACCACGCTCTACAATCACGATATAATTTAATCACAATACCCTCCTGTTTATTAAAATCTTGTGACGTAGAGTAACAGACATAAATTCTTCTCTGGATCGACAGCCCATTCCCTCCGTCTCTCTCACACACTAAATCAGCACAGCACCAGCAATCTCCATCCCCTCCTCTGCCGCTAATAGAGGCTGAGTTGTTCTCCGGAGACCCCCACTCTCCGAGTGGCCCTCCACCAGGACTGGCTGAGCCAAACGCGGCTCCCCCTGGGGGCTGTCCCGCTTCCACTCAATCTGGGTACAAATGAAGAGGCTGAGCTATAACTCAGCCGAGGCAAACAGAACGGAGAGAGATGGAAATAGTCTCTGATCGCTCAGGATTAGTCTCAAGTGGAAAGTGGGAAAAACCAAAACGCAGATTGTGTTCTCAAGAAGACCTTTAACGAAGTTATTCTGCCAAAAAACACATAATTTCAGACCTGTCCGTCTGTTAACATCCAAACATTATTTTCACAGCATCTGTGAACTGAAGGGCCAGTACAGAGCGCTTGTGTTTGCTAATAAGGAGCAGCAGGTTTTATTTTTGTAGCCTCGGAGCCTCCGAACCGAACCGAGCTGATATCAATCTTTAGCAGCAAGTAACAAGAATTTGGCTGGAAATCACAAACCAGCATTATAGCCTGGGGGTGAACCACGGTGCGGTTTCTGGCAAGATCCTGTTAGGGTTTTTTTTTCAATTTTAATTCCTTCCACCTGTCTGACCCTGAAGTTTGTGCTGCGAAACATCAGCTCAGGAACAGAGACCTCCCACCTGCATGCATGAAGAGGTTACGCTCTGGAGCTGTTTCTGTCCTTCGTCTGATCAATTCGATCGACGAGTCAAGGGTGAGCCTCATCATACTAAACTGAGTAAAAAAAGCGCTCACGATGTCTGTAAATAGACTGAACCTCTCTAGTTGTTCTCAGGCATTCCTTACTGATAACTGTTGCTGACTCAGTGCTTTTAACGCATGCCCTCATCCAGATATTGGACATAGTTAAATCCTAATGCTGCTTTATGCCATGTAAGGTTACTGGCTCCCCCGTGTGTCTAGACTCAGCACTTTGCCGGCAACATTAGCCCTCTCTCTCTTTTATTTCAGGAGACAAAAGTTGGCAGAAGTCTCCGGGAAAAACGCCAGAATTTTCAGAGAACAAACAGGAGGAGGGTGTCTGTTACCGAAATAGAAATGTGTACTTAATTCACATGTTAATGGATAGGGCCGCTTATACTTCCTCCTCTCAGTATTCAGAGGTCCAGAAATAAGTGAAGATGGAGAGAGAGAGAGAAAGAGAGCGCTCACTTGTGCCTGCACAGCCAGGTGGAAGGCTCCTTTTTTGAAGGGCAGCAGGTCGCCTCTCTGGTTTCGCGTTCCCTCTGGAAACACCCACAGGCGAATCTGTGGAGGTCAGAGGACAGTAGGGAAGGAAAACAGCGACTTAATCATCACGTCGTGGTGAAAAACAGAACTTCAGGACAGAAAGATTATCCAACCAGTAATCACTTCATGAGCCAAATACAGGAGCTGGTTTACCTGGTCGTCCAACATGGTTTTGGCAGCATCGGCCATGACGCTCTTGGCGTCGCTCGTCTTCTTGCGGTTGATGAAGACGATGCCGCCCAGCCAGCAGATGAGACCCACAGTGCCGGCGTAGATCAACTCCTTCTTGGCGATCATGGTGCAGCGGTCTGGTAAAATCTCCATCAGACCTGAGAGGCAGAGGGGGGGGATTTACAGAGTTAGAGCGGACTGAGTGTTTTAGTTTCATCAACCACGGAAAAAAGAAAGTTAGTATTGGGAGCTCAACTTTTCATAAGGAAGATAGAAAGTGTGAATAAATACTTTGTCAGTGTGCCGAAACTCGTCCGGCCACCCCTGCGTTAGTCGGTGCCCCAGCTGAGCCCCTACAGTCAAGACAGTCCAGATCCACCCCTGGCTTTTTAGACATCATGTCGCTCTTATCTGTATTGCTTTTTTGTTAGACTTAGCATTTTCATTTAAGCCCGGATTACATAATCATTAGTGCCTTTAAGCTCTTCTTTTTAGTTGCTAAACTCATTTTCTGCTGGATTGAACAAAAGAAGAAAATTAGCCTTGCTTAAATGCATCACAGAGTAAACACATCAGAGCCTAAAACGTGATATCTCTGCAGGGGGGATGAGTAAAAACAAGCTACTGAGGAGACCTTCGGCCTTTCCATCTTATCTCTCTGGCCTTGTCAAATCCAGATATAACATCAGGTATAAAGTCTACTGATAGGCTGCGTGTGATGCTTGAGAAGATATCTGATTTTATTGACAGGAGCTATCGTCGTGAATATGATGGATTCAGACATGTTTGTGCAAAGCCAGCTGGTGCAGAAGACGGCGATTTCCACACAAACCAGCACAGGAGATCAGAGAGAGGAAGTGTGTGAAACCGACTGCAGAAGAAGAGGATGTGTGTCTTTATCAAGGCGAGAAAGAGCGAACAGAACCGTAATGTCATCAGACAGAGTGCTTGAAACCCAGCTCTAGCAGCGGAGGTGAGAGATCTCTCTCAGCTCCTCTTGGCTGAATCCCATCAGCACCAGGATGAGCTGCTATTAATGCCTGGGTGTAGCTGTTGGCATGGCAACTTGGATGCCGAATCAGACTCCTGCTGAGTTTCTTCAGCTCTAATTAGATGTCCAGCTCTCCCCACTGCTGTCACTGCCCTGGCCTGCAGCCTGCCCTCATCACTCACCAACACTTAAAAACGCTCTCGACGAGGCGCTGATGGAGAAAAAACAAACCTCTGCTAAGTTAGTGTCCTTTCACAACCAGATTTAGCACCAAGACGAATGAGGCACATGCTTCACACATGTAGCATCACAGAGAAACAGCTAAAAGAACTGGGTAGAGATCAGGGAGTAAATCATGAACTAGAACTTTTATACTACAAATAATTAGAGCAACTACCGACCCCTGAAAAGCCAAAAAAGCTTCCTGTTACCCTTCTTTAAAATTTTGTTCAATCTACCTCTCATTCACAAAAGTCCAACAGGGGTGCAGCCCCTCCACTCGAACAGCTCTCACTTTCAAAGCAACGTTTGGCGGCACGAGGAAGTTGGATCGCTGCATCTTTAACACCTTGTGCAACAGCGGTACAAACTATCAGGCAGCCACAGGTGGAGAGAGGAGAGGAGAGCAGGAGGAGGCAGGAGTGTGTATCTGTGTGTGTCTGAAAAGCAAAGGGACAGAATGAGCACAGTGAGAGAGAGAGGCTGTAGCAATCACAAGCGTGCATGAACTAATCAGCACGGATGTACATGTACTCGGTTTCTGCGCAGGTATTTCTAGATGGTCGAGTTCATTACAGGTAGTATTTGTAACTATGAAGTAAGGACAGATCGTGCCTCTACGTTTGCTTTAGCTGAGCCGCTTGGACTCATGTCACCTCTCTCCGCTGATCATTTATCGTCTAAAATTGTCATGTGGCGCTGCTACATTCGTCTTCCTCCGCTGTTAATTGATTGCTTGCAACTCCCCGAGCACCATCTCCTAGGTAACACAAGGCAATGCAATCAAGTATCTCTCTCTCTTTATTGCTCTCTTGCTGATTTATAGGCTGCAGCTCATTTTTAAGGTGACAAAAATGGTATAAAATTTGAGTTTTATACACCAAATTTGACACTATGAAAGCAACAAGTTGAAACCTGGTTGAAGACTCCTCTTAACTAGTTTCTCAAGTTATCAAAAGCTAGGTGGGGTGAGCATTAGAGCTGGGCGACACGGCCTAAAATCAATATCACGATATATTGAGCAGTTCGCCTCAATAACAATGAATACTTGATAACTACTCCATTAGCTGCTCACCCCCTCCCACATTAACTTTGTTTACTTCAACCGCCGCTCCAGCTGCTACAACTTTTGAACCGTCCTCCATCTCCTCACCTGTCTTTCCCTCTTTGCTACGGACTTGATGGGGTGGAGTCAAGTCTCTGACTTAGGACAGCGTCTTAAAAGGGACATGAGACCATAGCCTACCTACACACATCCAAAACTAGGGCTGTCCCAATCCGATATTGATATCGGATATCAGTCCGACATTAGCAAAAAAATAAATATCAGATTCTATCGGACTGCATCTAAAATGTCTGATATAAATGCTCCGATAAGAGCAGTTCATTCTGCTCCAGTGCTTCTGCACTATATGAGGTGACGGTGGTTCACACTCCAACACAGTAGGTGGCAGTAATAAACCAACGCTGGTGCTGCCTGCCAAAGAAAAAGAGCGCCCGGCTCCAGCATGTAGAACTCACGTATTCACAACAACAACAGTGTATGTGCTACAAGAAGAAGGGATGTCGGCCGTGTGACAGTACTTTTCCCTTAAGTCAGACAAAGACGTTGCAGCTGAGTGCAAACTTTGTCATGCACAAGTTTCCTGTGGTAGCACAGAGCAGGGGAAGTTTAATACGACCAGCCTTATCACGCATTTGAAAAACACCACAAATAACAGCATGAGGATTTTCAAAAGATCACAGAGGCAAAGAAAAATCTTACCTCTACCTTCCTCAAACAACCAACGCTGGCCGAAACATTTGCAAAGCGGGAAAAACTCTCACGGGACGGCAAAAAGGCATCGGCTATAACAGAAAAGATAGCCTAATTTATTGTGCTTGATGACCAGCCCCTGTCGGTGTGAGTAATGCCGGGTTTAAACGCTTAATTGAGCACCTCGAGCCACGTTATGTTATCCCTAACCGCCACTACATTGTCGACAAATCTATACCTCAGATGCATAAAGAAGTTAAAAAGTGTACACATGTGGAGAAAGCAAATGCTGTTAGCTTCACCACCGACATTTGGAGCTCAAACCATCATCCCCTGTCCTTATTAAGTCTGTTTACAGCTCTTGTTATCAGAGTGATATGTTTATTTTGCTTACATTCTATTGTCTATTATTCAAGGCCTCCCAATTTATTCTTATATATTCTTCTATTTGTTTTGTTGATAAATGGGTCAATTTTCCCAAACTGCTGTTGCAGACTATTGTTCTCTGTTTGAGTAATATCACTTGATGCAGCCTTTTCTAAAATTCCACATTATAAAATAAGTAATCAAAGTATGTATCACTCACGGCGTGCTGATATCGGGTTTATATCCATATCAGCCGATATTTAAGGCTGCAATATCGGTATCGTATCGGGACAGCCCTATCCAAAACCAACTTTTATTCATTTATTTGACATCGAATATATTGACATGGGCAAAATGACGTTGGTTGTTATCGTAAATTCCGGTATCAGTAAATTTTCGATTTATCGCCCAGCCCTAGTTTGCATATTCTAATAGTGCGACCTCTATAGGCCGGCTTCATAATGCTCCCTCAGAAATCAGTGGGATGTCTAGTGTCTAATAAAACACTTCTTCTGTTAAAAAGTTGTTTTGTCTACTTTCAGTGTAGTCGAGTTTTGTCTGATTTGCCAGAATAATTACGACATTACGTAAGAGCTCTGGAGTTGGAGCAGGTCAAATGCAGGTTGTTCGTTCTCAACAGTTTGACAGGAGGGTTTCATGTGTTGCTGAGCTCATTCAGGTCACATTTTGAGTCAGTGCTCTCTGAACAGGCCAAGTACTTTGGCACTTCAAAGCTTTTTCCAGTAAAACCTTCTTGGACTATAACAAAGGGGGGGGGCAGATGGGCTCTGTGCTGGTCATACTAGTCATCCGAGTGGTTATAGCTTCTGCTCACACAGGCAGGTAATAGGATGTCAACACCAACCAGAACAATGAGTTCCTGTAAAGGCAGATTCTGTGTTTTTATACTTGCGCTAAAATTACTCACTGTCCAGGAAAGTTTCACCTGACCAGGATTTTGTGAAGCAGAAGTTAACAGAGACGGAATAATCCCTGTTAGTTCCATTGAGTGGTACAAGCTTGTCAAATGTATTAGCCTGGGAGTGCAGATTCACCTCATATATATATACACACTCGAGAGCAGAGTCACAAATCCCCACAGTCAGAGCTTAACCGCTGCAACAGCACACTCCTTTCATCTGCTACTTCTGAACCCACTGCAGAGGAGTGCTGCTCCCTCAACTAAAGCGCCCAGAATTTTCCCAGAGTGCATCAAATCTGGTGTCAAATTGCACAGGGTGAAACTACTGAAAGTACAACCAGTACTTCCTGGGTAAATCTGATTTAGTTTGAGAGGCAGAAACCGAAGATTGACAAAAAAAACTAACAAAGTTAAGAGCTGTGAAAAAGCTCCTCTTTACATCATCTCTCAGCCAGTTCTTCTAGAGTCTCTTGCGCTCATGGAGAGCAGAGATAAACCCAGAAAGACTTTGATGCACTTCAATTAGAGCTCGAAGAAAACTCTCAGTATGAAGTTTTTGTTTGATGTTGGATCCAAAAGTCTTGGTGTCTCGACATGCATGGATTGCAAGCGAGGTATGATTTGTGCAAGCTCACGCGAGCTGGATGCAATGATTCATCACTAGAAAATCTTGAACTGGCTAATACCTATTGATCAGATTTCCTTATACCATACACTTACACCCTCCAGTATAGTAGGTGGCAGTGACGGACTTTAAAAATGTTGGATCAAAAATAAATACGGCAAGCTCAAACCGAGCAGCAGCTCCAGGTGCTGGAAAATGAAACCTGCCAAAAAAGCGTGTGGTTAAAAAAAAGGTGTGACGTGCTACAAGCCTAAACTCCACTCTCATTTCTCATTTTTGAGTAAAAGTAAAAGAGACTCAGCATTTCCTACACAGCGTCTACCATCTTTGGGCTTTAAAATGTTCCTCAGAAACCAACGGGCAACAGAGGCCCGAGCTACACGCATATGGATATTTATTTATCAGGATATTTTTGTACTCCCATCTAAATAAATGTATCTGTCCACATGTGTTAGTTCTCAAAAATATCTGCGTCCACATGTAGCCTTCAAACTCAATCCTATCTGGTGCCGCTTAAAAAAAATTCAGGAACAAAGCTACCTGATTGGCCGATGAATCGTAACAGCGTGATGCGTCATGCATTGTTTGCGGAAGCTACGCTAGTGCGTCGGGTCCATGTGACGGACCATGTGACCAATAAAAGTATTGGGCGCTGCAGTCGTGTCTGTGAGCTGGCTGACTGGTGGATGTAATTGTATAAAACAAGGTTCACTTGAAAGGCTGAAATTAGCCCCAAAAGGGCAAAACAAACGTAAAGAATACCCTGTTTGTCCGCCATCGTTGTTGTTGTTTTTCTTTTTAATTCGCATGCGCGAGCTGCAGTTTGACGTCATCGATCTGTAAAAGTCCAACCACACGAATCCACTACGGATACGGATATTTTCTTATTTCTCCACTTGTTTTTCCGGATTCAGATTTATCCGGTTTGAGTGCTCCAAACTCCCGTTTTGGTGTGGTAGGGAGGCCTAATCGGACATAAATATGTGCGGTTTGAAATATATCCGCATTTGTGTAGTTCGGGCCAGAGTCCTGTTCTTATACATCCACTGTATGAAAACAGGGCCATCACAACAGCTTCTCCAGAGTGAAACCAAAATGTTTAAAGCTCCCCCTATTGACTAGCTACAGTACTGTTTACAAACCCTGCCTCACAATCAGTTTTAATAGTTTTTAGTTTTTTTAAATAGTTATTTAAGAAAGTGTCTGTGTATACATGAACCTACTTCTAAAAGTTTGACATGACTTTCTGTCAGATCCCTCTGATTGTTTTAAAGGAAATACTCTGATAGTACAAGATAGTGGATTTCAGATTTTAATAAGCATAAAGCCACAACAATCAAAAGTCAAACAAAAAAGTCCTGAATTATTTCATTTCTGTGCTATTGATATAAAACAAATAAGATTTCACTCCTATGAATAACAGCAACAACTACAAAACATTGTAATTTATGAAGATAAACCTGCACAGCCAATATTTGTCACATCTGTGGATCACACTCTGATTTGTTCCCAGTAGTTTTCTTGCAAACTGAAAATGAACCTTTAACAGAGATTTGCATTTTTATTGTGCATCAAAACATCATTTGGCTGACTCTGTGCTAGTTAAAAATTGTAATTGTTCCTTTGCTGTAATTCCACTTAGGTCTCTGCCTGGTGAATTTTACCTGTGGGACGCCATCGTCTAATGTGCAGGTATAAAAATATGTTTATTAAGCTTTATGAGAATTTTGATGGTCTCTGAATAAGTCTGAAAAATCATAGATGCATCCTGTAAAAATGTGTTGACAAATACAAAGTAGATGACAGAAAATATTAAATCAGTGTCTTACATACAAGTTATTACAATACCCACCCAAAACATCTAGAGAGCTCTGGTGGTTGGAGATGATGACGTAGGGCCCCTCCGTCTGCAGATGCTCCCAGCCGCTCACTTCAAACCGGAGACCGAGTAAATACTTCACATGACGGACCAAGGAGCGGATAATCCTGAGGGGAAGAAGGTTAATAACAGTCCTGAGTTAGTGAAGGTCTATTCACCGTCATGGAAGTGAGGCATGTAGGCAGCTTATTATTAACCACAACCCTGTATGTGAGTGAAGAGGTCGTAGCTGACAGTTTAACATACAGAACATTGGTTAAACTTGTCTAATAGTAGGGTAGCGCAGCACATTATAAGACCGTCTGCTCAGGTTTTTAACATACGACCTAGATAAAGCAGAATAACTCTGACTCTCTCTTTAAAATAGAAGACATCTGGTCGACTGTGTACAACATTCCTATTAGGAGTTGTTTGTTTCTTGGTTGGCTAAATAATTGCCTGAAGTTAAATACAATGCTCCAATAAGCTTTGACAAAGATTGGCCTGCCATCTGTCTGCCTCAGAGAAAAACAAAACAACATATTATGAAGATGTATCCAGCGAGTCTAATTAAATATTTTGATTATTCTTTAAAGTTTTCTTCTAATGGAGAAAGATATTCCTCCAGCAACGGATTAATACAGAAAGATCTAGTTTCTTGCTCAGTTCACATGCTTGTTCATGGTATGTTCAGTTAATTTAAAGCCAAGATTATCTAAATACCGGCAATAAAAAAATGGCACTCAAGTGAGGGTGTAAGGACTGAGTCTTTCACTACCTATAAAGTTGTTTTTACTCCATGTCAACCCCAAATAATCCTGAATTGTAGGAGGAATACCAGAGATCAATCCACATAAAAGAGTTCGGCACATTGCTAAAGCTTATAGCCTCCTGTTGACTATGTAGCAAAAATACTGATTTCCCGTGGCAAAGGAAAACAACAGAATAGATATTTTTAACCATACACTTTATTTATTTGGAGAGGTTTGTGAATAATGGCTGACCAGCCAGTAGCTGAGACGAAAAGCGTGGAGGACATCAGTGGAGGAACTAGAGGGGATTGTTGAAACAAACAAAGAGACATCCAGCAAACTGAAGAAAGCCGACAAACCGCAACTATGCAGTAAAAGGGAGAGGACTTTATACAGACCTCATCATCTGATCATCACATGATCAGGACAAGACTAGTTTTTTTCCTGCTACTTTACCAACATTTAGTTACTAAGATTCTGGTTGGATGAAACAGAATCCCTTTGGGGTGTTTCTACTATTATATCTATCATGCAATAAGTAGCATAAGCACATGTTCATTATATTTAAGTCTTCCTCTGACTTTTAAGCTGAACATGTTGATATTGTCTTTACTACATCATCATTTCATCGCTAATCTTTCCTGTCGGTTTGTCAGTTTGTCAGTTCAGGGTTCATCTTCTACGTTTTAACTTTTATACACACAAAGAAGATTGCACTTTGGATTGAACCCTGCTCACAAAGATTCACTGACCTCTGCTCTGACTTGGACAAGTGTCAATAAGATCTTTAACAACCAGCTTCAGGATAAGACTTGTGTCACAATCAGATTATGCAAGCTTGCGAGCTCTTTTCCTGAAATCAAACATGATACTCCCCTCTTACTAAGCACTCTCTGTATATTCATGATACTTCTTTTTGGCCTCTGTAACACTTTTAAAAGCCCACTTTCTCCGTGACTAATATAATATCTCACCCTGAACATCATATGAAATACAGGAGCCAGTCTAAAGGCTATCTGAAATCTGTTGTTGATGAGTAAGGCTGGAGAGAGAGCCTTGACATTTGAAGTTCAGAACAAGGCCACACCACAAGCAGCTACTTATCTCTCTATTCCTCACAGCTATCTGATCATCAAACCATCAGGACAGGACCGGGCTCACTCCTCTTACTCTCAAAGAGTATTACCTACAGGGATCCTGCAGACCTGAACAGCTGATTGGTTCTCTACAATCGGAGCAACATAAGTGTCGCATCCACTTATAATAACAGCACTGAAACAAAGTAGCTCCCTGACAGCAAAGTTAAGCACTGAGAGTTTTCTCTCTTAAGTGCTCATTTATACCGACTTTGGTATTTGGGTCAGACTTCCTTGAAATGAGCTAAATTACATGGTACAAATGGCGCTGTCTACAGGAGTATAGTCTAGCTTCAATGCTGGTACTCTGATGGTTCCTCAGTAAAGGGGTCGAGCTTACCAAGATCACCTGTGGGTAATACGCTTTCTATTTACAAGGACCTCATTTAACCTTACTTAAAAAACCAGAACGACTCCTTTAACTGAGGATTCCTTGGTAACCATCAAAGTCTGAGAATATACCAGGCAGTTCCAAAGTGGCTGATTTCTGTTTAAACTTAAATACAAACTAGGGATGTTCCGATACGATATTGATATCGGATATCGATCGGTTATCAGCGAAAAAACATAGCATTTCCAGAAAGAAATTATCAAAAATGTTCTTCCTTGAGCTGCGTCACCCCGCAGCAGTCTGTAATGGACTGGCCCGAGGTCTCACTACAAACAAGCGGCTGCTGGAAGAGAGTGGGTGAGTTGTGTTTAGTCTCTTTGCCGAAGAAATTAGGCAAAGTTAAAAAGATGTTTGGTGGCTAGTGCTGTGGCTGGGACCCTATATGTACTGTTGATGAAGTTAGGTGCTGTTCTGAGCATTATTTGTGGCTATAGAGTGGCATTTTGGTTGAGGTTTGTTTATGGCTCCTCAGACCGCTGTGTATTGCTATCATGCGGTAGTTACTAAAGTTGGTATGACTAGAGAGAGAGGCAAGCGGTCAGCAACATTCATCTCTCGAGGGAGTGTCTAACTCAGTGTTACGGTGTGTTTGACCCTAACTTAATTTTCCGCTGGAATATCCCTTTAAGGTACTAACAAATAAGAAAGGAGTTGGAGTGATGTCGGACATGTGACAGTATTTTTCATTAAAGTTGGAAAAAGACATTGCAGTTGAGTGCAAAACATGTCTTGCACAATTTCGTGCCAATATTGGATAAATATCAGTATCGGCCAATATTGAAAGCTACAATTATCGGTATCGTATAATGATGTAAAAAAGTTGCATCTGGACACCCCAAATATAAACTTTGTAAAAGTGACCCGTCTTGCTGAGTGTGGCTAAGGTTATCAGAGCTTAAATCTATTAGCATTTTAGGCATAGTTTGCATAGTTATCTAGTAATTCTTGTGCAGACTAGCAAGAGCGAAAATGTTTAACCCAAGCAACCCCAGAGCAGACAAAGGCAACACACTATCAGGCTGCAAAACGTCTCCATAACAATCTCAGAAATTTCCGAAACTGTAGCTAATTACAGATTCTGTGACTGACTTCTTTCTCTACGCTGGAAAGGACAAATTCGACTGTGACATTTTCAAAAGATCAAAAAACTCCATGAAAGGAACTAAAATGTAGTGAGTACAGAACAGATTTCTTTTGACTGGGTTCCTCATGAATACTGATAATTAAGGCAAGTACAACAAATGATCATGCTTCAACTCCCCGCCGGGGGCATTTGTTGTCATCCCCTCCCCTCTAACATGCTTCCTCTCTGTCCCTAGACTTGCTGTCAGGGGGAAAAGGCTGAAAATAAACGAAGAGAAAAAGGATGAAAGTATCTGTGACTCTGAGGAGGTCTGTAAGTAACCAAATGATAAATACTCAAAGAAAGAGAAATAAAATTGGATTTCATAGTTTTATTACGATACGTGACAGCAACTCACTGTTCCATTCTGCATCTGCCAAGACCTGAATTTTCCTATGCAAAACTGTCGCACAAATTTTGGATAACAAACGAGCTGTTTACTTCTCTGTGACACACCAAAACTGGCTTCTGTTGTGCCGTGAAATGAAATGACCTTCTCTGTCAGGAAAAGTCACTCCTCTTCTTGTGTGTCAACTGGGAAAACTATCAGTAAAAAAAAACAAAAATGAAAAAAATAACCACACCTCATCATATCCCTTCTTTCTTTGGTGACTCACACCCCTACTAAAACGCTGCATTCCTCCTGTTGTACTGTCGCCTCTTTAGAAAAGCCTTCAACCCAAATAATGGCCTCTGTGTTTTATTGACTGAGTGAGTACAACAGTAAACAAGCTGTCAGACATTTCCAATCATCCTGTCACATCTGAATGTTCACAAAAGGAAGGAAGTGTACTGATCATTGGTCTTGTTGTGGTTATGCTCACTATGAGCAGTGGATTGAAAACAGAGAGGCCCATTAGTAGAATTTAATAGCCTTCATTACAGGCTGATAGTGGGCCTGATGATTTTATTACCCATCCACCGCGGAGGGGAACCAAAAGGAGCTTTTTCCAGACGTAAATAGTCTTTTGAAAAAGCAGCTTAAGTGCAGTTAGCTGTAATTTAGAGGAGCAGGGAGTTGTAGTTCTGTCTGACACTGTTAGAGATTAGTTATATCCTTCAAGATCTTTGTTATTAGGAGTTTTTTAAGGCTCTTTTTTTCATATTTTTTCATAAAGGTAGAACAGAGACAGAGATAGAGTTGGCAGTCACGGGTTAGAGTTAAACCAACCTTCCTTCTCAACCACTGGGCCACACTGGCTTCTCTGGGTCACTTTTAAAAGTTAATTTATCTTGGATCTACTTTGAAGTGGTGGAAGCAGTCTTAAATTGATCCCCCAAGTCAACAGGAGAAACATTGGTTTCTGTCATTTTAGTTCGGGGCGGCAGTAGCTCAGGAGGTATAGTGGTCGGCCAATAACTGGAAGGTTGACGGTTCAATTCCCCCCTATCCCTAGTCTGTTCGTTGTGTCCTTGGGCAAGACACTTAACCCTTAACATTGCTGTGTGCGTGTCCTCCACTGGTGTATGAATGTGAGTGATATTTGGTGGTGGTCGGAGAGGCCGTAGGTGCAAACTGGCAGCCACTTTTCCGTCAGTCTGACCCAGGGCAGCTGTGTCTACTAAGGTAGTTGACTGTACGAGCGAATGAATGATGGATCCAATGTAAAAGCGCTTTGAGGTCACTGACAAAAAGCTATAAAAATCTGATGCATTATTATTATTATTGTTGTTATCACACTGATTTCTATCCAAGTGGATGTTTTCAAGGAGGTTAAGTTTTTTTTAGAAAGATAACTGATTGACAGCTCTGTTGACAGATGTGGGCTCTTGCAGTGTTTTGTGAAAGACTAGCAGAGTAGACGAGGTACAGTGAGAGACAATGCAACAAACACTAACACAATAGTCTAGAATTTTCCACAGAATGAAGAAGGAAGCGCAACCAATGTAACCACAGCAGCAACCGTTAACATGAAACATTAACTGAGATGGACGTCCAAAAATATCCATTCTCCTTTTTTTATTTTATTTTTTTGGGTGATTTTGCCTTTTATTGACAGTACAGAGTGAAATGTGGGGAGATAAAGATGGGGGGTGGGACATGAAGCACATGGTCGGGCCGGACTTGAACCCGTGACCGCTGCGGGGACCCTGGTCCCCATACATGGGGCGCACTAACCCACTCGGCCAGCTATACGCCCCAGATCTGCTTGTTGATAGGTGGCGACAACATTAGCATTTACACAACATGTTCAATTTAATACACTGCGACTGAAAAGACAAGGGAAGGGGGGAAGGCATTGAAAAGAAACTGCTACTTCAATGGAAGAACTAGTGAACAAAGCAGCTAGCAGCAGTTCGCTCTTGTAGTCCGCCATGTTGTTTACTTTAAAACATTACATAAAGACATTATGACTCTTTGCTGCTGGGGCAAAGAGTCTTTACATGTGTGGTGAGCTGTGTTCACAGTCTGTCCCATCTCTCAGGGTTTCAGTTATTCCTAACCAGAAATATTGTTGTAAAAATGTATGTTGCCTTTATATTATATAATGTTTCACAATTACCCCACTGACACCGACCAGGCTCTAGTGGCTGGAGTGGTAATGATATAACAGCCGAGAAACTTGTCTCCGGTTGTGCTAATGAAATCACAGCAATTTCAACTCCGGAGAATGAAGCTCACGTTGCTCTGATAAGCAAAGACACGAGACAGCTTTTTAACCCCCTGACTCTCTCGAACACTATCCTCTCTCACCATGTGCTCACTTAAACCTACATTTACTTTGCCCTGCACATATAGTACACTAGACGAAAATGACTTTAACCTTTAGACCTGGATATAGTCTTTGGGTCATCTTGCATCACAGCGGTACAGTGATCGCACACTCAGTCCTGTGCAAAAGCAAACGGTTATGCAATGACTCATCCGGCGATGCAGTAATTATAAGACTGTTCAAAGGGAACGAAACGAATGGCCTTTGGTGGGTGCTTAATTCACTATGCTTTCCCTTTGGTTCATGTCATTATATGCCCCTTAAAAAGTTATTTCAATATCTGCAGAGAATACAGACATTTGGACCAATCAGCCAAAAGCATAGATTCAATCCAACCTGTCTGTTCATGGATGAAAGGTGAGCTTGACCTGTTGTCCTTACACATAATGCACCGGCACACAAATACAGGGGCAGGGTCACCGGATCAGAGTGACACAGCAGAGGGCTCCTTCATTCATGATTAGTCGCCCTCCCTGGTCTGAGTGACAACATAACTGCTGAGTCAAGCAGACAGCTACACTGGTTCCCTCCTGCTGATGCTAAACACCATTACATTTTAATCAACCTGAGCTAATGCTATTGTAAGAGTGAAAACTAAACCTCTGTCTTTATCCGGTGTCATGAGATCCGTCCTGATAATTAAAGGTGGAGCTGGAGCCAAAAGTAGGCATTTACTTAAGTGACAGTGTGTGTCTGAATAATGATAGTAAATTCAATCAGCTGTAAGAGGTTTGTTTGTAAAGCAGTAACATCTTGTGGTGGTAAATGTGTGTGGTGTACCAGAGTCAGATTTTGCATTTTGTTTCATTTGTCCTCACATGACCCCTGCACCTACGCGGCCATGGTGGCAGATAGAAAAGTAATGTAATGGAGGGTTTTGTGGTGACAAAATTCAAAGAGCTGTGCCTCCTCTTGTTAGTGTTTACAATGACAGTGCATCAGGGCATATCAATCAGGTGACAGTTTCATGTCGGCAAGAAACAGCACAGCTGGGATGTGCATCTCCATTAGAAAAAGGTCTACCGGCTTTCAAGTGTTTTTGAACTGATGACTCAGGCGCTTAGAGTCTTAAAAGATGAACAGGAGCAGGCTGTTGCTGTCACACGAAGTAAAGTGAATTTGATCGAGACATAAAAATGACAATGACAAGGACAACATTCAAACAGCTTGTCTTGTAGACTTCAATTTCAGCTCATTTCTCCAGTAACTTCCCGTCTTTTCACATCTCCTTCTGAGTCTGCCTGTACATGCGTGTGTAATATTCTCTGGAGAAAAGTCCCCTACTGCTTTCACGAACTTTCCAGCATACTAATAACTTGGAAACCATGCCAGTGAAAAATGTAAACAAAGGCTTCTCAGTCTGGATACCGTCCCTTGCTTTTCAACGTCAGAATCAATGACAGTGCTGACAGTTATTAAGATGAAACATACAGAGGAGGTCTGTCCTCTGCTCTTGTTTGCATTATAGGTCATAAAGAGACAATAGCATTACATTGAGACATTGTTATATCTCCTGTCAGAAGGTTTGACTTCTAATGAGTGTTTCAGGAAGTGTAAGACAACAACAAAGATAGAGTTTAGCTGAGTGCCATAAATGCTTTTTGTTGTTGAGGCCTGTTCTGTACCAACATAGCTTCACTGTGCAACATTCCAGTCCTCTATGTCAGCTGTGAAGCAAGCAGTCAGCCCCAGAATTGAGTCCTTTGTGCAGCAAGTCTGACAGTAAAAGTCTGTGACTGACTGCTCTGTCCTTGATGAATCACAGGACTCTTTCTGCCAGAGCTAGCTAGCGTGTAAAACTCCATTCACCCCCTCATTCACAAGGTCTGACCCCTGCTTCGGCCGCTTTGTCACAGTCAACAGGTCCAGATAACCTTTGAGCAGACAGAACGGGACACTGCTGCAACATGACACCAACACCGCCACGGCTAACATGACTGCAAAACAGTTATTCTGAGTGCAGCGAGGCAGCACAGTCTGCCGTTGTAAGTGACAGGGCTGCCGTCAGCACATCAAGGCCATGAGTTTGCACTGAGGATGGGCCTCTTAACTCACCAGGGGGAACTTCTTGCCATCTGGCATCTGCCTCTTCAAGGTAATTACTGGGATGCAGTCGTTTGTGTCAAGCAATCTGTTCTCACTGTCCAGGTTTAACCACAACAACAAAGATACCCCCTGCTTCAAAGAGGACACTGAGACTAGAGGCAGTGTACTACATTTCCATCCGGGCAGGTATCGTTTGACCTGGTCAGTGTGTGTGACCAGTATAAAATAACATATTTCCTCCAGGGATAAGGTCAATGGGTCATTCAGACAAAGTGAAGGGCTGCTGTTGTTTCTGTTTTGACTATTTTCAATCAGTAGGTGCTTCTTATGTTCAGCCCCTCACATACGTATAAAAGGATCATTGGAGTCAGATTGTGGTCATGCAAAAAAATAAAAAACTGAGGCTACCAATAACATATTCAAACAATGTGGCAATAAATATTGATCTAAAGATTAGTTCAGTGATTTAAACACGTGGCTGCTTTGTGTCTGTTTTCTTCAATTTGATAGAAGTCTCTTCAGCTCAGCTCCTTATGTTGTAACAACACTTGTTTATTTCTGCTGTTTCCCCACTTCTTGTCTTTTTCCTGCTGTTGATTGGTCAGCCATTAATCACCGTTCAGAACTTTTGTGCTCTCTAAATATAATCATTTTTCTGCCACATTATGAGGAAAAGAGTAAAATCTAAACTTTACCCTCACTCTTTTCCATTTATACACGTGTGATCACCTTTGCTGGAATCAGTAACCATTGTTAATGAGTTCTGGCCAATAAGCACCGACTACTCAGCACAGTCAGGTAGTAATAAAATAGGAACACAAAATGACAAACTTTCACTACGTTGACATTGAGCTCAGAGACTGAAAACTAAAAAGGTAGCATAAATAGAAATCCTATCGCAGTCACTGACTGTTTTGCAATGTAATAATCCTGTTGAAATAACACCCACCCACGTGAAGGATCCTGACTTATTATGCACATAATTTACTGATATGTAGTTAGTCTATTGGAAAGAAAATTAAAAAATGCAAAATGTTTTTCTGTTGTCGAGTCATAATAGCATCACAGACAGCACATTATCAAAGGGTTTAACCCTGTTTTCTGCTCACTAAAATTCACATCCCCATTATGTGGGAGCATTTGCTGTTCTAAAAAACACACCTACCAGCCATGAAATTGTAAACACATGAGCATTCTAATGCAATCACTTATAACGTGCAGTTCCTGGTGTTCATCTGAAAACAATCCAAGCTCCACCTTTCACTATAACACCCTAACCACTATCACTGTACCTTCAATAATAAATACAGACCTGTCACCTGTCAGGTCATGTTGACAAAAACTGAAAGTTTAATAAGCTTCCTGAAATAAGAATTCATGGTAGAGCTGTTTTATTGGACACTGGACAGCATTTGATGGCTTGGGTGTTCCTAATGTTATGGCAGGTAGGTGTTAAAATACATATCAGCTTGTGCTGCTTTCAAGAAGTTATGAATTCGGGGGTAAGCAATGCCTATCCTAGCCACACAAGACAAATGAAATTATTATTCTGACTTTATATATTGATACATTGAATTATATGCAAACAACATATGAGTTGCCATTCAAGTGGTTGCATAACTTTGGTAGTTTGAGTTAGAGGCATCATAAAGATAGGGTTTACAGCAGGGTTTTTGTGCTGGATTGCATACTTAGTGTACTTTAAACAGACACACTGACAACACACGAAATGATTAAGCCTTTTTACTAAAAGCAACAATGACAGCTTTGCAACATTTAATGCACTTTACATGTGTGCCAAAGTCATGCAACTTCGCTGAGCTCGCACATCTCACAGGATGAAGTTAGCACTGATAAATGAGTCACACATGTGCCATTATCTAAGTCTGTAATCGTTATACTCGCGTTGGGAAAAAAATCGGAAACGTCTCTGGATTTGATTTGCCCTTTCCAAGAATGTGATATTTCATGTTTTCAGCTAGCGTTAATCTGTTCCCTCTGTTAGTGTCAAGGGGGCTAATGTTAGCATATGTATGATTAAAAATGCATAATGAATTAATTTCATTTCCGTTTCCCTTTTAATGTCATTCAAACCGGGGAGCTATCGGCTATCTAACGTTACACTGGAGTTGGATGTACACAGCCTGTAGCTGCAAAGACACCAGTCAGTTTGCTAACGAGCGAAATCTGATGTTTGATATGAACTAACGGCTGCTAGCCAGCCAGCTAGCATGCTAACAACGACTAGCTGTCAGACGGTGTTCCGTAGAGTTTTGCTGCTGTGTCGAAAAAAGCCCCCGAATCGACAAGAGGTTCGCTCAAATATCTCTATTTATCTTTGGTTTTGGTCACAAACGGATTCATGAATTTTCATAATAAGGTGAACATATAAAGTAAAGCCTTTATATAAAATTTCAGGAGAAGATTATCTAAATAGACTAGTATTTCCTGTCAACTGACGCTGCACGTGCTGAATAACTTTGTATTAGACCAGTGCTGACTTTAATTCAGTTGTAAGACAGTCGGGAGCATTTTCTATTACTCTCCAACAAAGTTCTAATTGAAGATTTATGGAGAATCCTCTTTTTGTCAACTAATATCTTCTATCAATATTACTCCCAGCGGTGACAACAGACTAGAATGTGAGCTTTGCGCATGCGTACACCTGCTCAGGACCACATTATAAAACGAGGCACTCTTAGTTAAAACACCGGCGCTGCGAGCGACATTTACTATGCAAACAAACTCACCTCATGTTCTCAATGTCTCTACCTCCGCTTTTCAGTATACACAGAGGAATCGCGAGCAGGGCCAAGCACATCATCCAGGCGACGTAAAAGCACTTTTTGAAATAAAAAACAAAGGTGCTGCTGGTCCACATCAGGAGCGGGAGCAGCAGCAGCGGTACCATCCACAGCACCTCCATGGTGATCTACCACCACCAGAAACTCACCGCCAGCGACAAACACACCCGGGTTTTAGGTTCAGAAAGCCGCTGCACACGCTGTCCGACTACGGTGCAAGACAGGAGGGGGGCACCGCGGCCCTGGCAAACATTACACAGTCAGAAGTAGTCCCTTAAGGCAGACCTGGCGATGGAAACGCGTGTGTGTGTGGCTGCCCAAAATGAGCATGAAACACTGCTGCTCATCTGTTGCTAAATGGCATCATGAGGTGGAGTCAAAACGTCATCGGTTGTATTTTCTCCTTTTCCTTTTACTGGACCAGAGTGTCTGATGTCACGAGCTACAGACTGATAACCCTGTGAGTACATGCTTGTCTTTCATATGAACTCCAAGCTTTCTCTCTGCACCAGGCTAATCTCGTGTTTTTAATCTGTTACTCTGGAATCCCACATGTAGAGGTCTCAGATGTGGTTATTTACTCCATTATTCGACAAGCAAAGTTTTTCAATTCACAAAGTCTTCTTTAACGAAGCGCCACTTTAGTGGAATGTACCTTTTTTTTTTTTTTAAAGAGTAGATTAATAGGAAAAGGGAGTGCACAGGGGAGAGTGGGGTAAGTTGAGCCAAAGGGTAAATTGAGCCACCCCCTGTTGCTTGGAAATGATAAAAGAAATTGATAATGTGACCAAATATTTAGGAGATGGGCATCAATTCATGGAGTCTGTGAAGGTTAGAAGCACATGAGTGAAGGGGTTAGACATTTATTCCCCCTAAAAAATAACATTTTTCACTCTTGAAAGTGAATTTAGTCTGTCAGAAGTTTTATTAGAATTGTGTTCAGACCAAAAAAGAAAATTTTACATTTGTCTTATACATCAATTGTGCCCACTGAGCATTTTTTGGTCTTAAAGAGGTCTAATAGACGTCTAAATGTAGCCTAGACGACTGGTCTAAAATGAGGCTACCACAGGTCTAAAAATGAAATTTTTTAGATGTCTAAATGTAGACCAAGTTTAGACTGGCTGGCTAACAGAGATCTAACTATGTATTGTTCAACAGCCATTATAGTTATTTTGGTTAAGTACTTGGAGATCAGTTATGCATCTCACTGTTGCTTTTTGAAATAAATAGTTATTGAATAATGGGTTAAAGTGCAACGTCTAAACTCCGTCTAAAAATGTACACAATCTAGACCATTGAAACTAGGTCTAAAAATAAACTAGAAGTCTGATAGCCGTCTATTGCTCAATGGGTGGTATCTATGAGCTACAACATAAGGTCAAAGACCTAGCATAAAAGTCCACCACTTTAGCTTTTAGGACTAACAGAGTCCATCATAGTAGCTCTGGGGTAAGTTAAGCCAACTGAGAAAGTAAAGGAGTCTGATGAGAGGATCAGAGTTTCCGATTGTTGAAATGTTTTACTTTTTCTTTTCAAAAATACAGCTGTGAATGTTCTGAATCACTTAAAGGCATTCCCATGTTAAAGCGTTTTTTTTTTTTTTTTTTTAATAAAACAGCTTTTTATCAGTTATATGTCATAATAATAAAAATAATTATTGTACCAGTTGAATAACGTATAATAGATTAAAATAAACATGAATGTGAAGAAGTGACTGTTATTTAGGGAGAGAAAAGGTGAGGGAGGGCCGGGATGGAGAGTGAGGGGGTCGTCCGAATACAGCTCAACTTACCTCGCTCCTATGGTCAACTTACCCCATACACGGGGTAAATTGACCATAGGAGACCACTTTCTTTGGCATGCTATATTATCAAGACAGTTATGTCTACACTCATTCTGTTGCTTTGCAGGGATGCACAACATCTTGAAATATATGCAGATACACTAGTTAGAGACAAACCTATGAATTTCTTGATGTAGTGATCCAAACTACTACTACTACTACTAACTCTGATTTCTACGGTGTTGCTGCACTGTCTGTAAAAATGCCTGGGCAAATTTGTAACGATTTGCTTCACATCGAACAAATCTAATCAGTGTGCAATGAAGTCACCCAAAACAAGAGTGACCTTTATAAGCAAAATCTTGAACTAAAATCTTGGCCTTAATCTGTTAGTTAAGGAGTTAAAGCTCCTATAGGGAACTTTTGGTCTGTGTCAATTTTGGTGCCCTTGTAAAAAAGCAGTGTTTTTTCTTATCTTTTGCATTTTATAAGCAATGACTTTTGACTCAATCTCATCCTGATAACTTTTGGCAGCCAAATTTATCATTTAGCGTGACTATTTTACACCTACCTTAATTGCACCATTGTTGGATATTAAAAATTACCATACATAAAAAAGTAGGCCTTGTCACTGATGTTTTTTTTTTACTTTTGTATATCATAAAAAGGCATCAATAGCAATTTCACAGCATTCCATAAACATTAAAAACTCATCGCAGGAGCTTTAACATCAGACAAATCCTCACCTGAAACAAGAATGATCCTATATTCAATAAGGTTAATGAAATAACAAATGTTGGTTATTTTATGGCTGCATTTACATCACAAAAGGTATCATCCTTCCCATTGGAAACATCTCTCTATATATATAAATGAAGCTGTCAATGTTATTTATATTACTTATGACAGGAAATCAAAGCTTTTGCAGGATATTTGATGCAACCGAGTGTATACAAACATCCAAACACACCCTAACGCTCTAACAGGCCTTGGTGCCCCAACAGGTTCATCCTCAGAAGAACAGCCGATTAGAGCAACACATATAATTGGATTAGCAGTGATAATCCAATTCTTGGCCGTAATCTGACTCTATCTAGTAGCCTTGACTGTGAAGTTTCCACCATGTCAAAGAGCCCCACTGTACATGATTTGAGAGATTAGGATCAATCAGTTTGTAATCCTGATTTAATGTGCAGTGATCCTAATCATTGGCAGTCACTAAACTTGGCATCAGGACTGTCTAATTTGTGTTTGCTGAAATGCGATAAAGCAAAGGACAATACTCAGCAATAAAAGTTTTCTGGCTTGCATTTGATAGAGCATAGTATATAAAGGTTACTTTAATTTTTAATTTGGGGTTTTTATACAGAGAAGTGGATACTTTTTGTACAGAGGAAATAATACAATGATGAAACACATGGAAATAATATAAGCATCAGACTTTTCTTAGATACCGAGGACAATACTGCTGTTTCACCACCATAATCTAACCGTTTCATCATCATTTCACTCTTGAATTGCGTTAGAAGAAATGTTTCATGCATTTAAATAACTATTTTAAATATAATCAGACTATCCTATCCACCTGTGTGATTTAGAAAAAAAAGGGATTTATCTGTATTTATGTCTCTGAAATTCAATAAACTTCATCCAGAAGTTGTGTCCATATGTTCCCTGATATATGTCAATTTCAGTTGTCTTTCACCAATTAAGATGTGGCAGCCAGACAAAGAACTCCCTATCTTTAACACAGAGTCAGTCACTATCATGTTGGCAATATTTGACTTTCAACAAGTTCAGCATGGTGGTGTTTTAGGGTGTAGTGCAAGTCAAACATAAAACATAGAGCTATTTGGCACAGCTCAATAGTTTCAATCCAACAAATTAGCTGCAACCTCAAAATCAGCTATTTGCTCTCCATCATCTTAGAGTCTTCTTTTTGTTCCCCATTAGTTTTCCAGATATCATTCTATTTATTTTAACTATTTACTTAAGGGTGATGATTATGCATCACAGGCTATTTACTTAATAACTTGTGCGTCATAAGGAGATAGCATAACGACACAAAACAGACATAGTACAGTGAGTTCATTCAGCCAGCGCTGGGGTTTATATTGGTTGTGTGTCTGTGTTTGTATTCTTGTAGAGATATGGGTGTGTACTCAGTTGGTTGAGTTACAGTAAGTGCAATAAGTACATTTGGGCAGTCTCTTGTGTACATAAGTGTCTTGGCTGGGAACAGAAATGTACACACCTAGACTGGGTTCAAAATTATATATAGGAAGATATAGGAATACCTAAAACATTCAAACACATCCAACTTTTTTGGAAGTGACAGAAAAGAGCCTGTTTACATTTTTTAAAAGAAAATTCAGCATTCAGGTTGTCCTTTCACCTTTGATTCCACCACAAATACACCTTATAGTCACACTATCTCACTTAGCTTTTTCAGTCCAGTCAATTACTCCTCTTGACACTATAAGCCATTGTTTTTGCTGCTTAAACTGTGCCAATAATGTTTATAAAATTCAATATATGGTTTTGGATGTGTTCAACATTAGCACCCTCTGCTGGGCCCCACACACTCAGCTGCTGTACCAACCGTACCTGATGCTGGGTGGGTTTAGGTAGTCCAAACTATCCATTTTAAGACTAAAATATGTCATTTTTGTCAATTTAAGTCTCATAATCACGTGTGATATGTTAAAGAGAAGCTTCAAATTCAATATGAGATGTTTTTGTGATGTTTTGAGTAAGTTGCAGAGTAATTTAGGTAATAATTAATTGCTAGATAAAGTGAAAATCGCCGTAATTTAGCATGTTAACTTTTAGCTGAATTATTTCTGTATCATTTTCTGCTGTTTCAGTTGCGCTGTTGCTTCAATTGCGGCTGTGCAGAGACCTACAAACCTGTTGCTATGAGGTAAATATTAATTATTTTTTTAAGGAGTTTTACGGTTATCTTGCCCCTGTTATTAATCACTATTGAAAGAGTTACAGTTATTTACAGCAAGACTAGTCACTCTTGAAAACTTATTGCATGCTGTAAGATATTTTATTTGTTATACATTTCTTTTTAAATATACTTTTATTATTATTGTTATATAAAAATTTTAAAGGAGTCCTACAGTTGTCTTGCCTGTGTTATACATCTCAAATAAAGAGATAAGGCTTTACAACAACGCTTGTTAAAAGCAAAAGTAAAGTAGCCTGTGAAAACTTGAAAACCAAGAAAACTCTGATATTGATAGGATACATTAGCAAAGAATAATTAGTATGTCAGCATTTGTACAATTAAAGCAAATAGCAAATTTTGCCAAACCCACTTCATTCCAGCTGTACTTTTTTTTATCAAACCAATGTAGACCAGAATTTGGGTGCAAGCGACTTCAGTTCAGTGATTTGAAACTGAAACAGCTTTCCATCCTTTCTGTGACGTAGTGACAACTCCCTGAGCCCACTGCAGTGAGCGAGCTGAGTGGGAACACCAAGGAAACAGTGCTTATTGGAAAACAAGCAGCCTTAATGTGGACTGGAACCAGCGTCGAGGAGGAAAAAAACTGATCTTGTGAAGAGAGATTGAGAAATTGGGGTCACAACCGCAGTCTGGAATCAAACTCCTCCATCTGGAGAGTGTAATAACCTCACAGAGCTTTTGAGCACACAGCAGCCTTGAGGAGAGTGAGTAAGAGCATCGAAGGTTCTTAACTTTGTTTGTTGTGATTGGACATCTGTGAAAGACATGAAGCGAAACACCATGTATGAACACAAGAGGCATCAATAATGCACATCATGTCAGGGACTTTTGGAGCCAAAGGATTATGTTAACTTTGGAAGTGTTCATCAGACCCCATAGGCTCAAACCAAGGACGAGTCTGAGGTGTCATCTGAGCAGCATCTGGTGGTGCGTTGGATCTGCAGGAAGACTTGTGATCTCAACAGGGAAACCAAAAGCAGGAGGTAAGAGCTGTGATTAGATGTTAATTTTATCAAGTGGCTGCACTTATCTTTTGAAGTCAGCTAAGAAAAACCTCAGATCCAAGTCACTGCTCCTCCTACAGCGGAGGGGAGTATATGATTGTACTTTAAAATTAGCTACTTGGCTGAGTGCATTAATTTCATGAACGAGGCTGTACCCTGTCCTTTGAACCTAATGATCTCAAAAAACTTAGAATTCAGTCACCAATTATCCAGAGGCACTGCTGCATATTGGTGTTTGCCAACCACAGCAAAGGTCCTAGAACACCTCCTGCTGGTAAAAATATGCATTTATTATTGTGGCTTTTTTATTGCAACTCAACATCCAAATTTGCATTATGAGCATCATCCTTTTTAAGCCTCGGCTTTGCATCACTACACAAATGTTATCTGACTTTAATACAGTTTAGGAAACCGATATCTACCTGGAGTAAAAAGCCTTGTATTTGAAAAAGTTGGGATCCAAATGTGAGGTAAAGTCAGTGTAAAAAAAAGGGTAATTTTAGAAGCACATATCAAGTAGTCACATATTTACATTAAACATTTTTGTTATACTTAAAGGTTATCACAAAACAGGCTCTTTCTAACTGAATTTATATCATATTTAACTAAATATGCCCAAGTGTGTGCTATTTGGGTTTGAGGACTTTTACGATATTTAACCACAACTACCATCAATCTATAGGCTTTAATTGGTGCATCTGTACAATGTTGAACATTAAAGCTCCTATTGGGATTCATTGATGTTGATGAAATAGACTAAGATTTATTTTGATGCCTTTTTATTAAATCTTAAAGCAAACAAAACTCCCTGGGACACGATCAACGGTTTCTTTATTGCCATTTGTAGTGCGGATAAAAGCCTCATTTTCACAGTTTCCACATAAATATTCTCACTGAATGACACATTAAAACTCAGATCTAAGTCAAATCAAACCATACAGATGTAACAATATGTATATAATTATTTAGTTTGTCAGGATAGTTATGACTCTTACAGAACTTTGCAGCCAAGTCTCCTCTGAAAAACCTGCTTCTTCTCATAAGTCGACGTTCACTATTTTCTCATTATCAGTCACTAGATGGCAGTGTTGTTGAAGCAATACTTGTCACAGGATTGACACTGGAACAGGCACAATTTCATCATTCCCAGACAGACACAAAGGAATGAAGATCAAGCTCTTTAAATTTTCTTGTGGTTAATTAAACTGATCGTGGCTATGCTAATTATTAATATCGGACTCATTTTGCGTCTGGATAAGGTATAGGATGGTGGGTGTAGAGAGATGTTGGTGGTTGAGGTGGCTGACCACAGAGAACTTCTCCACGTTTATTGTTATTTATAATGATAATAATAAATTTTATTTATAACATGCTTTTACAGGTGCTCACAGACACCTTACAAAGACAAAACAATAAAATAATAATTCCAGAGGGTGGGGGCTGCAATGGAGAAGGCTCTGTCCCCCCAAGTTCGGTGCTTTGTCCGAGGGGGGAGGGCAAGGAGAATTCGAGGATTGGAGGGCACAGGAGGGAATGTTATTGCCATTTATTGTTTTAAAAAGTTGCGTAGAAAATGTTAAAGCAGGGCTGTCTCTCCAGCCAAAGCCTGAGGCATTAAAAACTATAATGAAAATTTTTAATATGAATATGAGTCCATTTTATTGATGCCAAAAAACTCCTCACAGCGGCTTTAAATATGGATATGGTCACTTGGTGCATTGTACCAGTTTGCTTAAAGCTAAATCACATCTGCAGTCCCTGGGCATTGCTGGGTCTGTTGTTTTTAGGTCATAGTGCATTAAAGTTAACACCACAGTGCAACATCTGCAGGGAAAGGTTGGTGTGTGTAGATAGACTTTGGTGGTGGAAGTGGCTGACCACAGAGAACTTCTCCATGTTTATTGTTATTTATAGCCATTTATTGTTAAAAAATTACATGGAAAATGTAAAAGCAGGGCTGTCTCTTCAGCCAAACCCTTCACACCTATTTTAGGCATTAAAAACTAAAACGCAAAATCTGTCAGCCTTGTTGCAGATGGTCTTGTTTGCTTTTGTTTGCTGTTAAATAGGCATCAATATGAATATGAGTCCATTTTATTTGCATTTTTTTGCGTCATTAACTTCCGTTGTTTTTTTTTTTAATCTGCAGTTTTTTTTAATATTTGCAGGGGACTTTGGTTCCTTTTTTCGCAACAGTAACATCCGTTGTGACTTTTTTTTTTTTTTTTTTTTTTTGGCGGTTCTCAGCCACCGTATTTTTTTTTTTTGCGTCATTAGCTTCCGTTGTGTTTTTTTTTTTTTTTAAAATCTGCACTGTTTCTTTTTTTATTTGCAGCGGGCTTTGGTTTCTTTCTTCTTCTTTTTTTGCATCAGTAACATCTGTTGTGACTTTTTTTTTTTTGCATTTTTTTTTTTTGGTAGCAATGGCGGTTCTCAGCCACCGTACCTGGGCATTGCTGGATCTTTTGTTTTTAGGTCATCGTACATTAGAGTTTCTTAAAAGTGCAACACCATAGCGCAACATCTGCAAGGAAAATTGGAGCTCGTGCCCATTGTGGCTGATCATGGGTGTTGCCTGTGGCACGCATGATCACACGTGGTTTTATCACAAGAGAGCAGAGAAAACAGAAGAGAAAGTTGGATTGGTTACTCAGAGGTTTGCATTAGACTGAACTTTGGGGGGGTTTTCAATGAAACATCTGCCACGGGTGATGACCCTTGTGAACCATCCCCCTTAACCCCCACTCTCCCCCTCCCACTGGGTCTTCAGCAATGAAATCCCCGTGGTTTCTTCATTGCAGATGGAGAAGCGAGCGAGTGGACATCGATATTTGTAAAGGCTTTATGGGACTACCCTGCAGAGGAACCCCCCACCAGCCCTTTTTTTTTTCTTGCTCTCTCTCTCCCTCCCTCTCTTACTCGTGAGCGCGCAGAAGCAGCTGTCATTGGGTCGAAGCGGGTGCCCGCGCTCTGGCTGGCTGCACATTAGCGAGAGACTATCTAGTTTGAAGATTATGCTGCTGCAGCTCCTGGCCATCTTTGTATCAGACAGGATGAGACTTTGAAATAAAAGATAAACTACGATTGCTGGGAGGCCTGCTTTTATTATCCAGAGAGGCAGGTTGACGGGCGCAAAAAACCGCAACAAGGCGCAAGAAAAAAAAATCACGTCTGCCGCTGTGTGTGCTGAAAACACCTCATACGAGTTGTGGATTATTCCGAGGACATCGTACTGAAACCATGAGCTGGGGGTCAGAGCTATGGGTGAGTGTCGGTGCTCTTGTATGTCGCGTTTTTATTGAGCTCGTGCGGACCTAACGGTTCCGAGGTAAACGGGCGCATGACACGGCGCATTATTTGCACCCATGTTTGCCGCTTAAACGACGTTTAGTATGCGCCTGCTTGGCTTTGCGGGGTGTTCAGCCTCCCTGACGTTAAACCAGCTAATTTGTAGCGCTAATCACCGAGGCTTACGGACTTGGACGACGATGACTTGTGCTACTTTTCGTTATAATTATCAGCGTGACATCATGGGGCTAGTTGGCTATAGCTAACCTTCCATTTTAGTCCGTTTTTAAGCATTTCTAACCACGCTTTGCACACACCCCCTCACAATAACACAGCTCTTCGCATGGAGCCAAGTTCCTGAGGCTTTACGTGCATGTAGTTTTACTTGTGTGTTGGATATTAATGCGGATTTCAGTAGAGGAAGTAGATGAGGTTCACTTCTCTTATTTATCACCTGCAAACAAAGGGGTCAGCACTGTTTCTCTGTTGTAAACTGTGATGTTAAGCAGTGCTGAGAGGATCAGGTCTTTTGCTTTGATTACAAGTTGTCATGTCTTTATGAAAAATTGTGTTGATTTCAAGGAGTGCAGTATTATTGGATTTATATGGAAGCCCAAAGTGGAAAAAATAGTCAGTTAACTACATTTAATATAGTGCTAAAATATGAGATATTATTTACAAAAACTCAAATGATATGAGTATGTATCATGTACTTGATGACAATTTATAAAAAACTATTGAGTATGTTAAGAAAATGCAATAATTTTGAGATAAATTATGGTCGCAACACATGACATTTTTTAAGGCCAAGGGCAATTCAGCCTTATGAAAAAACACTAAAATTGCCTAACGTTAATTTTTGTATACAACATCCTTAGTGTTTGAACTGTTGCAGAAGAAGTTCTTATTTTTGGTATTTTAAAATTGGCATGTTGAAAAACTTTATATGGAAGCCCTCAGTGGACATGCATGCGTATATTACTCTGCTTTCTTGTGATAACAAGTTTGTTTGTTGTCTTATGATTGTTTTAGCACCCCCAAGAGTTGTGGTCAACTTTTTGTACTATATATTTACAAACAATATTAGTGTGGTATATCTGGATTATCACAATAACAAGCCTGTTGTTTTGCTTTTACAAGACAAGCTTTGTTATCTCAAGATAATGGGATAAATTAACTTGTTAAAATGGGAAGCAAGGCTTGTTGTGTGAGCAATTTAGGAAGATAAGTCAAGATTTTAAGATAACCACTGAAATTGACTTGTCATCCCAGGACAACCAGGATTGTCCTCATGAGACGACACAAAAACAACCAGAAATTAGTTTTATAATAAAAACAAACAAAACAAAATGCACTTTTAGGCTTCTGTGAAGGTAAATAATGACACGTTACATGTTAGCATTATCATGTTGCAGCTGGGAAAGGCAGAACTAACATCAGCTGATAAATGGGTAGTTAGCAGAACTGTGATAAACCATGATTTACTGGTTAATGATGAACAATATCAAATACATGTGGTATGATGAGCAGATTTATTCACTAAACTATCCATTAGAGCTGAACACAACAACTACCTGAATATTTGATTGAATTTTATTGATTTTGCTGTAATAACTACGTGCATGAATGAGCCGAAACATCTTCACAGATTTGACTACAAGATTCATTTAATTCAACGAAATAACCGGTACCATAAGGAAATCCAGCCTGACCTCCTTTATGATTCGTTTCTGATTTTGTTTCTCAGCCTATTTGAAGTCCTCTCTCTCATTGTTAGAAACAAAAGAAGTTGAAGCAGAAACTGAGCGACATTACTGCTATAAATTCCACTGTGATGATGTCGCTGTTTTATCCTGCTCAAATTCACTTTTGGGGATTGCTGAACTCCTCACAACCCTGCAGTAGCTCTTATCAAGTCAGCCACTGTATCAGTGGTATTTCCCCATACTCAGACACACCAGTCTTCCCGTTAAGGCCAACGTGTTGCTGAAGCATTCAAATATTCAAGATTACAGAACTGCCTCGAGCTATTTTTACGACGTGATAATGAGCAGCTGCGGTGAGGTGGAATTCCTGTCGTCGGAGGTTTTTGTTTCAGTGCCTCGTGCTGTTATTTTGTTGTGGAAATGATGCATCGGGAAAGCTGTCATTCTGCTGTCTGTGGGCTGGCAAACTGCCTGGACGAAATGCTGCCCTGTTGTTACAGCATTCAGTATACATTAGGTAGAGATGGTGGTATGTTTTCAGCACAGGTCCAGAGAGATATCATCATATATCTGCGAGTTGTTACAAGACATTGGTATTTGTATGTCTGACTGTCGGACCTGTTTTGTTTACTTGAGCCTGATTTGCTCCCCTTGAAGTCAAATTGACCGACTTTCTTTGTTTAATTTGAATTATTTTCACACAAATCTGCACATCACCTGCTTCCAAATACTTGCAGTGAAGTGAGGCGCTTCCTCCCCTGATAAAACGGCTCTCTGAAGTTAATTTTATGAGTGAGATATTTTCCTCCCTGTCCAGCAGCAGAAGGGTCTGGGGATAGTTAAATCAGGGATGTGTTTTTCTTTCGAAGAAAAAGAGAGGGGTGGGTAGGTTGGGGGGGCATTCTCCAGTAATTTACCTGGACCGAAGTTCACAAAGTTCACAGAGCAAACCACTAGTACTCCACATTCTTTGTTTTTTCCCAGTGATGCAAGTGTGTTTTTATTCTACTCCTGTACTCCTGCAATGCCTGACTGAGAACAAAAAAACCCCAAAAACTTCAGTCCAGGTACTCAAGCAAAGCATGCATGGCCTCAAGGTATTTCATAAGTCTGGAAAACATTTGAAAGTTTTTTAAACAGGCTGAGCTTTTGTAGAGAATAATGTATCACAACCAGATGCCTGTTTTTTTTCTTTCTTTCTTTGCTGAGTTGAAAGAAATCCAGGCACTTGTTACTTTAATCTCGGTTGTGCGTTAAAGCAGCAAACAAAGAACAGTGATATGCAGGTTGCTGTTTCTACTGGAGAGTGTACACGGCTTGTTTAGCTGTTGCTGTGGCAGCAGCCGCACTCTTATGTAGAGCAAAAGCAGGATGTTGTGGGTAGAGCTGCAAGTATCCTTTAGCTTTTTTTCAGGGCTGTAAATAAGGATTATGAATTCAGTAAAATGGTGTCAAAAATGTTTATAGATAATCTCCAGAGTCAAATTAAAGTCCCCAAGTGTCAAATTTGTCCAACCTACAATCCAAAAACACTGATATGATCACATTACATTGATATACAATAGAGATAAACCGCATTTCCTCACATTCCAACTTTTACTTGAGGTGGATGAGCAACATGACAGATGAAAAATGAAGCTTCACATGCACCACATTTTGTCATGCTCATCCTGCCGTTTCTCTGCAAACAGGAAAGTAAGTGATGTTTCAGGAAGTGAAGTCAGAGTCCACAAAGATTTCTCAACCTTTCTGCTCTGGTGAGGTATTGCAAACAGAGCTTACAGTGATATGTTACCTCTGTATTGATTCACAGCAGTAGCAGCTCTGGACAGAAACCTGACTCTCGCAGATACACAAGAGAATCCAAACTGTGCTTGTTGTTATTGATAGTTTACTTGATTTGAAAAAGTAAATATGTAGCAGGTTGAGGCTGGCATGGAAACTGCTCGGACATGCTGAATACTTTTGTTGCACTGATTGCAGCCTTCACTGTACCCTTAAAAACTGTGGGGATGTTTGCTGCCTTGTAAACCTTCACTCTTGTAACATTAGCAACCATAGTTTGTTTAGACCAGGAGACTCTAGTGCTGCAGAGCTGTGTTAAGCACCATCAAACCCAGCTTCAGCTGACCTACAAACACTCAGAGCAGCTAACCACACTGTATGTTCTTGCACTCAAATGTACAAAAGATAGCAAAGTTAAGGTCACATTCTTAGAAAATGCAAGTCCTCCTCTTTTTTGCACAAACATCACATGCATGCACGGCAAGAAAGGACCCAAGAGGCCCTCCAAAAGAGTCATTATGTACAAATGCAACCACAGAAGAAGGAAGTCAAATGTGGTGTAACATGTGACTGTCCTTCAGCGGAACTAGGGCCAGAAAAAATGAAATTAGAAATGACTATTTTATAATGAACTACAGAGGCATTCTACTGTCAGCAGCCAGTTTTAATGAAATTAGCTCTGCTTGTAGGAAGTTATTAGACTGATAAACCAAAACATCTTATGAGCATTTCTCCTCGGGGCTTGGGTTCGATTTTTAGGACTTTTGATGTTTAAAACAGGAGATGTGCCGCCAAGTGGGATTAACATTATCAGACCAAATCAGACAGAAACCTTTCCTCATAAGAGGACCATACATCAAACAGAAACAACTCGACCTTCTCACAGTGACACACCTTAAATGTTTCACTTCTCCTGAGTGGCTGATTTGGAAACTCACTGTGGAGTACTTCAGGCAAAGCTGCACTCAGGGGTCCTTTAAATCTTAACAGAATACTGGATGTAAAGTATCTTCCCCTGTCACATCATTTATTAACGACTCAACATGGACAAGCCTGAAACTCTATTCAAAGAGCAGCAGCTCAAGGTGAGTCGAAGTGCTCCGGGGGGCTATCGTTGCTGTGTGGTCCCCAATTGAACCGTTCTCTGTTTGTTCAGTGTCAGTGGAGGTGTGAATATACGGAGCAGTCTTCCCATTGGGGACAGCTGGAGTAACGAGGGCTGTGGAGTGTGTGGGGTATTTGTCTTTACAGACACTAGGGGCAGGGGAAAAAATCATTACAGGATAATATGGCAGTAATATTGTTTGAGTATAGAGGAACTGGGAATCTGTTATAAGGTGTACTTGTGGGAAAATTCCAAGTTTAGTATCAGCTTTGTTTTCCTGGTATGACGAATTTTTTGAAAAAGGATCTTCTGTTCCTTCTTCTTCATGTAACATTCTTTAATAACAAAGTTTAGGACATGTTTCTATTGCATTCACCTTGGCTGGACTATGCAGTCTCAAATCTCAGTTCCAACAATGTTAACGTGATGTTAAAAAAATTGATTTATTGCAGGAGTCTGACTGAAAATGGACTTTAAAATGGATTATAGACTATGTTACCATGTTCATTGAATTTCTTGTAGTCTGGCTATAATTTATGGTTGGGTATTTATTTTCTTTTGTGTGCATACACCTCAATCTAGGGCTGGGCGATATGGCCTCAAATCAATACCACGATATATTGAGCAGTTCACCTCGATAACCATAAATGGGCGATACCTACTCCACAAGCTGCTCACCTCCTCCCACATTAACTTCATCTACTTTAGCTACAACTTTTGAACCATCCTCCATCTCCTCACCTGTCTTTCCCTCTTTGTTACGGACTGGATGGGGTGGAGTCATGTCTCCAACATAGAACAGCGTCTTAAAAGGACATAAGACCATAGCCTACCTACACACATCCAAAAACAACTTTTATTCAATCTATTTATTTGACACTGAATCAACATGGGCAAAATGACGTCGGTTATTGTCGTAAATTTCGGTATCTGTAAATTTTGGGTTTATTTCTTAGCCCTACGCTTGTCTGACATTGTAGTCTTGTAGTCTGGCTTGATATTATGGTTGGGTATTTATTTTATTTTGTGTGCATAAGCCTCAAACAGACCCAAACTTGCCCAGGGGTTCTGCACATGCTCCACAGTTGGTTTGCCAGACTTTGACCAGGAAGTGAAACAGCATGAATTTTTGAAAGAGGCCTGGTAGTTGGCAAAATCTTGTTAAAATGCTGCTTCATAAATCCTTGTATGCTGTATTGTGATAATATAGTATTTCGCCTCTTTTGAGTCCAACCTGTTGAAGGCAAACATGTATAAGTCAGTGACCACCCCTCTTTAAAGTCACTAAAAAGGGCTGTTTTGTCTGTAGACCGAAAAGTTCAACCAGAACCCTGATGTTTTTGTGTTTGCGGATTTCAGTCATCCGTTAAAGCTGGTAAAATATCAAGCCTGATTTCCTGGAAGTTGTTTTGAAACAGACTTGGTGTAACGCTGAGATTTCCTCACTGTTCTCTGCTGTCTTGCTTCAGTCTCCCCCAGGGTCCACTTTCCGCCCCCCTGCTGTTCACTTGACATTCAAGGCACCTCCAGGATTGAAACCCGAGCCAGCTTGTTTCCTTCTGTCAGTGCGCTGGCTGGACTCAGGGGGGGCCAGAGAAAGAAACCTCGGGCAGACTACCACTGACACCCCAGCAAACTCACCCCCATTAAATCTTCCTCTCAACGCCACCCACCTGCTGACTCAGTGATCCCGCCCAGAGCCCTTTTACTCCTCAATTCTTTCTTTGAACCTCCTTGATGGTTAAATAGTAATGAATGGATCTGATCTGTAGGCTTCAGACTGCACCCCAGGGAGTGGGTATCAAAAAGAAAAGAGGACGAAGGAGGTGGGTGAGGGGGTATTCAAACCAAGACAGTTCAAAGTGACACATGTAAGACGCAGAGATGAATCTGAATGAGGCTCTCTTTGCAGTTAACCGCAACTTCTCTGACTGGCAGAAGTACTTGGTAATGAGCTGGGTTAGGCCGAGGTTTGGGGATGTTTTCACAGATTACAGTTGGGAAAGTACACAGTTTTCATCTTTTGAGTAACGCCTATCTTAAATATTACGATACACATTTGTGAACATGTGCTGAAACTACACGATCAGTAAATCTTTTAATTCTGCGTTTGAGGGAAATGCCAAGTATTTCAGCAATTCTCAAATGTGAGAATTTTAGCAGAAATGTCCTCGAAAAGCTGGTTTTTGAAAGACATGTATTGTCCTTCTTCTTCTCCCAGAACAAAAGCGGCAGAAGTCTGAGCGATTTTGTCATCTTGTTCCTGAAAAGGTGACTCAATCCTTCCCACCGCAGACTCTTGCAGTCTCTAATCTTTAGTTACGGCTCTTCTGTTATTTGTAAAGTCGTTGTAGAGCCTCTAATCAGTGCTGTGACAGTGGGAATTATTCTGCGGTCACATGAGCTTGTTGTCACCTGAACCTCACAGTCCTGCATGTTCTCTTAATTACGGCCATATTGTACGACATGCTGTAGGTGTCATTTGTTCTGAGGCAGTGACAGCATTGATTTTTCTTTAACAGAGTCATGCAGTAACACTAGCAAGGAGATTGCTTGTGCTGTTTTACGACTGTGAAGGACGGTCTCTTTTCTCTGCAACATCTCCATTGAGACAACAATTGCTTTTAAGCTTTAAAGTGGGCCTTATTGTAGACCTTGTTGAGCCTATAAACTATTCACAGTAGAAGTGACAGCATGTGTATCCTTTAGGGCTGTAGAGTCCGAGTTGACTGGTCGACTTATTGGTCGATATGAGCAGAATCCACCAGAATTCTGATTGGTCCACACGTTTTTTTTCTGCGTCACTTTACAGCCCGGTTAATTTCATCAGGAGGAACATACCAAGTGCTAATGGGGGTGTTTTCAGAGCACCCCTGTTTCACAGGTAACAGCCTGTCTCAGAACGCCCTCCTTGTTTTCACCATTTTGGATTCGCCCAACCCACTGGAGACAGGCTGGAGACAGGAAGATTGAAGAGTGTCCATGTTAGTCTACGTCTGGTGGTTTGCTGAAAGTAATAATTGCCTTCTTGTGCTGATATCAGTATATTTATAACCCTAACCCCATCGAGCCTCGTCGTCCCCCGCAAGTTGGACCCTATTAGTCGATTTTCGGTGGAAAATTTCAGGGTTCCAGCTGACCAGGAATTTTTTTGGTTGATTACAGCCCTGTTATCCTTATCAAACTAGTAAAAAATGTCTGACTCATTATTGAAATGGGTCTCTGAATGAAAGGAAAAGGTATATACTCTAGAGCTTGGCCAATATAGATCACTATGTAATAAGACAGTAGCGATTCATAGTCTTGGGTTTTGCTGACTTTAAAAAATCCATGACTAGCCTGCCGTCAGTCTGCCCCAGGGCAACTGTGACTACTAAGGTAGTTTCCCACCACCAAAGTGTGACTGTGTGAGCGAATGAATGATGTATCCAATGTAAAAGCGCTTTGAGGGTCTCTGATAAAGCGCTATATGAAATCTGATGCATTATTATTATTATTATCTCCCACCACACTTAGAGGCTGCCTATAAGGAGCAATGAAGTGCTGTTACCTTTTTGTAGGTCCAGCTTTATTTCCTTCGCTACGTTGAATGACTGATTGCTGGAGCTTACGCTTTGTTGAACGTACTTTTCAGGAACTCTTGGTGTCTTAGAAGATGATGATGATGATTGGTCTTGGGATGCACAATTGAATTGGTAGTGTTAAAGGAGTGTGGCTGTGTTCCTGTGCTTCACACGCTTTGCAAACAGCTATTATGCTGTCTGTTTTCAACACTTCAAATACTTCCATGCATTTTGTTGGCTTGCAGACGCTGTCATTACATGCCCATGATTGATGCACACTCTTATAGGCTGTGTATATTGGCGTAAATGTTCACATACACCAGTAAATCATCTGCTGATACGAATACCATGTTGAAAATATTGTGTACCCTGATATGATACAGCAGTACAATATGAGACGACACCATGATATCCTTTATGGCCTTGTATGGAAATATGCAATAGATTCCAGTGCTGCATAATTTTAGCTGCCTCCACAGTTAGGATTTGGAAAAATGACTGATACTGATTTTGTTTTGGCTGCTGACATACTTGAGGAAGATAAGACATTTCTACGTGGTTATTTCACCAGTGGGCTCCACAGCTCCACTACTTCCTGAATTTAAGGCAGCTCCTTTAATTCCTGTCTTACATTACTGGACGAACTAATTAATCCAGGTGTGACTGATCATTGTGACTAGTCAGACACACCTGGATTAATCAGTTTGTCCGATAGTATAAGACAGGAAATAAAGGAGCATAGAGCCCATTATGCACAATTAAGACAGCACAAAGGTACTCCTCACTAAAACACTGCTGAGCTTTAACGTCTCACTACAGCTGCTGGGAATATTGTTAACAAAGGAGTTAGAGCGTGCATGTCTTTATAATCACTTTATGATATTTCACTATCAATCAGAGCAATGTTTCTGCATGATATGTACAGTAGAAGAGCTTTCCAGATTGACGCTTATTTAAAAAGTGCCATTATCTGTGATGAGCCTTCGTTAATAATAGCAGCTCAACAATATGCTTTGATTTATTCATGCAGATTTGATTATGAATGGGATTTGATGCATAATAGTTATTGTTAAGCTCACTCAGGGCTGGGCGATAAACCAAAAATTTACAGAAACCGAAATTTACGACAATAACCGATGTCATTTTGCCCATATCGGTATATTCAATGTCAAAAAAAAATGAATAAAAGATTTTTGGATGTGTGAAAGGTAGGCTATGGTCTCATGTCTCTTTAAGACGCTATCCTACGTCAAAGACGCGACTCCACCCCATCCAGTCTGTAACAAAGAGGGAAAGACAGGTGAGGAGAGGACAGTTCAAAAGTTGTTGCGGCTGGAGCGGTGGCTGAAATAGACAAAGTTAATGTTGTTTGGGGGTGAGCAGTTGTGGAGTTATCGTCCATTTAATCTTATCGAGGTGAACTGCTCAATATATCATGATATTGATTTGAGGCCATATCATCCTGCCCTAATCTCACTGCTTACAGTATGTAATTAAGACATCTATTGATTTTGAAAGGAAATGATCACATGGAAGAACTTTTTCGTATAATTTTATTTTTCAAATTTTGCTCCTGTGTGGTGTGTTTTTCATGTTTTTTTTTTTACTGCTGTCATCTTTCGTTGGCCCCAGGGAGCAAATAGAGACAACACATGTTATAACAAGCAAACTGCACAACTGTTTGTATTTGTTTTATAATGTGCCAAAGATGCGGGTGTGCATTTTATAAGGGATGTCTCTCAGTTCTCCATCTGGCCCCGGGATGTTTCTGAGGCCTAGTAGCAGTGGGTTTGCTGTCTTTGTGACAGAAGTGGTCTGTTATTCTGCTTTCTTAAATCTCCCCATATTAGAGGGATACCACATGTGGTCAGTGCACATGTTCAGACTCATGTGAACCAGTTTTTGCAGTTAGTTCATGGCTACTTAATGTGAAATGATTCAAAGCCGTAATGAAAACTGGCTTGTGCAGCTGTGTAGTCGCCGCACACTGAGCTCCCACTGCTTGGAAATAATCTTACTCCTGAAGATAGGTCCAGCTTTTTATTGCTGCCCACTCTTTGCCTTTTTTAAAAACTTTTTCTCATTTGCTGTTTTTTTTCTTTTATTTTCTGCTTCATCTCACTGAGTCATTGGCTTTTTCGTGCGCTTTTGATGAGAACAGACCATCTAAGAAAAAGCTTGTCAGAAATAACCACGGTTAAGTGTTTGAGGTTTTTGAACAAAGGAAAGAAGAATACTCCCAACATTTTTTTAAAGTGTCTGTGTGGGCTTGTGAGTCCTTTGGGCAAGATAGTATCAGCATGGATCTGCAAAAGCCTTTTCGCCGTGGCTGGAATATCCTGTTTAATTCAGGAGTTTCTTATTATAGGGCAGAATGTGGGGCAGGAGGACATTAATAAATGTGCGAGAAGCAAGGAAATAATTTGGCTTGAAATCACATCAAGTCCTCTCGTGAGATCTGGCTTCAATTAAATGAGTTAACACGTCACTTAAAACACACTGAATGCACCTGCCAACCGTCCCATACAATGGCGTTTGCACACAGATCTGAATGTTAAGGTGGTGAGTAATCTTCGCTGTGTCAGGAAGCCTCTGAAGAAATGCCACATTTACTCATATCCTGAAATGAGTCGTTTCAGGGCGGAGCGAAAGTGGTGCCACACAATTCATGGACCCTGCCCAAAGACTAAAAGGACCCACCCTGAAACACCCCACGTAGAGATTGACTGAAAGCTGTTGCTGTGTTTATCTCCCATTTTCAGAACCAGCCTACCTATAAGAAAGTAGATATGGGTATTCAAGCATTAGCATCAAATCTTTGAGTGTTTGCGAGACAGAATGAAGCTATAATCCAAACGTGTGATCCAACTGAAACAGCAAACTGTGTTGTCAAAGTGAGGGGCATGAAGTGGTAGGGTTAGCATGTAGTTGGTATAGAAGTTAGTAATTCTTCCATGTCTATCAAACATAAATCACAAACACACATTGCTTTCTTTTTAATATGGAAATGCATTCATGTTAATTTTTCTTATTGCTTGATCCATCATATATTAGGGCTGGGCAATATGGCCTCAAATCAATATCACAATATATTGAGCAGTTCACCTCGATAAGATTAAATGGACGATGACTACTCCACAAGCTGCTCACCCCCTCCCCCATTAACTTTGTCTACTTCAGCCGCCACTCCAGCCGTAAATTGTCGTAAATTTTGGTATCGGTATAGACAAAGTTAATATGGGAGGGGGTGAGCAGTTTGTGGAGTAGTTATCGTCCATTTATTGTTATTGAGGTGAACTGCTCAATAAATCGTGATATTGATTTGAGGCCATATCGCCCAGACCTAATAGAAACTACTCAAACACTAAGTTCAATATCTAATTTTGAAATCAGTTTTAGTCTACTTGAAAGAATTGATTTTAGTCATACTAAACCCCCCATCAGTGACTCACATGTCTGAACGACTCCTGTGCAGACAAATGACCATAATTCCTCGTTTTGTGAGTAAACACTGCATCGGCAATAAAAAAGAACCTGCTCCACTCTCTTGTTTGCGGAAAATAAAAAGCTTTGAGATCAGCCTGTTATGTAACCGTGAGCTGCTGTGTGTCCGGATGTTGCTCTTCTTCCTGAAGATAGATTTGATCTCATCAACCAGTAGCTGTGGTGAGCACAGGAGTACATCTGTGCAGCGTGGTGAGAGAGAGAGCCAGTGCAAGGAGAGAAGCCTGGCATGACACGGACAGAAAAAGAGCAGCACGTCACACAGATCTATTTATGAACTGAAACCCTAAGCGAGCCCGACAGTCTGCTGTGAGTGTAAAACATTAAACACAAATGCATTTGATCTAGTCTCTCATTTACTACCATCATGTCTGCCAGCAGACTTAATTATACGCTGCTGCTGTTTGTTCCTGTGAGATTTTTTTTCCTCCATCATGGTTCATCTACAGTATGATTATCTTTAAAGACTGACACCTATTGGCAACACAGCATAGCAATCTGCAAGGCAGTATTTTTATCCAATTCATGAGAACATACAGTTATTATGTTCAAATCACGGTGGCTCAAGACTTAAATAAGACATGTCATGGCAGCGCATAGTCTGAGATCCTTCCATGTCTGGCTCCTGTACTAATAATGGACAGCTGACCAGGACTGACATTTACAGTAGGTCACTGTTAAACAGAGTTCATGCCTTCTGTTAATGTTTACTTCATGGACAACAAAGGAGGAGTTAAAGCATCTTAAAGGGACATGAGACCATAACCTACCTGCACACATCCAAAACCAACTTTTATTTGTTTATTTATTTTTTACAGTGAATAAATTGACATGGGCAAAATGACATTAGTTATTGCTGTAAATTTCAGTATTGGTAAATTTTCAGTTTATCGCCCAGCCCTACTTCTAGATCAGTAAACTAAGGATCTTTGGGCTTTACAGGAATAGATGTTTTTGTTTTAAGCAAACATTTGTTACCCCTTGCACTATTTTTAAGATATTTAGAAACCACATGACTGCTTAAAAAATCATGAAAATATTCGGCAGATAGATCAACTCAAAGTAATTCTAAGTAAATCCCTTATGCTCAACTTTCCTCATACATAAAATGTTAACAAACTCACTGGAAAAAAGTTGACCTATCTCAGTTGCAGTGAACACATCTAAGATTAATTCTTGAGTTCAAAGTCTTCTTTAAATCCACAGAGTGCGTGTTATGTAAAAGTTAAGGAGCTTTTTTATCCTTGAAAAAATATGAACAAAAAATTCCCAGAAAGAACAATAACTAATGTGTGTTGCTGGTCAGAGGGATTACTCCATAGCATGTTGGCGTCCTATTGGGTGGTTGAAGTAGTTAGAAGGAGGTGCAGTAATAAGATTAAAACCGTCATTCGATCAAGTGCTGCTCTGGTCACAACATTCCTGTTGTCCTCTCTCTATATACTTAAACTTTTGTCACATTTGGTGAAAAAGTTCTACAAGAAGTCATGAACTTGTGCTGCTTTTGGATTCTGTGTGAAAGCTGCTAACACTCCTCTGCTTGACCAGGACTTGTTCTTGTATCCAGTCTGACTCCTCCGAACTGGATTAACTAGGTTCGGGGGTCCTTCTTTGGACTTTTTAGTCACATGAAAACTGCGGTCATGTTACGCAGAAGAAGTGAGTTTTTCGTTTTCCTGGACAGCGTTTATTCTGTGATAGCAGATAAAGAAGAGCGGAGGGAGGAGCTGACTCCCTGTGAGGAGTACCTACAGGTGCTCCTGCAGATGAAGACCACCAGTGCTGTAAGTGAGCAGTGTTTTTTTTTTCAGATTTATTATTTACAACTAGAACATACAGACGCAATATTCCTGCGAGAGCAGAACATGCTCTGTGCGAAGGCTTTGAGAAATCAGTCTCAAGGTTATATTACCTAATACCTGTCTAACATCATCACATCATCAAGTGATTGGACTACAACTTTGTTAATGGTCATATTAAAGCTCCAGTGAGGAGTTTTTACTGGTTGTGAAACAGTTATGTCTGAATATAAATAGGTGTAATGGATCTTGAGATCTTTTCGCACATTCAGGATTGGCCGAGAGTTTGTGAAGTAGTGCAGTGTGTTTGGTGAGCTGGTTCAAAGTCTGGTTGCGTGCACGTGATCTGATCCCTGAGTGCTAAACTTTAATGTTCAGTGTTTCCCCCCAGGACGGGAATCTATTTGTGGTGGTTTGTGATTTGGGATGTAGGAGGGCTGTATGTGTTGCGCAAATCAGCGAGAGGGGGGTAATATATCAGCTGTGTGATCGCCGATGCTGACACGCTAATTAATCAGCTGTGCGATTGCTGATGATAACTTGCTAATACTAATTCTTGGCCCGCACTCTGCATTCTGCATGTATGTATACTAATACATATGAGTCTGAGGTAGAGCTATGTAAGAAAAAAACTCATTTTTAAGGTGTGGTGGCTTTTAATTAGCAGTGGCGGCGGGTCACGATCAATTGCATGTAGGGGAAACCCTGGTGTTGCACATTTTAGCATGTAAAATATGTGATAAGAAGCTCATTTATACCTGAGAGACTGTAGTATTTGAATTAGGGGCGAGCATTATCTCATTATAAGAAACCATTCCAGATACTTCGCCTGTGATAGCAATATTATCATAATACAGCAGTACTTTGATGACTGATACATTGCAAAACACTCACCTAGCATTACGCCACAGTACCTGATTGAACAAAAAATACATAATAGACCCTAAAACAGCCAAGTACATGATAAATGTATTTATTAATGTACTACAGTGAGTCAAATGGGCAGGGAAACCTTTAGAGAAACTGTAGTACAATATTTAGCCCTGGTATATTTATAATTGTATCACACAGGTGAGGCCGAGGGTATAATACCATATCAAATCTTGTGTCCCACCTCTAATCCAAAGTGTACCCAAAAACTGGCCTTCAATGTGAATGGGACTGACAATATAGAGCACTGGGGTGACACAACCCTTGCCATTTTTGTGCATGCACTATGGAAGCACTGGACAGCAAAGAAAGTCAGCAGCAAGAAATAATTAAAAAATTGACTCAGGGTCTTGTCATTTGATTTGCAATCGTGATTCTCACAAATATTGATTCATTCCACCACCCCTGACATTTCCCTGCCCATTCTTACTGTGTAAAAAGGGGACTCCTGTGCCATGTAATAAAACCACTTGAATAGACCGGTCAAAAGAAGGCTGCAGTTACAGTCTCTTGATGTCCATGAATGAGCGGACCGTCCTTCCAGTCACTATGACTCACAATTGACAGGCAGCAATTTCCTGTTGCTTAACCACCCTTAGCAAGCTTTGTATCTCCATCGAGTGAACGGACTACTCATCCATGTGGTGCAGAGGTAGAGCGGTTGAGTAGCAACCAGGGTCCAGCACATGCAGGCCCTCTGGGAAAAAAAAAAAAGAGTGTTTTATGAGAACAGGAGGATGGTACACGTGTGCACACGCCAACACACATTCTTAAATTTCAGACCAGCAGAGGCGTTGTTTCTATTAATATCTGCATGGCATGCAAACAAGAGCTCTTACACACAAGTTTGCACACTGGGCCAAACAGCTGGTCATATTTTAAAGAAAGATGGCGTCTGTATTAGCGTGTTTTAGCCTGCTCATTTGTGTGTTGTCCTGCGGGCATGACACTTTTGTGTCTATTTTGCATAGATTTCGCCAAACATCATGCAGTTGATGGCTGATGCTCAACAGTAATAGTGAAAAATGTCAAACCAGCTCTTTGTAAAAAAAGCTGAGATCTTGCATAACTTAAATGATTCAGCCCTTAATTAGCATATTAATGGAGAAAAACTAGACGTTAATTTCATCCTGTTTTATGGTTCATATGCCAGATTTCCAGAGCCTGTCACGTGTAGAAACAATTTGTTTGCCTCCACGGGTTAAATCCTCATCAGGCCGGGCGCACAGGGGGGCTGAGAAATCCTTCTCAACCTTTAATAACCCAAAGACAAATAGCTGAGAGCGGCTATTCAGTGGCCGAGCACATGATCGTCAGTCTTCTGTTTATGAGTGTGTTTGAGGCTATACTGTTCATTTTCCTGTGACTCCTCGCTGACACAGAGGTTACACCGGGCTATGGGGGGCATTGTTCCGCCCCACTTTCTAACACAAAGCTCAGTGTGTGTTGCAGAGAGGGTTTGGCATCTCCCACCAAATATTTGTTCTCCCTGCCGGACGCCCACTGATGGGAGACACAGTGAAGAGCTGCATTGACCCGCTCATGAACGACTGTGGATCTCACTTGGTCTGCTCTGAGTCATCTATGTGGTTAGTCTAGTAGAGAAACTCCAGAGTGTCCAGCCATTTTGTTCGATTTGACGAGGCAGGGCGAGCTCTGAAGGAAGAATTTGGCTTTTTTTTGGTTAATAATAGGTACTGGCGGGACACGCAGCTTAACAAACAATGTCAAATGAGTGCAGTCTTCCTACCTGTCTCGCTGCAGTTAGCCAATAAAGCTGCAGAAAAAAATGCTTTATTTCCCATTTCTTCTGTTGCATCAGATTTGGTTGCTCACCACAAATCATCAACAGTTTCCTTGTAGTAGCCACAGATAGTACGCATGTTTTGGTTATGTCACAGATGATTTCAACCTATTCAAACCTGATAAAGAATTGTGTCTAGAATTGAGTGAAATTGCAGCTCAGTTCGCAGCCCCCAAGGCCCCAGCTCCCACTAAGACAGCAAGTCAACAGCAGAGGGAATACTGATGGGTGATCCACATTGACCTGAAAGGCGCTCTACAAGTTTGACAAGTTATCTAACTTTTAGCTGCGAGCTTGGTCCCCGTCTGTCACTGTAGTCCCACTAATATACCATCAGATCCCTCTAGTCAGCCTGGATCAGTCTGTCATTTGGGGAGAGGTATGAGCTAACAAGCAGGGGCGTGTCCAGACTTTATAAATGGGGTGGCACAACCTCAGGACTGAACTGGGGTGGCCTGAGTACATATGACTCCACACACCAAAACATAACATTTGTTATTGCATCTGTGTTGTAACTATGGCCATAAAGTTTATTTTAAAAGAAGTAGTCTTGTCTCTAATAAGTCCAAACAAGTTGAGAAGTGTTCAGAAGTATCCTAGGTTACAAAAAACTAGAACGAATACTGAAACTAGTAAAAGCTAAACCAAAACTAAACTGAAAATAAGAACAAAAAGTCAAAACGAAATAAAAAGAAAAACTAATGAAAATTTTCAAAACTCTAATTAAACCTGGTGCACATCTGTTTTAAGTATAACGTAGCTTCTCTTAAGTGAGTGTCAGCTCAGCTTGCAGCCCCTCCTGACATCCTGTCCCGTGTCAACAAGCGAGTAGCAAAAGCACAAATTTCTGAAGTGCAGCTTTTTTTTTTTCAGTTTTAATAACAAGTCCTGTCTCTAATACCAGTGATGGGATATGACTAATAATGAGAGATGACTCACTGACGTGTAGTGATAGCTCGCTCTCTGTTTTGCACTGTAAAACCACCTTTTCTGCTTGACAAATGGACTTAATTGACACGTGGGTGCAGTGTAGCTTCAGTCTGAAAGTTTTGAGGCTGGTACATGCTCATCATGAGTTTCAGTCACCTTCAGTATTTTCAGTAACAGTCACACTGTTCCTAATCTGCTGTCCTAGCTCGGCGCATTAAACCGTGGAAAAAGGACAAAGGCATCTCAAGACCCCTTGTCCTATTGTGTCCCCTCTGGCAGAACATCTGTCCTCTCTGCCCCTCTTCTGGACCCCCTCCTCTACTCCAGCGTGACATCTGCTTTTCTTTGCCTCAACAGGTTTTTAGTCAGGGGCTACTAGACTCAAGGAGACAGCAGTAACACAGTTAGAGGCATAGTTTGACTGCTGGTCGGTACAGATGCTTCAATGTTAACTTCTCTTTGAGTTTCAGAGTTGAAGGAAAAACGTCAAGCTTTATCCATTATCTGTTTTTGGATCAATTCATGCGTCAGAGCTGTTCTTCTATGGAACTGATGCAGACACTAATCTGGCACACTAGATCTTAAATCTGTGCTTAAACACACCATGAATGAGAGATCTACTTCTCTTAAGAAGTTTTCCTCCTTTAGTTGAAACACATACATAACTTTTGCTCCTTCAGGGCATCGTTGACTGGAAATTCTCGCACTACAAAGCGCGTGTCAAATGTACGAGTCTTATGTTGATGGCTGAGTCAAATCTGCATTGACGTCTTTTTTCTCCAGTTTGACTTTCTCGTCTTAAAATGTATCAGTCAGCTATTTCCTGTTGGAAGTTCTCCTTTTTTTCTACTCTTGTATTTTTAATAGCCTATTGATTTTTTTCTGTGATCATAAGGGCAGCGGAGTGACCTCTGCAGAGGTGCTAAGGCTGTAACACCACAAGAAACATCCCAGGGAGCTTGTGTTCAGGGTTTTCAGAAACAGTGCAGTGCTTGTTTTTTTTTAGTGTTCCTCCTCACTCTCTTTGTGTCTGGCTACCTCGGATCACAGGCTCTGTTTTCAGAGTTTCTGAGCCATGATTTCATTATTATGTAACCGTGCTGACAGTGTGAAGATTCTGACTTAGTGCTGTCTGCATTCCTGCAGGTTGACAGGTGCATTATTATAGGACAACCTGTCTGTACTTTGGAAACTCGTGGATAGCTCTTCCATTTATTCCAGACTTTGTGTCTTTTGCACCATCTGGGGATTGGAAAAAAACAAAAAAAAAACAAAACACCAACAGCAGAGCGATGAGAGCCTCTTTAATAACCGGAGATGGCTTCTGTTATGGTGTTGACTGTGTCATGCTCTTGTGGCTATGGTGGGCTTGCTCTTTGCTGCCCTCTCTGGCCGAATGGAGAAGAACAGGAAGTCATCTAAAAGCTCACTCTTTTCTATTTTGGTACTCAGGTGCTGCTTTTACTGTCAAGTATTACAAGTTCTTCTAGAGTAGACTACAGACTGTTGAGTCAAGCACGAGTTATGAATATTTTAGTCACTTAAAAGAAACATGTTAGTAAATCTTGTGTTAAAATTCAAAATAAAAGATTTAAATACCTCAGCACACAGGATCTGAAAGGAAGCCGTCATTTCACTGCACTCCTATTGTTAGCAACTGAAAAGATGACAGATAATGAGCATCTAGGGAACTTATATTAAAAAAAAAGTTGTATTACACACTATGACGTGCAAATACCGTTTGAAAGTTTTACATGGTAGTAATTAACCACTTCTTAGCGAACATCACTCGTAGTGTTATATGATGTAAAAATGGAGGCATTATTAAGAGTTTTGGCGATTTAAGAAAGCTAACATTAAGGTTAGTTAGAACCTGCTCAGATAACAGAATTTTGTTGCTTTGGGAAAGTCGGAAACTCTGAGATGCCATCTTAGACGCATCCTAAAGTTTTGGATTTCCATTTCTGAAAGCTGAAAATCCCACATGGCTTCTCCTGTGTTAACAGTAAAATAGAAGTACTTTTTTAAAGTTTTATTTTTGTTTATTTTATTCCTTTTTTTTAGCAGCGGAGAGCTGAAACAAGAGCCGCTTTACCTGGGCTGCTTCGACATTATGAGCAAATTGTTTTTTCTTGTGTAACTAATTTATTCACACTGATAGTACTGTGCAAATTCTATCTATTTGATATTTGCTAACAATGCTAACAAGAACACAAGCTAATGACTTAACAATTTAATGATTTTGTTTTCCTACAGTAATGAGAAACTATTGGATTAAATCGACCTGCATCTTAAATTTCCAATATCAGCACTCCGATACAAGCAGTCCATTCCAAACTCCGCTCCAGCACCTCTATCCAGCAGTGCCCTGGTCCAGCAAGCTGAGCCCACAAAATCACAACAACAGTGTGTACTAAGGTACTAACAAATTAGCAAGGAGTAGAAGTGATGTCGACTGTGTGGCAGTATTTTTCATTAAAGTCCGAAAAAGACGTTGCAGCTGAGTGAAAAACTTGTCATGCATGATTTTGTGCCAATATCAGTATCGGTCAATATTGAGGGCTACAATATTGGTATCATATTGGATGTCAAAAAGTTGTATTGGGACACCCCTATGAGAAACTGCATTGCAGGGATGCAGGTCAGTGCTGTGCGTAGTGTGTGGAAACGGTCAAGAGTTCTGATCTGGAATAGGAGCTAAATAATGTGCATTAGTTGAGATTAACCGACAGTCTAATACATTAAACTGCACCATAATCTCCATCACCAGTTGGGAAGGGTTAAGGTCAGGAGGCTGATCCTTGAACAAGCACGTATTTGTTTTCCTTCCGCACAAGAACAGCCCACATGTATATTTAGTAACTGCTTATTCTTCTTTGTTCTCAGTTTGAACCTGCTCCCCATTTCCCAGATAATAAAAATATGAAGCCGCGCTGCTGCTCAGTTTATTTTCTTTCATGTACTACCACAAGAGCGCATGCAGCAGAGTGAGTGGGAGCGTGTCCCGAAATAACAAGCAGAAACAGGGCTGGTTCGTTTCCTTGAAGGGTTCCCCCAGTGCTCTCCCTCCTGCAAGAGCAAGGTCAGGTGTCAGAGGCCGCTCATGACAGAATGGAGGCGAGTCTGCAGTTGGAGCAGGAGTTATTAGTCTTTCAGCACGGGGCCCTTACATGGGAGGAGGTTTCAGAAAAATTCCTTTGCAGGTTAGAAAATGAGTGCTGTAGCTGTGACAGCGAATCTGATGCAGCTTCATTTGCATGCGGAGCGCACAGGCTAACTTATGTAACTGGAGGGTGAATCATGTTTAAGTTTTTGATGTTTATTTTTTGCACCACGGTAAAATGTATGAGAAGCGAAAGGTCATTTAGAGGTGTCCTGCTGAGTTCTAGTTTCCGATTAGCGATTACGGTCCAGATCATCGCAACAAACAGAAAAAAGTCGCATTTTTTTCAGAATTGTGTCGGCAGTGATTCGCTTGTTCAGTCAGGTGTTTTAAAAAATGATTAACTAATTCCCCACAGATGAAATCCCAGATTAGTCTGAAACCTCAGTTTACAATTACCACAGGTTTGTAACACTAGGTCAAAATACCTCAGGACTCAGCGACCAATCAGAGCACAGTTTGAATTAGCTTCAAGTTAGCCACATCGGCCACATCCTTCTCAGCATGTACAGTAGCTCACCTGTTGTGCAACACTTTTAAAAAAAGGACCTGTGTTATTTGGACAGCTTACAAACGAGATTGTCGAAACAGTAAACACATAAACATGGAGAAACAGGAAGAGACAGGAGGTGATACTCTGCTGTGTGCAGAAGGAAAAAGAGGAGCAGGTGTTAGCATGTGAGGGAAATTAGAACTGAAAGGGAGCAAGGACTTTTTTTAAGGGGGTCTATTGGGGGACCTGTGGACCCAAACCTGTGCAAAACTAAAGTACGTTAAAATTTCCAGGAAGAGCATGCATCACACCAGCCTTAGGTTGGGTTGAGGTTTCTGGAAGTTGGCTGTATTACGTGGTAGAGCAGATCCTATTTGTTGTGGTTGAAAGCCTAGCTTCCATTTCAGCTCTCTGACCATTTTCTCAACAAAGGGTCCAGGCTGACTGTGATCCCCTCGGGGGAAAAGTACCTCATACAGCCTCACTTTGAAAAAAGAACAACAACAACTCTCTGCTGAAAGCTGTTTGTGTCAAAAATGTTAAAATAAGTGAAAAAATCTGCACCATTACCTTAAACGGGTATAAATACGGTAAGATACTGTATTTCTGGACATGTTATCCCTCATCCTCACCTCAAAACACTCTGGGGGCAGAAAGAGCTGGAGTCCTGAGGTTTAACTGTGTAGATAGTAAAATTTAGTGCACTCCATTTAGAGACACAGTTGTAACTGGTCTGACCCCAGTGAAGCTGTATGGAAACCAGTCTGAACATGAGGGGTACCAGACACATCTGTCAGAGTGAATAAAACTCAAACTCGCAGACTCGTATGACTTTCAGGCTTAATTTTCTGACTAAATGCGCAAAATGCACAAGGACAGGTCTTCCACTGGTTGTAATAGCCAGAGGTTGATGTAAGTGCAACAAGGCTACAAGTCTACGTCCTCTTGTCTGACACACTTTCACATAATGTGCTCCTGTCTTTGACATTTGCTTCATCATTTATTAATCTGCTCCTCCGCAGCTGGAGCTTTTGTTTACGACTTTTCCATTTCAGTCGAGCCCCAGCCGCTCCTATCTCATCTGATTTCAGCTGAGATTGATGAGCTCAGAGTGACTCATCGTTTTGCAGCTCATAAGCTTTATTTAATGTGTGTTTTAGTGGATTTAAGACTTACCAAAGTAAAGAGTTTAAGGGGTCCCAGCAGTGAGGAAGAGTCCCCCCTCTGTTTAGTCTAATCCCCTCCCGTGTAATCCCGCCTCTACTGTCAGTTCTACTCCTTTTTAAACCTCCCCCCTCTGTTTTTCCTCTCTCTCTCTCTCTCCCTTACTATCCTCCTCTCTCATCCCACTTATCCCACCTTACGCCTGATGGAGCATTAAGCCTGAATGCTGTAGGCAGCCCTGGCCTCAGATTCAGAGTGAACCAGTTTTCGGTCGGTTCCTCTCCCTGCTCTATGAGACTTCTTTACCCTCCGCACAAACGGGAGCTTCTTTCCTATTTCTCTTCCATTTCTTTGTTTTCATGTGGGAGCGGGGTCAGCAGACATTGTTCCCAACTCAGGAAGGCTCCCACGTAATCTGCACTCGCTCCCTCTTTGGATACCTGCGAAATGGTCTCTAGTGGACGCCTCTTTTAGTCTAACCTCGGCGCTTTTTGGATGGACATTTTCTGGATTTGGATGGTTCAGAAGGGTACACATTCCTCAAGGAGACACGCCGGATAAGATGGTGCCCCTGCAAAAAAGGGTAATCTGAGTTATGCGTGTGGAGGAGTGCGGGGGGGTTGGAGAGGGGGGCAGTGTGTGCAAGATGTGGCTGCACTGTTTGTCTGCCTGCTTTCTTCCAAGAAAGCTTTGTGATAATGGAGTAAGTGTGGTTTGATGACTTGAATTGGAGAGACTGAGCGTGTTTGTAAGAATTCGAGTGGAAGGAAAGCAAAAAAAGAGAAACTAGGAGGGACAAACAAAGAGAAGTTTCAGTGAAATATCCATTGTTGTGTTTTATCTTGTCATTCTTCACTTGAGTGGCTTGTTGATGAGTGATTGCTCATTGAAACCAGCTAACAATGCTCACTGCAGAGCCCCTCTCTCTCTGGGTAATCTCCATTGTTGTCCCTGAGTGCTTCAATTAGGACTTTTTAATGTGCGGCTCCTCTTTCAAAGGCGTCCCGGGGATTCTATCAAACTGAAAATACGCTCGAAAAAGCAACAGTAGAGTTTATTTTAGTGTGATATCATTTCTTGCTCAGGTCAGGTTTTGAGTAAGCTACTTTTAAAGCTACTAAAAAGTGCAGCAAGACTGTGCGGGGTTACAGAATATATCTTGGCAAGTGCACCGCAGCCAACAACCGCTTCCTGTGATGTGAAAGGCTTGCAGTTCAGAGGCGCATCAAGTAGATTCGGAGCACATCTCAAGCTCTTTTCTGTCCTGTTCAGGCTGATAATTCACATGGTTTAGGTGTGGTGCAAGAGGAAGCAGGGTTAAGGAAGACATCCAGACATGGGAGAGGAGAGGATGGGGGACTGCTGGAGCTACACCAAGGTTGAGTTTTTTGAAAATCGTATGAAGGTGTCGTGAGAAAATCTACTCTTGATAGCTTGTTAGCTTTGGTAGCATGTGTTTGTGCGAGTTTATCAGTTTTCCAGATGAGGTGCTTCTCTTTTTCTTTCTTTCTTTTTGATTTTTCAAGCCGTGACTTCGGCCAAGCAGTGGCTCACTTTTTCCTTCACAAGTCAAAGTCAAAATGTGAATAATGGGCTCAGCTTGAGCAGCTGTATTTGGTTATCAGACCTGGAGTCTACTGTTGCTCTCTTTTAAATTTCAATAGAGAATTGGCATGTCACATTTGCAGCTTGATGCTAGTTGAAGTTCAGGCATATCACCTTATAAGGTGTTTCAGTGTTACTTTGAACTATATGAACCGCAGCCATGGGAGAGAGCCAGATGTGTGATTTTGTGTGATTACTAGCTGTGAATAAACACATCGACTGACACATTTATGCCTGATTGCTTTGGTTAAAGGGGCACAACCCAGCAGACACAAAGCTGAGCCAGCCTGCACAGTATGAGAAAGTGAGCCCTGTGCAGAAACAGAGGAGTGCATGTTAGATATAACTTGGGGCTGGGCGATAAACTGAAAAGTTAGCGATACCGGAATTTACATCAATAACCGGCAAACTGACCTATCTGTCGAATATTTTCATGATTTATTAAGCAGTTATATATTTTCTAAATATCTAAAAGACGGTGTAAGGGGAAACAAATGTTCACTAAAAACATAAACATCTATTCCTGTAAAGCCCAAAGATCCTTGGTTTACTGATCTAGAAGTAGGGCTGGGTGATAAATTGAAAATTTACCGATACTGAAATTTATGACAATAACCAACGTCATGTTGCCAATGTCAATATATTTGGTGTCAAATAAATAAATAAAAGTTGGTTTTGGATGTGTGTAGGTAGGCTATGGTCTCATGTCCCTTTAAGACGCTGTTCTAAGTCAGAGACGTGACTCCACCCCATCCAGTCCGCAACAAAGAGGAAAAGACAGGTGCAGAGATGGAGGACTGTTTAAAAGTTGTAGCGGCGGCTGAAGTAGACGAAGTTAATGTAGGAGGGGGTGAGCAGCTTGTGGAGTAGTTATCATTCATTTAGCGTCATCGAGGTGAACGGCTCAATATATCGTGATATTGATTTGAGGCCATATCGCCCAGCTGTAGCTATAACTCACACTTCTTGAAATGGAGTGATAGTACAGCCACTACACCTAGGCATCCATCTCATAGGTCAGATGAATGCAGTCTGAGTGAGAACCATGAGATAGTTTCTAAGAAGACAACCAGACAATGTCAAAGTTGAGCCACAGAGTCTGCAGGTCAAGTGTTTCAAATCGGTTTTCTTAGAGTAGCTAAAGTTAGCACCACACCTCCTTGCAAGTGCACGTGCATAGGTGTGGTTTCACATTGTTACTGTGAAGTTTAACCAGACCTGAGCCTTTGTACAGCTTTGTTTCTATGTTTGAGATAAAAATACTGTCAAACCTTGACGTACAGCTGATGTCCGTGCTGTATCCAGTAGATCATTCTCGTAATATGGCAGTCGTCATTAACTGGAGCGACTGTACAGCTTTAGCTAATAGCGGGGACTTGATCTAATCAAGACTAAACACAGATTTAAACACGTTACAGATTATTGATGACATGGAGCCTCAGTCAATCTTGTGTCTATCTTGTGTTTGAATGACTCAACAATTCCTCTTTCTTCTCCCCTGCAGGATCAGTTTGACAACTTGGAGAAGCATACACAGTGGGGGATCGAGTATTTGGAGAAGTACACCAAATTCGTCAAGGAGAGATCCGAGATTGAAACCAACTATGCAAAACAAATTAGGTGAGTACTTGAGTGAAGTTATGATCCATATTATCAGATCGGACTATATGAGATCCAGGTGGCTTAGAAGAAGAAGAAGAACCCCCCCCCTTTCCTGCTCCTCCTGCTCCTTCTGTGTCAGGATTTGACCTACTAAGGTGTCCTTGAAAGGAGAGATTGGATCCTTCCAAGCTCATTATGGAGCTGACCGTGACCCCTGACCTCCCTCTGGAGGAAAAGTGAAGCTAGGATTTGCAAGAGCAGTGTTGCGTTAACTATCAGAACGTTGTTTACATTCAGGACGGCGTATAGTCTTGAGGCCAGGTGTGGAGTTAGTAACAGACCTGAAGAGGATGTCTGCTCTTTTCCTCTCTCACAGACTCTCTGTCTGCCGCTCTCTCGCTCTCTTTCCTGCAAACACGCTGTCTGTTGTTGTTTCGAGCTCTGCTTCAGGCAAGAGGAAGTCAGGTTGTGGGGGGATGGGGCGGAGCTTGCGTTTCCATAGTGACTACAAGGTATCAGCATTATCAACCACAGGTCTGACCCAGATTTTTTTCCTCCAACCACAAGTGTAAGCCCCTCCCCCTTCCACACCATTCCACTGTAACTGAGTTTTGGTACAGTCAGTGGTTTTTCTAAAAAGGCCGTAATGGGGGCATGAGCAGTTCAGCACGCAGAGGATCCGTCTCTTAAACCGTCCTCACCCCAACACAGTGGGGGATCGCCCCCAAAATCCTCTATCCTCATCTTTAAAGAGGACTAGCAATATGGCTAATGCTCTAAGTATTGACCCCCAACCCCCCATTTATCCTGACCAGCCAATACCGATGCAGTATTGACGCAGCAGCGGTCTTCTTTTTGAGATTTAAGTCTGCTTGAGATAATAGGACTAGCAATCTGTGTTTACATGCATGCATTAACTTTGACATGCATTCTCCTACACGCAAGAACTTTGCACACATAGAGACAGACACATGTGAAACAAACTTACAAATACTGACAACAGGCTCTCTATGCAAACTTGATAAGTAGTTGTGATAACTGTGCAAGTTTCACACTTTTGTTTTATGCTAGTTAATTAGGACTTATATATCTGACTTACTTGATCACGTCAGTGCACTGAGGGAAAAATAATAGGCAATTCTGTTACTTTGTTATTAATCAAAGAAACTGAAGTATGAGAGTAGTGCTCCCAACTTCTCAATTGTGAGTCAATTGTTAGTGATAAGTTTATGCTGCTGCACATTTAGTATATTGAGTTTTTAATACTCTACAGTAGGGCTGGGTGATAAATTGAAAATTTACCGATACCAAAATTTACGACAATAACCAACGTCATTTTGCCCATGTCAATATATTCGGTGTCAAAATATACATAAATTAAAGTTAGTTTTGGATGTGTGGAGGTAGGCTATTGCCTTATGTCCCTTTAAGACGCTGTCCTACATCGGAGACATGATTCCACCCCATCCAGTCCGTAACAAAGAGGGAAAGACAGGTGAGGAGATGGAGGACGGTTCAAAAGTGGTAGCAGCTGAAATAGACAAAGTTAATGTTGGAGGGGGTGAGCAGCTTGTAGAGTATTTATCATCCATTTATCTTTATCGAGGTGAACGGCTCAATTCATTGCGATATTGATTTGAGGCCATATTGCCCAGCCCTACCCTACAGGATAGTTTGGGGGTATATCCACAATTTGCACAAGGGTATTTCTAAATTACTTGTTGACATGAGACGGAGTGGGAACCACCTCTTGCCCACTTTGCCCCTTATCTTACACATAACAGAAGAGGAATGTAACGGCAGTATGTGAGGGCTGTTTTCTTACACTTATCATGTGGCTGCAGTTACAATGTTAAGAATCACATTAGCGATGATGTGAAGCTGATGGTCTCTTTTGCTTTTGTAGCTCATAAAGACACACCAACATCTCCATAAAACTCCTTACAGCAGCTTTAAATCAGTGAGATACTGTGCATTTTAAGATCACATGCATCACAGGTGCTGCTCTCTGCACAGGGTAGAAGTTAGATTTTAGGAAAACACAAGATAATTGTCCTGGTTGTCAAGTGCCAGAGCTTCTGCTGACCAGTGTTGTTCAGTGCATCCTCACATTTACTGCAAGTCACTCACAGAAGAGAGTCACTTCCCAGAGAAACTTGCCAGGCTGGGTCATATTGATGTTTTAGCCATGAGGCCTCCTTGCTTGATTGTGTTTCTGTTGGTAAGAAGAAATAGCCTCTGCTGGTAACACTGCAGATCAATTTGAATGACTAAGATCCTTTCCATCATCTAATGTTGGTCTGATCCTTGAGGCGTCCCTAAAAGCCTTAAATGAAGTAATTTGATAAGGGACAGAATCTTAAGCTCTTTGCTTTTGTGTCTACTTAAATTTGGCTGTTAGTTTGATCCCTTTTTTAACAAGTATTGTGACCCTTAAAGCATATGCACTCACAGCTTTTGTGTTTGTGTTTTAACATGCACATGGATACCTTATAACTCAGTGAGAGAGCATCTGTGTACAGTATGTTCAACAGAAGAATCAGGGGTGGGACACATTTCTATGGCAGGTTTGCTTTTATTGAACTCCAGGCTCCACAGATGGTGCGGATGTTTTCAGTCACATACAGAGGACCCGCTGTCAAGCCAACACACACTCATATACACACACACATATATGCATGCACATTGGCAAACAGCCACAAACAGTCGAGAATGGGGACATCAGGATGCACAGACAGGATAGCTTGAGTCGGAGGATTTTCCTGTGCTCCTGACACACTGACTCCTTTAGTGTCCCGGTGTTACTTGACCATTTATCTGGACTAATTATCCTTTATAATCAACTTAGCTCATGAAATCAGGGTTAATCTAACAGCCACACTTTAACCTGAAGAAGAGCAGGTTGTTAGATCTGATAAGTAATTGAATTGGCTTTTTTGATCTGCTCCTCTTCACTGTCAGATCCTCCCTCTATCCTCTCCTCCCTCAGAAGAAACAGGTGTATTTACACACTTTTCTAATGCTGGTGGTATTCCCTCAGGCTATCCCAGTTTCACTGCTCTGGTTTTACTAATACTGGCTCACTGGGGCAGAGTTGAGTGGAGTCGATTGAATCGATAAGTCAGCGGACAGTAGTATAATTGGAAACTATTTTCAGAATTGAAGTAATTTTTGAAGCTGAGAGGTTGATGAGTTGATGCTTTTAACTTGGCAGTAGTGAGGATTTTCTGACTCACTGTGAAAATGAGTCATTAAATGATGCATTTTAGGTGTTAAATGGACAAAACTGGGAATTTGTCTTTAGAAGGCATGATTGTAGGAGAGTTTTTGTAGAGCAAAAGTGTCATTGAGAATAACTTCAGTATATACTGAAGAAAAAAATGGCTAGTTTCAGCTTGATGGGTGTGTAACATACTGTGTATCGTCTAGGATAACATCTTGAATTCAAGCCAAGTGGGACAGGCTACTGCTCATGCACATTAAAGATACAAATAGGGCTGGGCGATAAACCAAAAATTTACAGAAACCAAAAGTTTACGACAATATCTGACGTCATTTTGCCCGTATCAGTATATTCGATGTCAAAAAATTAAATAAATAAAAGTTAGTTTTGGATGTGTGTAGGTAGGCTATGGTCTCATGTCCCTTTAAGATGCTGTCCTACATCAGAGACCTGATTCCACCCTGTCCGTAGTCAGTAGTAACAAAGAGGGAAAGACAGGTGAGGAGATGGAGGTCGATACAAAAGTTGTGGCGGCTGGAGTGGTGGCTAAGGTAGACAAAGTTAATATGGGAGGGGGTGAGCAGCTTGTGGAGTAGTTACCGTCTATTTATCGTTATCGAGGTGAACTGCTCAGTATATCGTGATATTGATTTGAGGCCATATCGCCCAGCCCTAGTTACAGGTCACGTTTCTGCTTGGAAAATGTCAGAATGAACTGGCCCATTTAGTGGATAATTGATCACCTTCTATGGCATATGAAGGATGTTAGCTAATTGATATCCAATTCAGTGGGACACAATTCAACTCAGTTCAAAGGTTTTAGAAACATTCACACTATTTCACAACAACAGTGAAAGAATAAAGATATAAAACTGTCCTATTGTTCAGTTGAATGCTTGTATTAAACTGTTCTAAAAAGCCCCGATCCCTCTTGGATTGAACACCATTTATCACTATTACTCTACTTTGTACCACTTTTGTCCCCATACCAACCACACTCTGCACTAATCCACCAATAATCCTCTTCCCCTCTGTTGGTGTAAACATGCACAATGCTTCAGTCTAGTCATAGCAGGGCGATGCATTAATTCCTCCTCCTCCTCCTCCTCCTACCCCCCAAATTCCAGTCTGGCATAATCCATAACACAGTGGGAATAAAGTCCAGCCAACAAAGGAGACTGGGAGAGGGTAAAAAAGGGTCTGTCTTTGCTGTGGTTAAAGTGGACTCTTAGAGTCTAAATCTCTAAACAGTGAGGCAGAAAATCATAACCAGACACAAGGGCGCAGATTAAATCCCTCTAATTAAGAGCAAGCGGCTGCCCCATTTTTGTGTTTTATATATTGAGGTTAGTGGGCAAACACATCCTGACATTTGACATCTGACTGTGAGTGAGAAACTGGGTGAGTGAGTGGGAACTGGCACTATTATTAGAGACGGAGTGAGAAGGACAAGATAGATGGATCTGCCTAGCAACAGTGTAAACACCACAAGGGATGAGATGCGTAGGGGTGGGGGGTTGGCAAAGAGCAATCTGGATATCTGGATGGAGCGCAGACTCACATTACATCCGTCTCTCTGTGGAACACATGCATACATTATTTTAGCAGTTATATATAATGTGCTTTATCACATGCACACTCTGAGGCATGTAGATCCATCTGTGGTAGCTGTACTATCAATCTTATAACAAGGGCTGGAAAAACAGCAGATGACCTTTATTTTCTGCACTGGAGATTTGTGCTTTGGTGATGTACAGATATACATTTACAGAATAAGATAACCTTTTTGTCTTAATTTAAATGAAGTGACACATTCATGGTATTAACAAACATGGAAAGAACACACTGGCCAACACAACAGTAAGAAGCATTTTTAATAAGTGCACTAGTGTGTGCTGAAGTCGCAGGTTGTAAATGTCATCACCTCCTCCTACTCTAATTTTCCTGACTTTTACTCGCTGCATTCATGCATCACCAGAGCCTCACTTGCAGAAATTTTGCAGGAAAAAAGTTTGAGAAAAATTTGCATCAAAAGCCCAGCTATCTGCATTTAATCACTTGCGTTTGTGCGTGTGTGAATCAGCTTATGACTCACGATTTTCCACCCTTCTGAACAGACAGCTATTTTGGGTTTTGTGTCAAACAAGAAAAAAAACAATACATTAAAATGATCACAAAGTCAAACTACTGTGGGTTAGGGCTGGGCAATAAACCGAAAATTTACAGATACCGAAATTTACGACAATAGCCGACATCATTTTGGCCGTGTCAATATATTCTGTGTCAAAAGATGAATAAATCAAAGTTGGTTTTAGATGTGTGTTGGTAGGCTGTGGTCTCATGTCCCTTTAAGACGCTGTCCTACGTCGAAGAGGTGACTCCACCTCATCCAGTCTGTAACAAAGAGGAAAAGACAGGTGAGGAGATGGAGGATGGTTCAAAAGTTGTGGCGGCTGAAGTAGACAAAGGTAATGTGGGAGGGGGTGAGCAGCTTGTGGAGTAGTTACCGTTCATTTATCGTTATTGAGGTGAACTGCTCAATTTATCGTGATATTGATTTGAGGCCATATCGCCCAGCCCTACTGTGGGTTCATGAAAATATAATCTTCTCAGTTTTGCAGCAATCTGTCTGTTTCGCACAAACACCTGCTGTTTATATTCAGCATGTAGGTAAACAACATGCACCCAAATCTATCCGTTTATAATGTGGGTCATTTTTTTCTGTTGACAGAGGGCCTTTTCAAACAGAGCATCAGCACTAGTAGGTAGTAAGTGTCTCACTATCATGATGACACCAACCTGACATGATGAACTGTTTGACATTGACGGTCCTGACTATTATGATACCGGCTGGATGTACATATTCTGATCTTTACTCAGTAGTGTGTGTCATTCGTCCTGCACTCCTCTCGTGCCACTGACATGCAGCCTGCCTGAGTCCTATCAAGGGCAGAGGCTGCAAAGAAAGCATGCTTGTTTCTGGTGAGTGCTCCTGCATGCATGCTCCTGGAGGCGGTGATTTATGACCTGAAGAGAGGAAAGGGGGGGATGAAGTAGAAGGAGGAGAAAAGCACTCTGCTGGATTGAATGGTGCTCTGGATGATCCTTTGGCAGTGTCAGAGAAATATAATGGAAACAGGGCACTATCTCCTGTGCAGTCGATGCTTCCAGGAAAGACTCTGTGAGCTTCTGTGTTTGACTAAGCAGATTTCTTTGTTTTCACAGGAATTTATCAAAGAAGTATCAACCCAAGAAGAACTCAAGAGAGGAGGAAGAGAGCAAGTAAGTGTAACACGATTGTTTGCACAAAAATAAGTTGGTATATTTGAAAACTGGACACTGAAAGGGTCGTGGAGTGAAGGTTTCATATTAAATATATGTTAGCAAGCAAGAGGATGAAGCGAGACCTGAAACAGACAAGGTCACACTCGCATTAAGGTGAAGTACTGCAGAGCGATGCGGATACTCCCACTACAAAGTAGGGATGGGCGATAAATTTTCGTTCACGATATACTGTATCGTCGGAAAAATCCTCCATAATAAATATTTGCCATCTCATGATGAATACGATAAATGCAAGTTGATGGCGTGAGCGACAAACTCGCAGCCACAGCCCACATAGAGCAGAATAACAAACAAACATGGCCGAAGGTAATAAAGAAGACGTTTCTGAGCAGCTTGTTACTGAACGAGGCTCCACATGAGGGATTTCCTTCAAGATTGGGGTTTAGATGAGCGCAATCAGGTATGCCTCACATCGGAATGTGGATCTGCTGCTGTCTGTGCAATAAGAGTTTTCAACAAATGTTGAAAATGTTTTCACATTTGAGACTTGTTTGATGTCACTAGTTTTCTCCATAACGTACCACTTAAACTTGTGGTTAAGTATCTTATTTGACTACTCCAACTCATGTTCTCAAAACAAAATGAGTCAAAAATATAGACTGGAATTATAATATTTTTTTATCAGGACTTTTATCGTTATCGCCAGAATGGCAAATCTTATTGTGATAAATTTTTAGCCCATATCGCCAACCCCTACTACAGAGGAGATACAGCGTAGGGTCAACACAGAAGTATGGACCGGGCTTTAGTGAGGTCTCTGAAGAGGCGAGCTCAAAGATGTTGCCATTTTGGGAATACTGACTCCAACTGACTCTTGGCTGATCCTGAACCCAGCCTTGAGTTGGAGTTGGGGGCTACAACTTGGAAAACAGTGACTACATGCCTGACAGTCAAACCGATCCTTTGATTTCTTCCTGTTTGAGTCGCATGTTTGAGCTACATTGTCTTTCCTCTGACATCGTCTCCTGTTTCCTTCCAGGTACACCTTCTGTCGAGCCTTCCTGACGACGCTCAATGAGTTAAACGACTATGCAGGTCAACACGAGGTCATAGCCGAGAACTTGACATCTCAAATCGTCAGCGAGCTTTCGCGCTATCTGCAGGAGCTCAAGTCAGAGAGAAAATCGGTAAGGACTGTTTTTGATATTGAAAGTATGTTCCTTGATTTGAGTAGGATAGAGATTCTGGAATGGAGGGCTGAGGAAATTAAGCAACTGCTTCCCTCTGCGTACTCCGCTCTGCGCCATCTGAGGTCACCGCTTAGTAAATATAGAAACACCCAAAGGCTCCCCAGAAGAGCGAAACGTGACTGACTGAGTCCTTTTTATGGAACAAAGTCTTCCCCTCTGTATCATTACACGCGTATTTCTCTCGTTTTAAACCAATTTACAAAGGATTGGTGCGCCGCGCACTATTCTCAAACGCTGAAGTCACTTTCTTCTCGCTATTAAAAAATGATTTGGCCGAGCGGTGGACCTGCAGCGCATGATTCATGGAGAGCAGTGTGGTGCATGTTAAATTGGAAGAGTTGGTGGATGAGGAGAGAGAAAACTAGCCAGCTGGAAAGAAAGTACTCTCTGAAAAATCTGTCATGATCTCTCGTGTCACCCAAGTCCAGCTGAGGGAACTGGAGTGGAAAACCCAAACCAGGGGCTGCTCAAAGGCACAGTGACCCTGGAAATGGACGAGTTTTGCTGCGTTTCTTTTTTACTTTAATACAGGAAGATATATCATGATTGTAGACTCAGTGTTAAAGAAAGAAGGGGATTTCCAGCGCTTCTCTAGGGGAACCATCAACCCCCTGCAGGCCTGTTTTCCCTCCGTGGCGCTGATTTAGCCTGGTTTGGCATATTATCTGTCTCTGCTGTGACCAGATAGACAGACCCCTGCTTTTCTGTTTCTGCAGGATGTCACTCTGACACCACTCTTCCTCTTCATTTCTCTGCACACTTCCTCTTCTTTTCCGCTCTCTCTCTCTTTTTTTAAATACAGAAGCCTCTCTGGCTCTCTCCATAGTGTCCTTGTTTTTTCATACTTGTCATGTGTTTGCCTCTCTTGAATAAGCTCACAATAATGTGTCTTCAGAGTAAGGGGGGGATTTCCTTTCATACCACGACCCTGATCATTTCCAGTATCTTTTGAGAACAGAGAATCATTTTATCAAATGTAACTGAGCAGATAGTCTCTGAATCGGAACAGTGTCCCTCAAGAGTGAATACAGTCATTATGTTTTAAAGTTATTATTCAAGAGACACTCGGGCTTTATGATGGAAAATGATACTCTTTGAGATGGTGAAATCAAGCTAAAAAGAAACAGTCGATCAACGTTGATTTTTATTTTATTTTACAAGCAATATTCAGTGTCTTTGAGTCTGTCCTACAAAAGGAAAATCCTCTAACTGTAGACCTGGGTTTTAGTTTGACATACTTTGTGGTCTGTAGGGGTTTTTGGAAGATTGCTTGAGACTGGAGTTCTGAGACAGGCTGTAATGACCACAGTGTTACCTCTCCAGAATCTAGATTGAAGTTAAAGTTTTTTGTCCTATTCAGTCCTTTGTGCAAAGAGCTACCTACAGACTCTGTTGATAAAAGTGGAACAGTAAAATTTGGTCTACAAGATGCACTTTTAGTACCTTTTTCATGACAATAGAATTGGCACTGGTGCAACCTAGGGCTGGGCGACATGGCCTCAAATCAATATCACGACATATTGAGCAGTTCACCTCAATAATGATAAATGGACGATAACTACTCCACAAGCTGCTCACCCCCTTCCACATTAACTTCGTCTACTTCAGCCGCCGCTCCAGCTGCTCCAACTTTTGAACCGTCCTCCATCTCCTGACACCGAATATACTGATATGGGCAAAATGACATCTGTTATTTTCGTAAATTTTGATATCGGTAAATTTTCAGTTTATCGCCAAGCCCTATACCAAAGTGACTTTGGTATCTTAAAGAGTCATTTATGAATCAACACATCACTAAAATACACACAAACAAACAAGTTAAAACAGCACGACAGTGGATTAGAAATGGGATTTTCTGTTGTGATTATTCCAGTCAGAGAGCTCAAGAAAAAAGACCCTTTAGTGTTCCCATTGGACACATTTTCTTTAAAAGATCGTCCTTCAGTGATTACAGCTTTGTAGCTAGTTCTGGTGGAGACAATCTGTTGTAAGCATTTTTCTCTAGTCTTTCATCCAGACAGCAAAAACATTAAACCAGGGAATTCCTGTTGACATAAATAGAGTGTAAGTGGTTGCACTACATCACAACTTTGTAGATAAAAGGGAGCCTAGAAAAACGTCACCCACTTTTCCTCCCTGTCATGTGCCACTTTGTGCCTTTGTGCTGTAAGTTGATGAACTTTTTCCTCATGTGAGGCGAAGCTTTGCTGGCAGACTCAGACAGTGGGATTAGAATAGGAGGGTCAGGGCCTTTCCCCCGCTGTATTTACAGGAAGCTCATTGGGCAGGTAAAATCCCCATCACAAACCCAAGGGAGAAGAAGAATAATACCTCATTAGTTCCTCATGTGGGGTTGTTACACAACTGTGCCTGACTTCTTTTTTTTTTTTTTTCGCTGTTTCCCTGAGTGAACCTCTCACTAAGCTCAGCTCCGGGTGGCAAAGAGGTGAGGCCAAGAATGCTGTCTTAAAGGAGTCTTATTGAAGATCAGCCTATAGTTGTTTTTTAAAGAAAAGGGACCTGGTTTAATGCGTTGGTTGGACTACTTGTTTTTAAGTGGTTTGGACTACTTCAGATCACACTCAAAGAAGTAGTGTTGTGTCGTTCGCAAATGATTCGTTCAAAAAAAAAAGATCTTTTCAGTGGACGCACTGAACTGAATCACTTCCTCAAGAGATTTGTTCGTTTCTCACTTCAGTTGAGCTGTCGGCAGTGCAGCTGCCACAGCACGCAGCAATGCTGAGCTGGTGAGCTGCAGGGATGGAGGGACACCTGAATCAATTTGTGAACGAATCACTCAGTGAACTACACTCTCTGGGATCATTTTTGTCTGAGGGATACGCTTTGGCGGCCGTTGTTCCCCGTTGTTTGAACAGATTTAGTTCCCAATTAAACAAACTTAAAACGTCAGACTGGCAGTAATGAAAATAGAGTGAGACTCACCAGCTGTAGCGAGCTCTTGACAGGAGGGGGAGGAGGGAGATAAGGGTGTGTTGTGTTCAAGTGTACCTCGGAGAAAACAAATGTATTTTTTAAACCTGAACTGTTCAGCTGTGTATCGGTTCAGTAAGTCGGAGCTGCAGGCTCCTCCCGCCAAGCGCCTAATGACTCAGAGATTTGGTGATAGAATCTTTTGAATGAATCTTTTTAGTGAACTGATTCTAGTGATTCAGTACATCTAAATGAACTGATATGCCCATTACTACAAAGAGGTTTATCCAGCTGTTATTTGGACGCATATGTGTATGTACTTTAAATAGCAGCGTTGAGGCGTAAACAAGGTTAATATGGGATGAGGTGCTTAGTCTCACTGGACTATGATATTGCTGAGGAAACATAAGAAGGTGTTTAGTTAGCATTATCTAGTCCTGATCACAGGGCTCAGGTGTCATCTCTAATAAAGAGCCTCTTCTAATAAAGACTTCAGAGACCACCTTTAGGCTGCAGCAATGAAAAATGAGGAGGATGATGAGTTTCCGAGGAAGTGCCCTCTACGTGTAGATTCAAGTGTCCTCCTTCGCGCCCACAGAGCAGCATTTAACTCGGTGTCAGGAAGTACTGTCTGTCTTGTACCACTGCAAACATTTTGACATGTTCAACCAACCAGCAGAAAAATGAAAAAAGGAGATGTCTTCTTCAGCTGGCAGGTCTGTTGAGATAAGTGTTGCATTTACCGGTACACTGTAATATGCTATAAAACCTCTTAAGGTGGGTTTGGCAGAGAGTCGTGCTCACATTTATCTCTTAGAGGTTTAGAGGAGAGGTGCAGCCGTGGTGTTACAGTGGAAGAACAATGTGTCTCTCCACAGAGGCCTCACATGCCTTCCTGTGTGGAGTGGAAAGACAAATAGGAAACATGGAGGATGAATCAGGCAGTGGATACTCTTCAATCCAGAATCTAATTGAATGGTCGCCTGATGGTCTTAGTCCTATAAAATTTAACATCTCTTTAGTGTGCGGCTCCTTTATGACTTGTGGCTATTTTTAGACTCATGATTATATGTGTGCTGACAACTGTGTAAGACTGCAGGTGCACATTCTCATGAGCCAAGTCATGTCAATGAATGACTAACAGATCACCTGGAGCTTGTGTGTGAGTTCATATATGGACGGCCTTTAACAGAAATGAACAGGAGAGGAGAAATACAGTTTTAAATAAAGTTTTTGTTGATCTCAAAATGCAAACTCGGGGGCTTTAGGTAGGGCTGTTAGTCAAGATATCACTACTCTGTTTCTTCATGCTCTACTTGTTTTTTGAGGTAAATTCCCCGTTCTTTCCCAGCCAAAAAAAAAGAGAGAAAAAAAATCCTTCCTAGTGTGTTTCAGATGCTTTGAACATTTTTTCTTTTGTGTATTTGTGGGCTGAGAGCTGAGCTGCTGCTCAGTTAGGCAATCTAAATAACAGAACTCCTAATCGTGTAAAATGACGCTATTTCAAATATTTGTTGCACGACTTAAAAGCCATGAAAAGGCTCAGCTTGAAATTTTTATCTTGATATTCTTTTTTTTGTTTATCTCAAAACTTCATACACAGTAGACACATGGACTCAGGAGGGGCTGTGAGCTGAGATGCCACTACTCTGTTTCTTTATGCTCCACTTGTTTTTATGTTAAGATGTCCGAAGTCTCTTGTAAGCCTCCCAAAAATCGACTTGGGAATCAAAACTAATGGAAGAACTCACAAAAATGTAGCGTAAAAATTTAATCAAAATCCCTCTGGTGCTAATCAGCTAGTTTTTTAGGGCTGACAGGTGAGCTGCTGCTAGGTTAACCTAGCTAGCTGAGTGAAACTCTTCATCCTGTTGAATTATGTCTTTTCAAATGTAACTGACAAGAGTAACAACATCTTAAACAATGTTTTGATGGCAGCCAATTAAAGTTTCATGGATTTATTGTGCCAAACTAACTCTCACAGGTAAAGCTTGAGATTTATTTAAATCTAATCAAATTTTATTTATTTAGCGCCAAATCACAACAGTCGTTATCCCGACACGTTTTCCAAAAAAGAGCAGGTCTAGACCACGCTCATCATTTTATGAGTTACCAAGACCTAACCTTAAGATGTGACAGATTTGATCCATCTCATCTAACATGAGTGACAGTGACAAGGAAAAACTTCCTTTCAACAGGCAGAAACCTTGAGCAGGACCAGACTCGTATCAGACAGCCACCTGCTGCTGCTGAGTTTGGGAATCTAGTCTGTTGTAGGAGTTTGATTTGGTCCATAAAAAACACAAAAGGATAAAGAAAAGGTGGAAGAGTTGAATCAGGCAGCTGCATGTAATACAGCAGAAAGAATTCAGATTTCTTCAGCCCTCAGATTACAAATGTTTGTGCGGAGGAAAGCTCATGAGTCACACAGGATCTAAGCCACACTGAGCTGGATCAGAGGGTGTCTGTCTCACATCGGCTCCGTCTGGTGCAGGAATGACACTTGAACAGAGAGAGGCAGATAAGGTCGAGAGCAGACAGGAGCCATTGTGGTTCATACTTGAGACTCCATGTTCAGGCAAAGAAAGATCTGTCCACAGAGTCCTGGTTGTCAGTTTGTACTCATACATTTATATGGACAGAGTCAGTCTGTCCAGAAGTTTTAGAGTTGAACTTTCCCAGGAAATAACTGTGTTATAGAGGGTCCAAACTCAAGTCCAAATATAATTCCCCACCTGTTTCCTCTCCACTTGTCCTCGCCACTTGCAGAAAGTTGATCCGAGTGTTGTAGTAGTGAGAGGCAGGGTGTTTTTTTCAAGAGGAATATGGACTACAAGGATCCGAATGATAACAACTCACATATCTTTACATGAGTGAGACATCATTTGTGTTTGCTTTATTATTTCATCGTGCTGTTAGAAAAAAAAAGAACATAGCTGACTCATTTATGGAGATATCTCTGGTGATATAATAGACCTTGTTTGTTTCAAGTGTCTCTTGGAAGGAGTCTGATTGTCTGAATGGTAACAGGATGTGGTCGGCTAAAATCGTGAACTTCTTATTTAAGACAGCTGCGCAGAGTACTCTTCTGTGGCATGCTTATTGATCGTATTTCCCTTTTCCTCTTTTTTAAAAAATTCATTTCTCGATCATGTTTAGTCTCGTGTTTCCCGTTTATTCAAATGCCTTATTACCTGAAAGTCGCAGCTTCGGATCAGCAACCTGTTAAAGCACTGCAGATGTCCCTGACAGCTCTGGCAGCAACAAGCTGTTCCTGACAGAGACACAAAGGAAGAATTCGGCTTATTTTTACAACATAAAAGCTGTCTGTATCCGTGCACTTGTAGGCTGTTGATAAGACGGCTGCAGAACATCTGCATAAATGGATGCAGCTTTAATACGTGCATCACAGATGTGTGTTGATTCACTCTGCTTTTTTATCGTGTTTGAAAGTGAATGAGCTCATGCTTTAAAGAAGTCAGGTCATCTGTTGCGGGAGGTGTTTGGAGAAAAGTGTCACTGTAGTTTGTTTATCTTCATGGTGATGGAAGATTTGTTGATGCAGCCGGTGTGAGATGCGGGATATTTTTCAGGTGTGTTGTTATGGAGACAAATATTTGGCGGAAAGAGGGCTGCACAGCAACCATGATGCTTTAGAAAAGACTTGTCGGTATTTTCGCCATATCTCATCCTCAATCAGTGAGACATATTTCTAAGAGCTCATATCTCAGGTCAGGATCTCAACAGAACAAACAAAATGCCTCATTACACATTTAGCGTCAATGACAAGTCCCGTTTTCTGTTAGAGCTCAAATACTTCCTCTGAAACGCCGGACCACTTCCTGTTTTTTCTCCACTTCCCTTTGGGAAAAGAGAAGTGGGACTCTCAGAGGTGAACCAGATCCCCGTTCTCACTAACTAGTTTTACGTTTATGTTAATCAGGTGAGGTGAAGTGTACAGCTCCTCTTCATTTCACACCTCTGCTTCGTGTGATTGAGACCACACACGACACATGGAGGACTTCTTGTGCATAAAAAGGACAAACACTTGCTTTCTATTCCCTGTAACGGCCTGGGTTTGTTATTGAATAGCAGCATCGATATTCAGCTCAGCTACTTCCGCAGTCTCTGTTACCAGGGGTTACCTCATTGATGGTCAAGTTTCTTCTACGCGCTTCACATTTTAATTCGACTTTTTGGATCCTTCAGCAAGTTAACACGATGACAGGCAATGGGGATAATGATTTGATTGCCATGTGAGTAATGACGGGGTAATTTCAATCGATGAAGATAAAGAACTTGGTCTCTGTGTTTCCAGGGGATCTGGCCGAGCTCCACATGGAGATCAGTGTAGAGATGTGCTCTGCCTCTGGGCCAAGTGCCCTGTTCCCCTTGCAGGGATATAGGCCAAGTCAGGCTGGTGATAAAAACACACAGAGTACTGTGTGTGCTGCATTAATCCAGACCTGCAGCTGTCACCTCAGTCTGGACTAATATGTCACACTTGGCACTGCCAAGTCTCTGTCTCCTTGACTCTAAACTTTGTTTTTGTCTCATGGTATGCTTACCGTCATTCCTAACCACAGCCTTTCCCAAAACTGTGATGATTTTTTTCAGGGTTAGATGAGAAAAAATGAAAATAACAAATGAAAAAAGCCAGAGAAAGGAAGATAAGTCACACAGTTTCAAACCAGACAAACATCAGGCCTCTAACAGTAACAGTCGGACTGATAATGCTAGGTGCTATCATGCATCGTTTCTTTCCTCACTTTGCATAATGTAAGAATTCACCTATTAAACGGCTCAAAAACTGAACTGAACAAGAATTTACATACCTGGAGTTAGGGCTGGGCGTTACACTCTACAGATACTGGAATTCACAACAATAACCATCGTCATTTTGCCCATGTCAGTATATTCTGTGTCAAAAAGATAAATAGATAAAAGTTGATTTTGGATGTGTGTAGGTAGGCTATGGTCTCATGTCCCATTTAGACGCAGTCCTACATCAGAGACGTGACTCCACCCCATCATGTCTGTAATGAAGAGGAAAAGACAGGTGAGGAGATGGAGGATGGTTCAAAAGTTGTAGCGGCTGGAGCTGCGGCTGAAGTTAATGAAGTAAATGTGGGAGGGGGTGAGCAGCTTGTGGAGTAGTTATTGTCCATTTATCGTTATTGAGGTTAACTTCTCAATATATTTTGATATTGATTTGAGGCCATATCGCCCAGCCCTACCTGGAGTCCTTAAAAGATCTCCTGAGGGCGGCATGAAGAGCTGCAAAGAAAAATCAATAGGAAGACATCGAAGAGGTCGAGGTATTTCTGTCTGAATAAAAGAGAGCGTGGACTCTGCAGGCAAAGCATAGTACTCCATGTCTTTTTAAAAATATGAGTTTAAGAGTACTTTTCAGTTAATATGGGAAAAATATAAATCGCTGATAAAGAAGGAGATGATTGGCTTTTTAGAGCAAATAACTTGAGCTGCATCTGTGGACCAAATATATCTTTAATGGATGCATGAGGCCATAAAACACAGTCTTTATATTATCCAGGTTTTTTTACCAAGTCTGCTCTGCGAAATGCTGATATATACTGCACCTTTAAACCGGCTGTCAGCTTAGCTCTGTTAGAATATATTGAATGTATGTGGAAATCCTTATTTTCTCTACAGAAGAGCTGGAAAAGCAACAGCTGGGGTGCACATGTGGGGAGCCGTGGGGGCTACAGTCTGGTTTATCTTTAATCAAATACACTTAAAGCCATTTGCTTGAGCGTGTACAGAGCTCGAACGGTTAAGCTCATGGGTTATATGGTCTTCATTTTTTTGAATATAGTCGTAGTATTTGCCCTACATTCCCTGTTGACACTAATACTTTCCTGTCCCACTGTGAGTAATAATCATAATGTTTAATGGTTTAGTCGTGAGTCTCATTCCAGCTGCTTCTAATTTATCATCTCCACTGTGTCAAGGTCGGGTTCACCTGCTTTTAAACCCTCTAAGCTTCTGAACAGTGTGATAATATTTGTGTTTTTTCTCTCTCTTTCTTTCTCACAGCATTTCCATGATGGGCGTAAGGCACAGCAGCACATTGAGAGCTCGTGGAAACAGCTGGAATCAGTAAGTGATCATATCAATGTGCAATAAAGCAATTTGTAGACGACTTATGGGGGATGACCAGAGAGAGGAAACCAAAAGAGAAGCACCTCATGTCCCAATCTACTATTATTGGATTTTCAGTGTATAAGGAAAAAACTAAACTTTTACTTTCAAGAGATAGTGGAAAATTATGTGAAGGCACAATCTTTACATTGTAGGTCAATCTTTGTGAGTTCTTTTCACTCCTGTATTAGGGGTCGGGAGAAAAAATCGATACAGCATAGTATCGCGATATTTTGTCTGGTGATATGTCGTATTGTCTCATTTACCAAGTTTCAAATTTTCAATTTAATTGCTACTATGAAATCAAATCTATGATAATGGAAAATAAAATCAACTGTTTGAGGTTTGCAGAGGGGACATCATAGAGTAGGAGAAAGTTAGTGCAACAAATTTATAAAAGGTTCGCAAGATGTGCTACATGAAAGTAAAATTCTTTGTAAATAAGACAACTGTAAAGGAAAGACAAATGCTAAATTAGTCTATATAATAATATATTGTATTGCAATACTCGCTGTATTGCAAAATGTTAAAAATCGCAATATTATCATATCATGGCCCAAGTACTGTGATAATCTGTGAAAATATCGTATCCTGGCCCAAGTATTGTGATAATATTGTGATAATATCGTATCCTGGCCCAAGTATCATGATAATATTGTATCGTGGCCCAAGTATCATGATAATATTGTGATAATATTGTATCGTGGCCCAAGTATCGTGATAATATTGTGATAATATCGTATCGTGGCCCAAGTATCGTGATGATATTGCATCGTGGGGCCACCAGTGATTCTAACCCATGCCATCCATGAAACACTTTTCCAATCTGCAACTTGAGTGCTTATCGGAGAAATGTATTAATGTGACAGTGTGATAATTTTCTTGTCAGACTTTTGAACTTCACAGACACACAGGCCATTTGTAGACAAAGACCGTCGTTTTGAAGAGATACTTATTTTTGCTCTCAGGAGGTGACCTTCGCCTGAGAATAGATACTGGTTTGCAGAAAGTGGCCTGCCACAGTTTCATTTTGGCATGAAAGAGCTCACCTTCATGAACCACAGTTTATATAACGTACAGTCGGTGACATCAGAAAACTGAGAGACTCCACTTGAAGGATGAATGTCTACCCTGCATCTGTATCTGATAATGGAAAAGGACAGAGGTTTGGAGGTTGACCTGTGAGCTCCATCATCAACAAATGTGGATGTTTGGTTAAAAATGAAGACAACAGACGAAGAAAAATGATCAAAATAATTGTTTTATCGCCCAGCCCTATAGGATACCACAGATTCGACCAAATTTAACTTAGAAATCAGTTCTTTTTCTTCTGTGTTGTGATAATGCACTAAGTGGGTTAATGAATACTGATTAACAAATGTACAGAATATTAATGAAACAGTGGAAGGAGTCATTTTTCGGCCCTGAAATAAGAAGGAAAAGAACTTAATTTGATGATATAATCTGGTCTTAAAGTTTCTAAGCAAAAAGATAATAGAAAAAGAATACATAAGTAACTTCTGCCTAAACTCGACAGACGGCTGGTGTTATTTTCATGCTTTTCTTTAAAAAAAGTAAGAGAGAAAACATGGATTAGAGCAGATAAGGATTGTTTGATTTGTTTTAGTGAAGGAGCTGTAGTCGAGATTACACAGAGCCGCTCCTTATCTCTGCCTGGCCCCTTTGACGGGGGAGAGGAAGAGTGTGAGAGAGATGCAGAACTGCCTTGTCCTCCTCAAACTTTGCTGCCCATTCAATGATCCCTTTGTGTGCAAGGCAGATAGGCATAGTTCAGAGTGCGCGCTGGCCCAACAAACACTGATTGTTCAGTTGGAGGGGTCGAAAGAGGGTTGGATGAATGCTTGTTTTTCTCCACACAAATGACCACTATGAACATTTGTTTAATCTGCAGGCTGCAGACTTTGACAAACCCCGTGGCCATGTCAGCGGCATAAACTGACCTCTGTCGCACACAATGCTGAGTTTGAAACCGATATGACGTATATCTGCGTGTTATGACGTTCATTACTTTGCTTATTTAAAGGTCAATTTATGTCACGCTTCCTGCTGTGATGTCTGAGTTTGAGTTAAAGTTTGTTTTTCTTTGTTTTTCAGAGTAAAAAAAGATTCGAGAGGGACTGCAAAGAGGCAGACAGAGCGCAGCAATACTTTGAGAAGATGGATGCTGACATTAACGTGACTAAAGCTGACGTGGAGAAGGTATGTGTCATCTCAGTCCGTGCCGCCGCCACCAATCACGCCACTCAGTCGTATACCCTCCGAGCTTGACACAGATGCCTGGCCTCCCTCACACGTCCACCGAGCACCCTCTTTTATTCGTCCACTGTCTTATTTGACTTAATTCGTCCCCTGAATCCTAACTGCACCAGAGAGAAAGAGAGCAATGATTGAGTGACCGTGTGTTCGATGCCAGGGGGGCCGTGTGTAAACGCCGCCATTGTCTCTGCTGCACAGTGATCTGCTGCTAAACAAAGCTGATAGCAGCAGCGGGTCCTCATTATCACTGTTTAGCAGCCACCAAACATGCTGGTGTGTGTTTGAGCCTCAGCAACAGAGGGTTGTGTGTCTGTGTTGTGGAAATATCAGTTGCTTTGTTTTCCAAAGGGAGGAATCAAAATGTGTAATATTCGTATTAAAACGTCCTCTCTGATAAATAAAACACGCAGTGACGATTACACTTAAGGACTCGCACACAAGATCCCCCTCTGGGCCTGAAGATGATGTCATTTCCTGTTGTCATAACCGATTAAACTAGCCCTCCAAATTTCAGCCAGTAACCCACACAGCTCCCACGCCCGCAAGGCATCATGGGTCAGCAGCGCGTGCTCCTGCTGTTTCATCAGCTGCTGGAGCGGAGCTCAGGCTCGGAGTTGACACAGTTCAGACCCGATTATTATGCAAATTCAGGCCGAGAGAAAGAGTCTTTCTGCAGAGCTAGAGGGCCACAATGGGCCTGAAGCTAACACCGAACTCAACTGGAAAAAGCTGGAACAGCAAGTCAAGGAACTAGCGAGGAAACAAGAGCGCTGTTGTGTCTGATCACAGATATTTCATTTATAGAAGCAGGAAAGACTACATGATTCAGAGCTTTTATGAAGTCAGTCAGCGTCCCTGTAAACTGTTTTTTTATTAATCAGATCCTCTAAAAATGTCCCATTCAGCCCTAAAAGAGACACTGTGGGTGTGTCATTCACATTTCCACTGACCAGTTTCCATCTTTGACTGAAACTTCAGCTCTTTCTCTGAGGTTTAAAAAGTTAGAAACAGATCTGCTAGAGTGCACCAAACTAAACAAGCACATTCATCATTCTTCTGTTGTGCAGATTTCTTTGTTCTTTTCCCAATCACGCCTCTGTTGTATAGATTTGGAAACTGTTTATACAAAGCTGAAGTTTATTTGGAGAGGAGGTTCATACTTGACCCACTTTACTCTGTCAGTGCTTTCCAATTCCCTGTAATAAAAGTGATTAAGTTGTTTAGACATTTAGAGCAAATTTACTCGAAAGTTTTTGTGATGGTAAAAAAAAAAAAAAAAGCCTTTCTTTGTGCGCACAATTTTTTGATCAGGGTGGCCCACCTGTGCGTCTGACTTATATGGGGTTTGCGTGAGATATGTGCCCTCATACACACATGGGTGAAAATCATTTATTTATTTTTATTAATTTATTTTTGTACGACCTTTAAGGGTTATTTATTTTGAACAATAAGCTGAAATACAAGTTGGGTCTTTGGCGCTGCTCTCCCGGCCTTGGCTTTTCATGTATACGTCTTTTTTTGTGTGTGTTTTTTATTTTATTCACCAATAAGTGCATCCAAACAAAGACATGTGAACAGAGAAATATGTGCATTGTAAGTTGTGGTGTTGATTTACAAAATTCTATACATGTAATAAGGGTCACCAAGACAAAATTGGACAATGAGGAAAAACAAAACAAACAAAAACAAATCAAGGGGGTAAAGGAGAGAGCATAACAAAACAAAACCAAAATAAAATAAAATAAAATAAATAAATTTAAAAAAAAGAATAATAATAATAAAAAGGAATAATAATAATTTTTAAAAAGAAAAAGAAAATCATTTAAATCACTGCAAAAACTCTAAATTAGATTAGACTGTTTCTGCACCGTATCCCTCTAGATTGTCATTTTTCATCCTCTTGAGAGTCTTGGACCAAACTCCCACTAATATTTCAGATTCCCAGTGTTTACATGTTTATAGCATTATGACATCCTCCTTTTGAGAACAGTATTTTTGCTTCTCCACATCAGAGGAAAACTGCTGCCTGCGAATTCGCTGAACACTCACATTATTGTGATGGATTGTAAACATTAGCCAAACAAGTCTCTTAAAGAAGATAGCACCCTGTCCTGTATACATGAAGCTGTAGAGGAATAGATAAAAGCTAATGGCTAAAGGGGAGGTAGGGGATAAATCTCAGAGCCTTTGTTTGCAGGCAGAGTATGAGGTGGAGAATTGGATGTAATCATCAAAAACAAAGGAAATCATCTGTACTCGCCTTTAATTTACCAACAATCATTTTAAATCAACTGATTCGTCCTCATTTGTAATCAAAATATGAAGGTGCCGTTTCCAGAGTTTCACTCAAAGTTTATAGAACGAACTTAGAAGAACTTCTTCTGCTGTTTCCATGTTTTTTTTTATGTACCTGGACTCATTTTCACCTGCTCTCGTTATCATTGTTTATACGGAAGAGAACTGAGCGCTCTCTCGTTTAAGTCTCTGCGGCAGATAATTCGATTTTTACCTATACTAAATCCTCTTCTTAGGTGTGTGTTTCTCAAGCAGGTACTCTAATGGCTTGTGCCGCGTGTAACCAGCTCGACCAACTGTGATTTCTTAATGAGGCGTGAGACAATATGGGTGTATAAAAAGAGGGAAGGAAGTGTGTGTTTGTATGTGTGTGCTATTTCTACATTGTCTGTCAAACTTAGATGCTGGTGGTTTTGACACTTCTTCACTTTCTGTGCTACGTGCTCGTAAACTTTTAATATTAACTTTGCTGCATGATAGTGAAAGTGAAGCAAAAGTCAAATGTCTTCAAATAGATGTCAGTGAATTGAGTTCATGTTACAGCAAAGCCTTAATGGAGGAAGAGATGACATGTCACAACCTTAACCTGGTTATAATTGAGTGTTAGGGGTGGAAAAAAAAGACTTGACTGTGCTTGTTTGTATCCTGCAGCCTAAAGGGATATTCCGGCGTAAAATGAGGTTAGGGTCAAACACATCGTGACACAGAGTTAGACACCCCTTCGAGACATGAATGATGCGGACTGCTTGCTTCTCTAGTTATACCAATGTAAGCAACGACCGCAGGATAGCAATACACAGCAGTCTATGGAACCACACACAGACCTTAAACAAAAAGCCACTCTATAACCACAAATAATACTCAAAACAGCACCTAACTTCATCAACAGTATATATAGGGCCCCAGCCACAGCACTAACCACCAAACCTCTTTTTAACTTTGCCTGATTTCTTTAGCAAAGAGACTAAACACAACTCACCTGTTCTCTTCCAGCAGCTGCTTGTTTGTGGGGGAGCCCTGACGAGTCAATCACCGAGTGTGGCAGAAAAATTCAGACCATTACTTCATGGAAATGCAATCAGACCAAGACGCTAAGGCAGAAGAACCACAGCGTTGCCAGTGCACAAGCAAGATACACAAGAACGCTGATTGCATTTCCATGAAGTAATGATCATAAATGTTCTTCCTTGAGCTGCAAAACTCTGCTGCACTTGATGATCGACTCGTCAGGGCTCCCGCAATAAAAACAAGTGGTTGCTGGAAGAGAGTAGGTGAGTTGTGTTTGGTCTAGTGGCTAGTGCTACGGCTAGGACCCTGTATGTACTGTTGATGAAGTTAGGTGCTGTTCTGAGCATTATTTGTGGCTATAGAGTGGCGTTTTGGTTGAGGTTTACGCGTGGAGACATAGGACGCTGTGTAATGCTATCTTGCGGCCGTTACTAAAGTTGGTATAACTAGAGAACCAAGCGGTCCGCAACATTCATCTAACTCAGTGTTTGACCATAGCTTAAATTTACACTGGAATATCCCTTTAATGGAGGAAGAGATGACACGTCACAACCTTAACCTGGTTGTAATTAAGCATTAAGGGTGAAAAAAAGACTTGATTGTGCTCATTTGTATCCTGCAGCTTAAGGCCGTCGTAGAAATTAATATGTCAGTTTGAACAAAGTCGCTTCACTCTTAATCCACTTGTCAGTAACAGCAAAAATAATCCACTAAAGATGTATTTCCTGAAGCTCCAGGAGAAGCGTTTGTCTGTAATGTGAAGCTCCAAAGCTGCTGTTTATTGAGCTGAGGTACTGTGGTTTTTCCTCTCATGCTGGAGAAAACCTCTAACTGCTCCCTCTCCTCCTCTGGAAAACAAACCCTGTAATTTGGGGTTTAGATTCACAGCCTTGATACCCACAAAGAGCCTGTCGCAGTTCTTTACGGGACCCCGGCCCTCACACACACACACTGTCCTGGAGATCTAAAGCCAGCACCCCTCTTTTACTCCGGTGTTCTGACTGTGCTAATAGAGAGCGGTCGACAAATCCAGCGTTTTCGTGGTGTTTATGTTTGTTTTCCCTGATACCAACTTCCCTCTTTGAGCGATGACACGCCTGGTGGTCCAGGAAGTGCATCTATGGCAACTTGTTGTTTAGCTGGAAACGGCTAACAATCCTCTTTTTTTTGTTTGTGTGTGTTTGTATATTTATTCAATGCCATGCCATGAAGCGAAGTTCCCACAAGGTAGGTCTAGCGCACAGAGAGAAAAAAAAAGCCTGTGATATCTGTGGGAACACACACTGTCCTGACACACACACACATATACACACACACAGCCTCGACTGGGTCACAGCTAACACGCCCTGTCCTGTCTGGTTTTGTGATCTGCTCCACGTACGGTGGCCTGTCTCGCTGTCTTCACCCCCCGAGGTTTTTATGTGTGATGTAAGAAGTATTTTGTGGGAGAAATGCTGAATATGTTGCGTTAGATGACGGCTTTCATTCAGATTTCTCTTTGTTCTTCACTGTCATCTTTGTCCGTGGTCTTCCTCAAGTCCATCAGGGAGGAACAGACGCATGCCTGAGAGACGGAAAGATTAAGAGCAGTGATGTGTGTATCTGTCGAAACTATCAAAATCAAACTGATTAAGAGTTACAGATTAATAACTGAATTATTTATCTATTTATTTTAGGCAACTATTTTATTATTTTCTGTTTCCCACCTCTCAAATTTGGAAAGTTTCTTCAGTTTTTGTCATTTTTAAAGATAAATAAAGTTATTTCAGGTGTTTTAGGTGAGGTAAGTTTGCAGATAAACAATCTGAAGTTGCCATTTGGGTTTATTAAAAGTCCCACAATTGACTAAAAATCAAAAATGTAAAATTTCATATACTGGTCTTTGGTTTCTGCCCCTGATGAAGGATGCACGTCAAACAGGCTAAAACACTCGCTTCAATATCTGAGGTCTGACTGGTTATTTCCAGGAAGTGGCGACAGGAAGTGATGCACTTACTTGCAGGATGCTCGCTCAGAGGTTTTGTTGTCTTGCCACGTTACCACAGCAACAGTGCATCCATTTATCATTACGCAACACTCCAAGCACACTTTGCATGCAACTTATTTCAGTTGCATAGCCACAAATGTGTAACTGCACTCTGCTCACAGCTCACGGACAAAGTCACGCACTTTAACCAGCTGCACTCTCACATGTGCTTTTGAGCTTTTCTCTGGATTTCTCATTTTTTAAATGTGTGACGATCATTTTCCACCGAGGTATCGACTGTCTTCCACCCCCCTGTGCTGGAAATAACACACCTCTGTGTCTGACGAGTGTCTCTGCTCTGATGTCCGCTTTTTTACTTGCTAGTATGTCATCTATTGCTTCAGCGTGTGTGTGTGTCTGTGGGAGACTGGACTCTGCCTCTGATTGGTGTGTGGGTGTAAACTGGATGAAGTCTTTTTAAATGTTCCCCCCAGGACGAGGACAGATCAGGGTTATGTTCCCACCACTGCCCCTGCGTATGCACTGCAAAAGACAAATCCCAAAAGAAGGAAAAGATCAAGAAAAAAAAGAGAAAAATGCAACTTCATATGCACACAAATAATATCTGAAACGCTGAACTTGATGAAGATCTAGCTTCAGCAGCCAAATCTTCTATATACACAATGACAAGAGTTAAAACCAGATTCTGGAAACAATTTGTGGCACAGAAAAATAACATACAACCATATTTTTCAGTGTGTTGGAACAAGAGTTTTTAATTTGGCATCTGGCTCTTTTTCTATTTCATTTTATTTTTTTATGTTTGAATAAACTTTATTAACTTACATGAACATACAGGACCCAGGAAAAGTTATAGAGATCAAAAAGAGAGTGACCCTACTTCCAACAGGCAAACAAAAAACTGAAACTGCAGTAAAGGAAAAAAGAGACAGAAGAACAACAAACAAATATAAGGGGGAGAAAAGATAGAAGCAAACATGGAAGACAGAAAAAGAGAGAGAAAGAAGAAAGAAGGAAAGAAAAAGGGAAATCTGGTTCTTTTTCAGTCTTCCTGTAATGGCAGAGAAATAAAAAGAAGGAAATGTCGTTTTATGCTTAATAAGCATTTAGTTTTACTAAATTTACTTACATGTTAGAAAAAGAGCAGTTTTCTTTTGAGAAATGACTGAATCTTGTAAATTTATGTTTTTGTCACACTTGTTTACAAGTCGAAGAGAAGTAAAAAAGTTCAGATGTCTTTGTTTGACACATTTAAAGGCATGACAGACTTTTATAAAAGAAATGTCATAGTATTTTGACCAAGAAGAAATGTTTAATGTTGGATTGGTTTTGAGGTTTATAAACATGGAGATTAAATCATACAAAAACAATAAACATGAAGGTCAAATAAAAAGTGGAAAGCTAGTAAACAGCTGGACTCCTTCTGTGAGGAGTCTTAAATAGAGTAAGGTAGAATACACACAGTGAAAAAAACAAACAAACAGCAAAACCAACATAAAATGTCTACAAAGGCACCTTATTAGTGAAAGAAAGAGTTTTAAGTGTCAGTCAAACATAAAAAACTAGTCACCTAAGTGGTCATCAATTCTTCTTCTGCTGCTCCAGTACCCTCCTCATCATCCGACTGCTTTTTGGCCTGTAATAACCAGTGTTCAGAACCACTACCTCGGATGACACAGCATTGCTGGATGTTTATTTTTAGCACAATATCAATATTTAATCATTTGAAAAAGAAACTCATCATCCTCACTTGTATGTTCCGAAAGCTGAAAGTGTCTCGTCAGCTCAAGTGATTGTCATTTAAGTTTCTTTCCAACTTTCTAATCTTTCTAATTCTTTAAATTTTTGCAATTTGGCTGTTTTTACTGATCTTAACTTTGTTTACATTCATTCATTCATTTATTCACCAACTACAGTCAAGGGTTTATGAGGTGACCCTGTGCTAAATCTGACCCAATGAAAAGACTATTCATGTCTGCACGGGATTCGGATCTGATGGAGAGAGGAAACAGATATGAGTACTTAGCAACCAAAACGCACACATACACACAGACACACACTCTCTGCGCACACATAAACACACCCCACATGCTGTCTAGTTGAGATAATCTCATCTCCATCTGCTTGCCTTGGATCTGTAATAGGCTGCTCCTGCTGCGTTTCTGACTGCCTGCCTGACTCTCTGCCCTGAGACTCAACTAGCTTAAAATAATCAACATTATCGAGCGCAGAGATTGGCCAGACCAGGCGGGCAATCAAAATCCAAATCCCTTCGTTTTACAGCCTGTTGTTTCTCCTTTTGACTGTTTGTCCTGGCCTACTTAGACTGACTCTAACGCCAATGGCTGCCGCAGCTGCCTGCACCTGTGACCGAGCGTCCGCGAGCTTCATGTTTATATACATGTGCACGCATGAACACTTGTGAGCACAAATGTGTCAACTCGTGTGGGTTTTTACGCCCTTGTTGCTGTGTGTGTGCGAGCGTGTAACCCTCATGTGCGTGATAATCAAGAGACACGGAGGTTTACTAAGGTGAGCTCGTCTCTGATGTGCATGTTTGTGTGTTGTTTTCCTCTCCAGGCACGGCAGCAAGCTCAGATGAGGCACCAGATGGCGTCTGACAGTAAGAGCGATTACTCCGCCTACCTGCAGAAGTTCAACCAGGAGCAGAATGAACATTACTTCACAATTATCCCCAACATATTCCAGGTAAGCATAACACCAAAGAAGCATGTGGTCTACCTCAAAGTTGTTAAACAAACCTGCATTTGTTGGGTCAATAATCTTGCCCATAAATCACCTTTATGCAGTCATATATTGTGTTACCTGCCTTTCAAAACTCCCCGCGCAAAAGCACCAAAAAGTGCCGACAGATTGAAAGTCTGCCAGAATGGTGCATTCATGTGCGATGATTAGTTGGCTTGCGAATTCAATGCAGGCTCCCCTCTCGCTCCCCTCTGGGTCGCCGACTAAAAATAAATTCTGAACATGCGGGAAACACCGAGGGTAAAAAGGCATCATTATTTAGAGTGCGGTTATTTTGTTTGAGCTGTTTGTGATCCCAAGCTCACAATCTCTCAACATCTAACACACCCATGAGAAGAGCTGATATAGATGATATGAAAACAAGCAGAAGAATGAAACCTCTTTATGGATCAACCAGACTCAGCATTTGGTCAGTTGGGAGTTTTGAATATTTGTGCCTTTAAAAAGTTGATTTTTGTTTCTGTTGAGATGCTTTTTTCTTTTTTAACACGAGCTTGTAACTTGGTGTTATAGTCCATGTCACCTGTTGTTTTCAACCTTTTCCTTGAGAGATCAAAGCCTGAAACTGTGAGCTCAAGTTTTAACAGTTTGACCCAAGTTCAGTCATCAAGTATTTTATACGCTATTACTGCAGTTTTATATGAATGTAGTAAACTCTATTGATCAAATACAGAGTCACAAGGTGCTGGACATTAAAATACCAGGATGCTAGAAGAACCACAATTAGGGCTGGGCGATAAACCAAAAAGTTACCGATACTGAAATTTACGATAATAACCGTCATTTTGCCAATATTAGTATATCTGGTGTCAAAAAAATTGATAAATAAAAGTTGTTTTTGGATGTGTGGAGGTAGGCTATGGTCTCATGTCCTACGTCAGAGACGTGACTCCACCCCATCCAGTCCGTAACAAAGAGGGAAAGACAAGTGAGGAGATGGAGGATAGTTTAAAAGTTGTCGTGGCTGGAGCGACGGCTGAAGTAGACGAAGGTAATGTGGGAGGGGATGAGCAGCTTGTGGAGTAGTTATCATCCATTTATCGTTATGGAGGTGAACTGCTCAATATATCGTGATATTGATTTGAGGCCATATCGCCCAGCCCTAATGCTACTACTGCTTATATCAGTTTTATATGAATGTAATAAACTTTATTGATCAAATACAGAGTCGCAAGGTGCTGGACATTAAAATACCAGGAGTAAAAACAATTAAAACAAGATGTTAGAATAACCACAATTCAATAAAAACAAGAAGAAATGAATCAAATAGCAGCAAAGATTTTAGTGCAAATCTAAAGGAGGATACAAGCTCAAATAATCGGAAAGGTTACAAAGCTCAGAGGTCCAAACAGTGTTAACCCAACCACCCAAAATTTACATACCAGCTGAGATTCAGCAGCAATCGGAAAATTCTGCACAGTTTAAACAACAGGATCCATTTTTTTGATTATTTAAAACCGATTTTATCCTTACCCAAAAAAAGCAAGTTAGTCAACTACAAACATGCCTGCAGCAGCTCACTTCGCAGCCCCTCTTTTGCCATCAGTAACAGAGTGTTGGAGAAAAACTGTTTTCAGATCTAAAATTGTTTTTAATCTCTTGTACCATTTGATTTAAAGACAGGGAAGCCTCTAAAGATGACACAGCTCTTTTTTTTTCTTTTTGTGCGTGATTAATCAGATTTTTGGTGCTTGATGATAAATCACAGCTCTTTTGGATATTAGGATTCTGATTTTGTCTCATTTCGCTCTTATTTTGTGACTCTGACTGGTAACTTATGGATGTGTCTTTATTCCAACATAGAAACTTCAAGACATGGAGGAGAAACGGATCGAGAGGATAGGCGTGTGCATGACGACGTTCGCAGACGTGGACCGCCAAGTGCTGCCCATCGTGGGGAAATGTTTAGACGGCATGACAAAAGCGGCTGAGTCCATCGAGCCTAAGACAGTGAGTACTCAGCATGAGATATATTTGTACACACACACACACACAGACACCAGCATATGGGACACATTACTCACTCAGCCAGGGTGTCAGTCACAGCCCACACACACCACTGATTAGGCCCTCAGTTAACCCACAAGTGTGGCAGTGGGTTGTTACTCTTTGGGGGGATATTTTGTTTATAAAAACAGCTGACCCGTGAACGATGAAGTGCTGTGGGAGGACGGTTTTGTGAACTGGGAGGATGCCAGAAGAAAATAGATTGTGAGTTAACCTGAAGGAAACCAGCGAGGTATAAGCTGGACTCTGGCTGGAAGTGGATTTTGGGGATCCGATGGAGGCTGATGTTGTAAAAATTATAAGAGGAATTAAAACGTACTTTTGACTCATTTAGAAAAAAAATACTCTATAGGGGTGGACAAACCACGCGATGACAGCTTTACTAATTTCACTTAATATTGAATAAAACTGAATCTTAACTTTCTTAAAAACTTACAGGCTGATAGAAAACATGTGCGTAACAGGCTGATATCAGCAGAACAGTATATCTGTCAAGCGCTAGTGGAAGCACACACTGAGAGTTATTTCCTCTTAAGTAACAGCCATATATTTAATAGACAGATGTGGTTGGAGGAGCACTTTGTAATTTGACACTCGGTTAGAAGGAGATCACGGTGATTTCCCCAAAATGATTGTACCTGTTTGGGAAAGTAGGGGGAAGTTGAGTCACTTTACGTTTCCTGTAGTTTAATCGACCGTTGTGTTTCCAGTTCTAACACTTCAGTCAAACAGCTTTTATTGTTTATTATTTGGATTTGGAAAAGCAGCATTTAAAGACACAATGTGCTGCATGATATATTGAGATGTCACATGTTGGCTGCTTGCCATATGACAAAAAGCAAGTCTATCCTCAGGCGTTGCAAAGTATATGTGTGTTTGTCTGTGTGTGTTTGTGTCTAGCTGAGTGCATGGCTCACTTCCAGGGAGATGACTCCAGCCTGTGACTGTCTTCTGCAGTAAACAACGTCGGGGAACAACACAATCACATGCTCTTCACTCTGTCCTCTCTCCTTCACTTCCTCTCACAGACCTCTCTCATGTATACATCGCACAGCAGCAGACTTTTGACCCCCTCATCCCGACTCCGAGCAGACCCTCGGCTCTTATCATCTGAGATAGGCCGATGCACACACTGCGCTTGATTAATGTTCTCCTTCCTGAGTCTGATGAGCCTGGCCCTGTTCGCTGTCTTTGTCATAACTCCTGCTCTGACAGATTCGGGTCTTTTCCTCTCACTGCAGTGGCCCATAAACCGAAAAACGACCGTCTTGCTCTCTTTCCTTTGATGACGCATCCGTGGACTGTTATCAGTCAAAAACTAGCGTAAACAAGAAGGTTGTCAGGCCTCTATTGTGCTCTATCTTATCTCCGGACTCACTGATTGGCTAATCTGAACTCACAGACATCCGCATCAATTTTCTAGTTATGTTTAAATACATAGTAAAACATTAAGAGGGTCTTAAAAATCAAATAATCAAACACAGAATCTGTAATTCTGTCTGTATTTTCTCACTCCACTTCTGCCTGTTTGCATAAATAACAATAAAAGTCAGCAGCTTATCTCGCCAGTAGCCTGCAGCTGCTTTTTTTAAAGATATGATGGTCCCTGGCAGAGTCAGAGGTGGGAGACAAACCACAGAAATGAAATCAAGACCTCAAAGTGAACAACGTGGACACATTTTTTTCCTCCTTTGTGAAACTGTGTCGTCCGATTGCAACACTTTAACAACTCGGTGTTGCAGCACAAAATTAGTTAAAGCCCTTTTTTAAAGTTGTTGAAACGACAGATACAGGAGGAATTTTATTGATTAACACCAGCCTTAGTGACTGTTTTCTTGTTGGTTTGTGATGCTAAGAGTTACAGCCTGAATTGGCTGCATACTTTTCTGAATATTGCTCCTAAAACCAGCGTTAATGATCGTCATTTCTTCATATTCTTGTCACTCATACTAAAATTCACATGCTTTACATTTTTATAATAATTACACTCTGCTAATCAGCCTTTATGCCTTATTACAACAAGTTTTATGATACGCACTGTCCTCGGGAAGTACCATAAAAACCAGAAGCAGTGACTGATTCTGTTTTAGGGGTGGTCCCAGAGGACAAAGATGTTTAAATTCTGTTCTTTCTTGAGGACTTCCACACTATTCAGCGTTGTGCAGTTTTTATGCAGACGTGTTAGCCTATTTTTACTACTACCTGTTATCCTCATTATGCCAACTACTCGTATGATAGCTGAGCTCAGGCTTTAGTTGAGAGGTACAGATAAGTCACCATTTCTGCAGGTCACTTTTTCTCCCAAATTGTGTCTTTCCAATCAAACTTTCACTTTACGAGTTTTATTTACTTACTACTATTTTACTGTTTTCTTTAAATGAATGATTATGACTCAGGGGAAGGGCTGGTTGGTATGGTAAAAAGTTTACCAAGGTATATTTTTTTCATATCAGTCTATCAATATATATATATGTGTGTGTATATATATATATATATATATATATATATATCATATATAACACAACCACTTGTCAATCTTAAATGTTATCTGTCACTCTTAAGTGAAATTTAACAGTACGTATTGGTAGCATGTCTTTTGCATTACAATAAGCTACTGCATCTGTGAGGTTTTTGTGTCTCTTTGACATTTTGCCGTAAGGCGTTGCACTAGAGAAAGTGGACCGAATGGTCGGTTCAGCGCAACGCCACTCCCATTTCCATTCGCTATTCGTATAGTCTACTAAAACATGGCAAAATGCTGGGTATTGAAAAGCATATTGACTATGTTTTATACCGATATCGAGGGAAATTATCATCATCATTTTTATCGCCCAGCCCTACTCAGGGGAGAGGGGGAAAAGCTCTTTCTGCACTTAAACCAGCATTGGTCACACTGATATATGGGATGCAACTCACCTTTAGGCAGACAGAAAGCCCCATATATACTATATGGCAATAATACAGTGTCAAACTACATCTGTATTTCATCTTTCCTGAAACTTTTTTTAAAGTCAAAACTCAAACTGCAGATTTCCAGAGCTGTGGTGGTAAAATGAAACTGATTCCTACTGTCCCTCTCCTTCCTTCAGGACTCAAAGCAAGTGGTGGAGTCCTACAAGTCCGGTTTCGAGCCCCCGGGTGACGTGGAGTTCGAGGACTACGGCCAGGCCATGAAGAGAACGGCATCTGAAACCAGCCTGTCCAGAGAGGGGAAAGAGAAACCTGCCGGCAAGAGCAAGGGCAAACTGTGGCCTTTCATTAAGAACAAGAACAAGGTAACACATGAGTGCTCACATTTACACCAGAACACGCAGCAGCAGCAGCGCCTCGCTGACATTTGGTTTTCACAGGAATTTTCTCACATGGAGGTCACTTTAGACTCTGGGGGAGTTTGTCGGGTGGGTTTTAGGGCTTTGTTAGTTTTGTCTCTCGATTCTGCAGACATATATGTGTTCAGTGTCACATTTCTGGTACTGGTTATGTTTTAAATTTCATTTCTGTGTAGCTCTTTCGTTTATTTCCGTTGAGAAATTTGTTGCCAGTTCATGTTACTATTGCCATTTTCGTTGTTATTGTTATTATTATTATTATTCGCCACCCGTTCCCCCCTCCCTCTCCCCGGCAATCACCCTCACCGATATTGGGAGCCTCCCTTCTTTTGTAACACACACTAATGCATTTCTACCTTCATCTTGTGAAGGGCTCAACCGGCAGATAACAACTCGATCTAAAATAACTGTTTTCTGGCATTCAAACTTCTTCAGTTTCCTGCTTTTGAAGAGCAAAAGCTGATCTCTGACTGTCTTATGGGCTGGTGGCACTGATGGTGTTGAAATAGGCCGATGCATGAGTGAGTAATCGGGTGTGTTTGGGAAAGAAGGGCTGGAAGCTAGTGTGTGCAATTCTAGATGCGAAATCTGTGGCTGTTTTTTTTTTTTTGGACAGAAAAGTGGTGTTTTTAACTCCTTTGATTTACGGTGTGCAACTTCCTGAAACTACAGCACACTTATTTAGAGCAGGATTCGTTTTCTGCAGCCACTCAGAGAGGTATTTCTACTCTCCTCACACACACGCATGGATGGGTAACAGAAAAACACGCCGATATCAATCTCTTTTCAAATAATCCAGCATAAAAGCCTCATGATTGCCTCTCAGAATCAGGGTTTTTGTGATTTTTCAGCCTCTTTGTGTTGTAAAAAAAAAAAGGGTTTCTAGATCACTTGGCCATGCATGCGCTGCTTTATTCTCCTAACTCCTCAACTAGTGGTGATGAATAATGCAGTTTGATGTTTTAGGACAGCATTTTAACAATTAAACTCCTCCGACGGTGACCTCAAATTCAGCGGCTGGTATCCTCAGGGGTGCTGGGAACTTGTTCTGGCTGGCATGTGTCGAGATCGGAAATAAAAACGAGAAATAAAAAAGGGTTTTCCAAAAGTGGGAGCCTGCATGCGCTTTGACTGAACTCTCTGCTGTTTGCTTTGTTGCAGCCGCTTGCTTTAACACATTTTCGCTTCCTACTCACTCTGTTTTTTCGTTTCGACTTGTTTTTTTTAACAGTTTTTTTTTTTTTTTTAAGTTTGACATTTTAACATAACATAACTGACTAGGTTCGGCGTTCCTTTGGTTGTCTTTTACATTCTATTTGGGTTTTCTGTTGTGTGTTTATTTTTTAATATTTGTAGGAGGCTTATTTATTTCGTTTTGTGTTCCCTCCTCCTCCTTTTTTTCCTCCTTTGTCCTTATTTTCGTTGGATTCTCGCCCCCTTTATTCTTCTTCTTCTTCTTCTTCTTCTTCTTCTTCTTCTTCTTCTTCTTCTTCCATGTTTTTTTCCTCCTCCTTTTTCTTCCTCCTCTCCGTCACGGCTCCCTCTCTTACTGGTAGCTTATGTCCCTGTTAACGTCCCCCCACCAGCCCCCACCTGCCCCCCCAGCCACATCCCCGCCCTCACCCTCTGCTGTTCCCAACGACTCCCAATCTCCCAAGCAGCAAAAGGAGCCCCTCTCCCACCGCCTCAACGACTTCATGGCCTCCAAACCCAAAATGCACTGCCTCCGGAGCCTGAGGCGAGGGGTAAGTGTGTGTGTCCAGCAGGCTTTTGTGCACGTGTGCGTGTGTGTCTCTACACCTGTATATGAACCTGCTGCACTGTATGGGTGAAGTAAAACACACGGGGCCGTAAATATAAACAACAAAAAGCATCTGTTGCCTTTACAGCTTTGATTGTCAACATTAAAATGAGTCCTATGACCCACATACTGGTACGATCAGCACTGACAGAGGCCTCTCACCTTCACTCATACAGCGCTCAGCCTTGTTTCGCTTCTCTAGCATGCTTTACGTAGCGCATAACTCTGAATCCATGGTACTTGTCTGACTCACCAACAGTCTCTCCATCTTGTCCCTTCATTCTTCACATTAACTCTGTACTCACAGTGACAGTCCCTCTCCTCTTACCCACCTTCCCCCTTTGATTAGAAAGACGCCCTAGAGTCTTGGCAGTAGCATGGAGACTGCAGATGCTCCCTGCGCACTTTTCTCTGCAGTCTATGCTGGAGGCGGCAGTAGCGGCGGCAGCGGCGCTGGATTGTTTTTGTTGTTTTGCTGATGAAACTAAAGTGGAGTGACTCGAGATATTGATCGGTGTAAGAGTTTGAAGATGACTCTTTTAATATCACCAACACTGGAGAAAAACTTGGATCTACAGCGGAACATTATCCTGAAGATAAAGCTTTTAAAATTTCTCACTGCATATATTTTCAATTCAGGAAACAAATGGAAGTCTGATATTATCAATAGACAGATATTAGTGCTCAAGTTTTAATACCAATCCAGACACCAAACTATATATTACACATCTGGATATGTTCAGCTGTTTGCATTTTTTTTTTACTTATAAGACTTTCCAAAGATTCCCAAGAAAACTATGGAGTGCACTCTGCTTCATAAACAATGGATGAGCATTTTTCTTTGTGCTTTATGCAAATCGTCCAAGAGTATATCAACTTATCCTGTTTTTAAAATATAAGAAAAAACATGAACATAAATAGGTATCTTACTTTGGCATATTATAACCAGATAGCAGCATATTCTTCAGGCTCTGACAAATATAGTATAGAGACTCCTATATTGACCTGTGTGTATGAAATAAATTGGAATAATCAGGGCTAAAATAGTCTGATTTACACTTCAACATGTTGGATGTTTAGTGTTTAGTATTTTTAGATGCCCTGTTTCTCTTATGTGTAACCAACTATATTAAATAACGTGGCCTGTTATCAGTCCGTATGGTCCACTTGTGCCTGGATTAAATCAAAAACATTTAAAGACTTTCCTTATCCTGAGTGATATTAGTTAGTATTATACCCTGAAGAAATGATTTAACCTCACAACATCCTTGATTTAGATCAGGAATGTGTGTTAAAATTTAAATCATTAAATCACTAAATCATTAAAAATTGTCGGCCTTGGCTTGATGGCACCATACTTACTATCAGGGTAAATGGAGAGTTAGTGATTTTATTATTGGGGGCCCAAAACGCTGCTCATATCAGGATGTGAACAAGCGCAGATGACAGGTGGTGTTTTTTAGTGTGGGGCTGTTTGTTAGACTGAAGGCTGTTGGTGCTGACTCTGCCAACATTAGCCACCACTTTCAGTGCTGCGGTAGATCACGGTTGCTTAGTACCGTTTTGTTGTGGTTTGTCTCTCCACGTAGAGTAAGAGGAGTTATTTTAGACGGTGTCATGTTGCGTGGTTTTATCAACACCAGCTCCCAGTCCTGCTGGGTGTCATCACCAGTTATCGCTCTGAAGTCCAGTGTGTATTTCTGACGCGGTCCCTGAGCCGAGGGGCAGGTCAGGGCACGTTTTCCCATTACGCCCTCCATCCCTCTCTGACCTCAGGAATGGGCGCTAACTCACGTGTTCCTTCCGGAGCTTGCAAATATAGTCTCTGCTTATGCTGGAACTTTGAAAGGGCAGCCGTTACTCAAAGTTTGAATTGGAGCTCTAATGATGTCTGAGCGAACAATACTGTGAGTGAGCGAGCGCGCCGTAGAGGAAACGATCGAAGGTCGGCAGAAGAAAGGGGAAGCATGAATTTTCTTTGAGCAGGAAGTGCACGTTTCTGAAAGCGGAAGTGCTGAAACAGCTCTCCAGAGGAGCGATAAAAAAAGAGTTAATCACATGCATTGTTTTTCAGCGTACACAGATAAAAATGATTGAAGTTTGACCTTAACAGGGACATTTACAGCACAGGGAAAGTTCAGGTGAAGTTACAGAGTCTGTAACAGAGACTCAGAGTGAGCCCTTTATTCATACTTCATGTAAACACATTTTATATATTTGTACATATTTTCATGTCTCATGGTAGAGATCTGTTCATGCTTTTCATGTATGTAGATGTCTTTTAATGTAGAGCATATTTTATACTATATTTAAGGGATGCACCGATTGACTAATACTGAAACTGACAGTTTAGCCACCAGCTGATTCTGCAACCTTCAATAAACGGTTGTAAATTAAATATCTTATATTAGAGTTATTATTTAATATTTTAAAATAGTCTATCACATCTCATTACTCTATGTTTAAAGCTTTAAAGGAGTTTTTTATGTTAATAAAATACACTAATATTCACATAAATGCCTTTTCATAATGTTTATAAGCAAACAAGAACAGTAAAAACATAGTTATGGTACTTATTTTGTGATTTTTAAGGAGTGAAACATCTGTTAGGGGGTAGGTGCCAAGCAACTAAAGAAATAGCCTGTTTTTTTGATTATTTATTTACATCTGAAATACTCAAAATAAATAATATCCAACTGTCAAAAGTCTGACTTTTTATAAAAAATTTGACTCAAGCATGTAAAGGACGAGGTTAGCAAAGACTACTTTGTCCACAGGGAGAGCCAAAGTTAACATAAATCAAGAGTTTTTCACAGGAGCTTTACAGTTAGTAAGAATTCACTTGTACAAATTAGAAAAAAAAATTGCAAAAGAAATTTGCAATTCTTTCGGCATCTTTTTTTTTTTTTAATTAGATGCTTGTTTGAAGAGCTAAAAGTTGATTAAATCTAAATTTTTAAATATTGATTCATAATAACAAATACATGTTTGTTTCCAAAAGTGGAAAAAAACCCATAATGGGTGAAAACAAAGTGCTAACTAGCTTTTATCATTAAATTAATGCAATAAAACAACCTCATAGGTGCTACTGCAATATAAAATCATTTGTCTGGTGACTGATATCTGATAAGAAGTCTAATGTTCTGATACTCAGCCAACATATATACAACAGTCGGTGCATCTCTCAGCTTTTGCTCGTTTTTAGATCACAGGGTTCGCATTTAAAGGAAACAGAAGGTTCATTTTTAATCCGATAAAGTATCAATAAGTCTTTTAAGGACATCAACCCCACTGCCTCAAAAGACTCAGACAGTGGGGTAAAAGCCTTTTAACAGCAGATTGTAATTCTTTTGCTCTTTCACAAGCTGATCTAGATCTGTCTGCTTAATTTGAGCTATTTAGCTGAACATTATCACCAGTACTTTAGTATCACCCTGCTCATTTTATGACCATATTTAAAAGTATAATTCAGTTTGAGGAAGGTAGTCAAACTGGATAAATAACAAGTCTGCTACAAAACAAAAAAACTAGATCAGAAGTGTGCTCAGTTGACATTAGATAGTAGAGACTGAGGCTACTTTTGGTCAGAAACTTAGACCGAAGTTTCCTTTCCGAGCTTGACTGAAAGAAAAAGTGACTTTTGCTAAATAAATTAAAGCTCCTGTTCAGGACTTTTTGTATGCATTGAGTTTGGCGCCTCCTGTGGACAAAACAGTACCTGAAAAGTGATCCTTTTGCTAACTTAGTCCTGAACATTAGTATGTGGTATAAACTGATGAGACTAAATCCTGCTTTTTCTTTTTTTATTTAACGTATAACTTGTCATGAATCATGACTATGGAAAATGTAAACAAAGGCTGCAATTCAGTCCAGATTCTCGCTGCTTAAATCTCTAGTTATTTCTATTTCTTCACACAGCAATAGTCATCTTTTTTCCTGTTAGTTAGTTTGTTTTTATAGGTCATACAGGGATATTAGTATTAATTACAGCCTGTTTTGAAACCAGTCAAAAAGTCCTCACAGGAGCTTTAACACCGATTGTAAAACCTGCTTAGCAGTGTTGAAATACAAGACCAGATCGTCTCACGTCAGAGTCCAGCTGTTTTTAAAATGAAACATGTTTTATTCTACCCGATGTTGAACTGAAGCAACATGAGTAAATTTGAGATTTACCGAATCTGAAACATGATATGAAAGTGCTTGGATCAAGAAATTCAGATTTGATCCTCTCCCACCTCCTGCAAAGAGAACAGGGTATCAGGTTGTAGAGGATCAGATTAGGGGTGGTGTTCTGTGTCTCCCTGCTCAGCGGAGGCATGTCTACCCCCTGCAGGAGAGCCTTCGTGTGGTGCATATTAGCGGTCTCATCCATCCACAGCAACCGTTCCTGTGTGTGTATGTGTGTCTTGTGCAAGAGCAAAAAAGCATATGTGTTTAGGGAGCTGAATTAAGAGCGTGTAGAGCATAAGATCTTTTAAGAGAGTCGGTGCTGTTCTTATTGACAAAGCTGTATTCTCTCCGACAACCACAGCAGCAATCTCCGCGCACGCTCATTTATCACAAAGAGCTTATGAAGAGGACGCTGGGTCGACCCACATATGCTTTCGAAGCAAGGCAATATGTTGTAAGTGTGTGTGTGAAGGGTTTAAGGGTGTGTGTGTGTGTGAGCAGGTATGTGGTCGGCAGAGAGCATAAATGAATACTGAGTGTTTTCCGGATGTGTGTGTGTGTGTGATCAGTGTAAGATAAGTGCGGCACATGCAGTAGCCTCATTTTTTGAAAATTTAATTGAAGGGACGTCCGTCTCTCTATGATGAGGATGTTCATCAAAATTAACAAGGCAAATTTTCCTCACAAAGGAGGCTAGTGTGTGTGCGCTTTTCCGGGGGAATTGGTCACATGGCTCTGCCACGTGTGAGCCGAGGAGATGATGACTTCATCCCACATCACATGTATCTGCTTTAGATTTCTTGTTGCTCGTCATCCCCGCAGCTGATTAAGGGCTTCCCCCCCACTGAGCATCAACAACAAGGGGTCAATTCACAAAGTGTCACAAGCACCTGAGGCAAGATATGAGGGATTATGGGTGTGGGGATGCTAATTCATCCAACACGGGGATCATTCTCTACCGGATCATTAAATCTCACTCAGAGCCAGATTGAGTCTAATAGGAGGTGTTTGGCACACTTTGGGTCCGGGTTAAACCTGCAGAACCCAGAATTCACCCCTGCTGGGCTTTCTTTGTGCTGGTGTGCCATACTGCAGCAATGTCAATGTCTGTGAGGGCTGAAATATACCTGTATATCTGTGTGCGTCTAGGGTTGTTTGAGTTCAGGGACATCTGAGGACACGGGCTTCGCATATACTGAATTTAGAAGAATAACAGCGAGCTTTTACATGAACTTCACTGCTTTTTTGCAAATAAATTGTTTAATGTTAAAAAAACGACATAAATTGTGATTTCATTTGAAGGAATTATATGATAGATTAAAATCAGTTCAAATTTTACATGTTTTTTAAATGAAAATCCCATTAAAATTGCATACACAGTCTCATAAAAGATGGGATCCTCTGTTTAGAGATGCACCGATCCATTTTCTTCTGATCCAATCCAATCACAATACCTGGGCTGAGCGTATCAGCTGATATCCGATACCGATCTAATCCTACTGTTGAATGAATGAATTGTATACCTTGCCCTGTGAGTGAAGGCATCAGACTTGACATTAGCCTTGATAAAAAAAAAAGGTAACAAATTAACACAGATATAATTTTACTAATATTATTAATAAACAAATAACAATTGCACATTAGCACACAGCAAAAAGTAGTAAGACTTCCATGTAAACATCAGTGCCAAAGGATAGACAGACATAGAATATAGAGTGAACAAAATCACTGTGTTGCTGTATAGGATATTAATTAAAAGAAAAACAAAAACTGGATCGGAACGCTGGATCAGCATAATTCATCAGATGTCCGATCCAGTTAATTTGTCGATATTGGAGCCGATATCCTATCCAAATATTGGATCGGTGCATCCCTAGCTCTGTTAAAGGCTTGCAAAAACAGAATTTGATGGTTTGCAAATGATTTAAACACCACATTTGATCAAAAAGACAGCACATTAGATGTTAAAATCGGAAATATTCGCTTGCTTTTGAGCTGCACTGGAGGCAGTGGCGTCCATGATTTCCAAAAAGAGTGTCAAACATTCAACATGTCAGACTAAAACACGGTTTTCCACTTTACCTCAGTCTATCCTGGATTATCTTTTCTTTTCAGGATCGTGTTCATTTAAGCCTAACCTGCTTTGTGGATACAAACAGTGGTCATTTTTAGCTCATGCGGTAACTTCCACTACAGAGCCATGTCAGTTTTTAGTGCAGTGCTGCCTGAGAACCTGAGCATCACAGCATCCAGTATTAATTTCTCAGCCTCGTTTATTTTGTTCAGAGTTTTTCCAGATTTTCTGAATCCTTAAATTTTGGACGACAGATGAAAAAATCCACAAATTCTCAGCAACTGTACGACAAGGAACATTATTCTAGGATTGGTAAAGAACTACACAACTTAATGTCACAACTTCTTTGAAAAGCACTGCTGCATCCTATGGAAACTAGTCATATATTTTTTCTGATAACAACAACATTTCTAATTCAAAACTTGATATATATTTTTTATATTTGCACAATTTCCTTTAAGTGTTTCAATGATTTGCAAACCATCAAACTCGGTTTTATCGGCTGTTTTGTATAGAAGCTTTTATTAAAGGAGTATTTCGTTTTTTTTTTCTTGGAGGAACATTATCGTGTCAGTCGAGTCAATAGTGCAAATAAAGGAGAGTCTCTTTGTGTTTCTATTGTAGGGTTTTTATGTGTTTAGGCACCCTCTCCAGAAAGCAACCCGCATTTGTACTCGTATTAAGATCTTTATCTGTCCTGAAAAAGGTCCCAAACCAGATCTAAGTGAAATCTCCTTCCTAGCTATTACAAATATATTTAGAGATTTACTCTTTTCTCTCAGTTATGAGTAAAAAATCATCTGTTTTTGTTCTTTGTAAAAGAAAAGCGTCACGCGGGGAAATGTGAGAATAATACAAAGGTGGTTGGGAGGTGAGAGTGTGGATCACAAGGTAGGGCGTACAGTAACAGGCCATTCCAGGTGGATGACTCGATTAGTGGACTAAAGTGAGTGGAGCACCTCAGTGCACCAGCCTGTGAGCCTCTAACAGGATTATAAGTCATCTGCTGCGGCTCTAACAGCCCTGTGGTTGTGAAGCTGCTCTTTACTCTTTTCTCTCTGATCAGAAAACAATCTCAGAAATCTGACATTAGAAAAGTCTTCAACAGCTCCTCCCTCTTTTCTCTTTCTTTGCCTTTTTATTTGATGACTGTCTGTTTCCCCTGTTTTCATTTGAAGGGTCTTCTTGTGTAGTCCTGATTTTCTGGTTTTTGAAAGCGTCTCTCCAGCTTGTTTTGTTTCTGCCTCCATGCCAGCGTTTTGGATCTGCTGATACATGCTTTTGGCGCCCTCTGCTGTCACTCTCCCTGTAACAGCAGTAGAGAGGGAGATCAGAAAATAAAGAGCACATCCATTCTTGTTGCATCCCCTCTCCCTCTACTCCTCTCTTTATTTTGACTCTCATCTGTCTGCCTTTTATTTTTTACCTTTTCTCCTCTCATGCTTGTGCAGTAGGTTGGTGTTTTCGCCAATTCATTTTTCATTAATCCATCATATTAGAAATGTTAAACTTCACCGTACTGGAAAAAAGTGGATGAATCTGCAGTTTAAAAACATGCATATCCTTTAACTCCTGAGTATTTGACCCTCTTTTCCTGTAACGGTGAAGTTTGGCAGAGCTAAAGGTCGAAATAATCAACATTGAATCTCTGTATGTTTGAAGGAAAATGACACAAATAGCCGCTGTATTTCTCCTGATGCTGATTTGTATCTGTTTTCTCTTTCTCTCTCCTGCTCCTCGCCATTTCTCTCTCCTCTCCCCCTCCATGAAGCTTTCTCTCAAGCTGGTAAGCATGACCGTGTAACCGCACGACCGTAGCGGCATGACCACATCACGCATGTCACATCCTCCCCCCCGTAACACATTTGTCAATAACGACCTGTACGCCGTTACGTTCTCCTTTTTGTTCATTTGGGATTTTGAGTTTGTTGTGATTTAACGTTTTTTTGCTGTGACACAATGACGGACCCCCGACTCGTGTCCTTGTCTCATTCGTGTGTTAATTTATTTTTTGTTTTTGTTTTTATGTCGTGGTTGTGTTCATGTCTCTCCCCCAACTGTGTCTTTGGTCTCTGTGGTGCAGATCACTCTCAATTCCCACGTCCGGAATCTCATTGAGGTGATCCGATTTACTCCATGTTTTATCCGTCTGTCTCGTAGTCTGTCCGGTAGTCCTCCGAAATGTGTGACCTTTAACACGAGTACTAATCTGATCTCATGTAGTGTTCGATCACTGATAACCTTACACTGCATGCCGATGTAATTATGTTTAAAGTGTGTTGTTTTGTGAAGCTGTAAGAGAACTGGATATCTATAAGACAATAAAAGGTCTTAATAGTGAACTATGTAAATGAACGGTTGGATTTTCATACGACTCTCTCATCTGAATACTAAATTTGAAGCTACAGCAAAGACTAGAAAGAGATCAAAACACACCTTAGAGTTAAAAAAAAGTACAATTTTATGAAGTGTTTAAACTCTGGCTGTGAAATTGATAACCAACATGATGTTTTGCAAGACCCACATACTAAAATGAGATTATCAGGAACAAGATTAGATATTTCTTTATGCGGAATTCTTGCGTCCGGGATTGGGTTGGATTTTCCAGGAACATAAGCTCAGATATTTGGCGCTCGCCCAGATGTGTCTATGTTTAGAGCAGCACTGTTAAAATTTGGCAGTAAAAAAGTAGGTTATCAAGCAGAAGGAAGCATCTTTTAAAAGATAATTCTCTTTTTACGAAGTGTTTTGTAGTCGTGGAGCAGCAATGTCAAAAAGGCACAAGTGTTGAGTAACTGTACATTAACTTTATGGCCCAGAGTTAATGTTTATATCAGCGTTTTAATGTTTTACTTTTCTGGGCAACAAAATTGTTGAGAAAAATTGTGTATTTAACTTATTCTGACATTTATGCAGGTACTTTATCAGACGTCATGTCACATGGTCCGTGAGAGATAATGTAAGACTGTTATAAGAGTTTACAAAGTTTGGTCATTGTTGTATTTTAGTGAATTATTTTGAGTGGCTTCAGATCAATACTTGACCTTATGACTCTGCATCCTAAAAAGCTGTTTTAGGCAAAGAAAAGTCGTATTAAAGGATCTGTAGTTCATATATTTTAACTACATATTCATTCAATATTGAAGTAATATTGTATAACAGAGCAGCATTTAAAAAGAGTCTAAGATCATCACTTTCTGCCTCTACTCTTTTCCGAAAACAGGTTTAGAGTTATTGCACTTTGTAGCGCAGGATTATTTGTTGCTTCATTTTTAACATTCAGATGTGAGAGTCCCTTTAAGCAAGAAAGTGAAATCTAAGCTCAGTTAAGAATAAATTATGCCTTTATTTAAATTTTCTCCCATCATTTATTTTTGTAAATCAATACAAATGATTTTCTAAGTTAGTATCCATTCCACATTTACCAATCAGTGTCCTATAGTTTCATCTTAGATGATAGTGTCTCCGTCTGTGTGATGGTAGCATGTGTAATCACTAATATATGACGTCTGTACTGAAATATCTCACTGGGAAAGGAGGAGCATGTCTCTGCATGATGATTTACACTATTTCTGTTATCTTGCATGCCCTGGTAAGTGTTGCGCCATGGTTCAGGGAGACTTCGGGGTAAGGTTGCCATGGAAACCTAGCTGCTGTGTTTGACCTGGCTTTATGTGCAGTGAATCCTGACCTCGAGCCCGTAGCTCCAGCACTTTGATATATATCCTGTGGTGCAGCCGTGACCCAGCTCAATAAGATCCAGTCAGGCCTTCACCTGTTCAGTCCATGCAGAGAGAAAAACCCAAAGAACTCAGTTTGCTCCTTTTGTCCTCTGTTTCACTGGAAAGGACATTAGCATGCTCGATTGAGCTCTAAAGAGTTTAGCCGTTGAATAAGAAATAGTACTTTCACAGCAAGTTACCTACAAAAACTGACCGTCCTTTAAACTTTAGCTGTACTTTGGTGAAGCAGAAATCACGCTGAGAAAGGAAAACATTTTCATTACATTATTTTATTCAATATTTTAACCAAAACAGAGATGCTAGGATGAATAGACTTGTAGTTTTTATTCTAGGGATTCACAAAAATGAGATTTACAATGTGCATAAAAAAGTCAGCGTAAGAAGAGCAAAAACACAAAACCCCAAAACATGAAAAATTATCCCAAACAACAAAAGAATCAAGAAGACGCATTAGGAAACTGAACTGAACCCAGGTTACACAGAAACCGAACTACATAGATAGAGACTGAAGGCCCAGAGGTGAAGAAAGACAACATCACATAGAAGCGAGTTTGTAAAAATGAGTTTGAAGAAGAGGTTTTAAAAAGAACCGACTGATTCTGAGAGCCTTTTTTACTCAAGTTGGTTGTTCCAAATTGGAGGGGTCCTGATAGCAAAGTCCTCGACTTTGGAACAACCAGGAGGCCCCAACCAGTGGATCCGAGGCAGGCTCGTAAAGGGTTAATATTTCTGTAAGGTAGCCAGACACTTAAGTGATGTAAAAGTAATAACTAATAATCTTTATATCAGTTCTAAAACTTAGAGGGAGCCTGTAAGTTATAGCGATAAGCTATAACCAACCTCATCTATAAATCTGCAATTAGGGCTGGGCGATAAACTGAAAATTTACTGATACCGAAATTTATGACAATAACCAACGTCATTTTGCCCATGTCAGTAAATTCATTGTCAAAAAAATAAACAAATAAAAGTTGGTTTTGGATGTGTGTAGGTAGGCTATGGCCTCATGTCCCTTCAAGACGCTGTCCTATGTCAGAGACGTGACTCCACCCTATCCAGTCCGTAACAAAGATGGAGGACGGTTCAAAAGTTGTAGCAGCTGAAGTAGACGAAGTTAATGTGGGAGGGGGTGAGCAGCTTGTGGAGTAGTTATCCTCCATTTATCGCATCGAGGTGAACTGCTCAATATATCATGATATTGATTTGAGGCCGTATCGCCCAGCCCTATCTGCAATTATCAGAAGTTTAAAAATTATGGTACAAAAAGATGGCAGATGCATCTGCACTCCCTCCTATCATGCGTAAGTGAAGCCAAGATAGTCCATGCAATATGGCGCCAGTATTTTTTTTTGCAAGAACCTGCAAAAAAAGCAAATTTAATTTACTATTAAAATGACACAGGTGGAGGTCTAAACTCTCTTGGCTTCACTTTTAGGGCGCGTAAACGTCCGTTAACAGTCTTCTGTGAAAACCAGGAAAACTGAGATTATGAGCCTTCATTTTCTAAAGCAGGAAGGAACAGAGACTCGTGTGTTTTATATTGAGCTCTCCAGACAGACCAGCTGGCAGCTAAGTCTCAGCAGCTTCAGATTTAAAACACAGATACAACGTGTCCACAGAAAGTTTGAAAGACTGCCGAGAAGAATGACTCATCAGCGGGCTCAGACTGGAACCTTCTCATCAGGAAATAAGACACCTGCCCACATCAACAAAGCTCTCACTCTCATCTCAAGTACACAGAGTACAGACGGCTTTAAACCTGTTAGTCAGCTCACACTGAAATACTATATGAGGAATATAATTCAGGTACTTTATTATATTTCTGATTCATTCACACAGAGCAGGAGACTAAAGAGCAGAGACTGAATGGGTGAAGAGCCTCGAGTTTATAGACAGACAAACATCTAAAGTCTCATTGTGTTAGAAAGCAGCTGCAGTATCTTCTTTAAGTGAATTATTGGAGGATATAAAGAGTTCATCAGGGGAGATACTGCACCTAACTAGAAGAGATCCCTATGACACCAGCAGCATGATGAATAATGACGTTTGTTTTTCTTCATCTTACCGTGTCTCTCTTTTCTCCTCCTCTCTGTTTGTGGTCTCAGGGCTCTGGACCTGAGGACTTCAGCCACCTGCCGCCAGAACAGAGGAGGAAGAAGCTGCAGGCCAAGCTGGACGAACTGAACAAAGATATCCAGAAAGAGATGGACCAGAGGTACAGAACTGGACTCTGATTTATGCATGGGTCCTACAGCGCTTAAATTTTCATTTTTACTTTTTATGATGTTTTTCTTTGAGTATCTTTAAATGTTTTATATCTTTTGAATGTAAAATAAACCAAAATTTATTTGATAAACATGTTAATTCAAAACAGTCTGAATGTGGCAACTTAAAGAAATAATTTTGAATACCCAGAAGTTATTAAAAGTTCTTTATAATCGGCATTTAGGAGCTTTCTTAAGTGAAATTCGTGTTTGCTCTCCTTAGGGACGCCTTGACTAAGATGAAAGATGTGTACGTGAAGAACCCTCAGATGGGAGACCCGGCCAGCGTGGACCCCCGGCTATCAGAAATAAGTCAGACCATCGAGAAGCTGCAGTTTGAAGTTCAGAAGTTCGAGGTGAGCGCGCTGACTCTGTCCGTGTGAGTGTTGGTGTTGGCGGAGCTTTTTTGTTTGGTTTACACGAGACGGTAAATAATGAGGAGCTCCAACGCTGGTCTCCAGCTGGGGTAGAAGTCTCGTCCTTATTAGGAGAAGATGTGATGCAGCTGGAACGGCTGACTGTGCATGGAGGAAGGCAGGGAGACATGGGATGATTTACCCAGTTAGACAGTCAGATAAACGACCTTATAGGGCTGGGCGATATGGGAAAAAGTTTAGCACAATATATTTTTTTCATACCAGTCGATATCGATATGTACTCTTAAATGAAATTCAACATGTTCTGGACATAATTTGCAGTGCACATTACTCTGCTTCATGTCCGACCTCTAAAAGATGAAACACCTACGATGTTTTCATGCGAGTGTTGTCAAAGATGTCGTCATCTGTTGAGCCTTCATCTGCATTTCTGCTGGGGGTAGCTCTCATTTTCTTTTTTTCTCACCGTGCTGTCGGCTTCACGTATTAAAGTGCTATGGCTGCGTGTAGCTGCTGCCTGCTACTACGCAGTTGTTTGCTACTTGGTTCTAATTCAGCACGATTGGTTCAGCGCATAGTGGACCTGGAGCGACTCCCTGTTTCATTGCCTATTCGTATAGTTTACCAAAACATGGCAGAATGCCGACTATGGAAAAGCATACTGACCATGTTTCATATCGATATCGAGGGAAATACATTTTCAATATATATCAGTATCGTTTTATCGCCCAGCCCTACAGCCGGAGAAGGAGGACAGTCACCTCCATAAACCCCTGATATTTGGCTCCAAATGTCTACTATCAAGATAACGTGTAAGACCAAAAATGAGAAGTCTGCTCACTCAGACTGTGGTGAAAGAGGCAGAAATGTTCTTTTTGTGAAGGTTTTTTGCCAAATGTGAAGGGCAAGGTCGTCTGATTCACTGATTGAAAAGCATCTCAAGTGTCTGAAATAACTTTGAGTCGTCATTCAAGGCAAAACCGTGTGCACGTGTGTTTCAGGGCTGGTTAGCGGAGGTGGAAGAGCGGATGCCATCGAAGAGCGACACACAGCGCAGAAGTCTCTATGAGACCCAGAACAACACAGCAGTGAGCAACAACTGTGCACAGGACAGAGAGAGGTATGTTAGACCCCGAGGAGGAACAGGAACAGATCAGACCCTAAAGTTCTGACTCTCTGTGTTTCTTCAGATGAAAACTGTGGATGTTTTCACAGTATATATTTACTGTGTGTGTGTTGGCCTTTGAGCAGCCCGGATGGCAGCTACACGGAGGAGCAGAATTCAGAGACTCAGGTGAAAGCCAACATCGCCCCCAACCCCACATCCACCACGCCGGAGTTCGACGACGAGTTCGACGACGAGGAGACTCTGCCCACGATCGGAACCTGCAAAGCCTTGTACCCATTTGAAGGTGAAAAAACAAAAACAAAGATCAGAATAATTCATAATCAATTACTCATTTATTGATGGATTTGCAGCTGTCGGGTTAAGTCTGGAAACACAATGAACTGAGACCTGATGATTCCCCTGTTGGAGGGTGGAGGAGTTTGAATCTTCTGAACAAGGAGGAGTGGGGTTGTGACCTTTGTAAGACAATGTGCAGAGGTGGAGGGCGGATCGGGGGACTGTTTGAAAAATCAAATCTGGTTTTATAGAGCCGATCAAGAGTCCTGTCAGAAGAAATCGATGATAATCTAAATCTGGACACAATAGTCATAAATGATGAATACTGAACATTAAATGGATGAATAATGACACTGTTGGGGGTTTTACAGAGAGCCAGAGTGGGTTTGAACAGTGAAGAGTGATTTAAGAGCTCATCACGGTTATGGGAAATCTTTGAATCAGGGTGATGATGATGGTGAGAGTGGCTGTGATACTGCAGGTACAGCAATACTGAGAAATAGAGAGGGTTTTTTGTTCTTTATTCACTTATTAGAAGCGGCTTTAAAAGCCTGGGAGCAGAATTTGCTCTCAGGTCAAAAAGCACTGAGCTAGAAAATCAAACTTCCTCCTAATTTGCAGGTTGAAAACTTCCTATCCACCGTCCTAATCCTTTTCATCTTTTCTCTCATTTCCCCCCTCTCTCTCTCTCTCTCTCTCTCTCTGCAGGTCATAACGAGGGCACCATCGCGGTGGCGGAGGGCGAGCTGCTGTTCGTCATAGAGGAAGACAAAGGAGACGGCTGGACGCGAGTGCGCAGGAACGAGGACGAGGAGGGATACGTCCCCACGTCCTACGTCGAGGTCTATTTGGAAACAAATGCCAAAGGTGCTATGACATACATTTAACTGAGCAGAGTGTGTTTTAGTCACTGAGTAAGGAGGGTTACCACTGAAAATACACACACTTACCGTCTCCTGTCCTTTGGGGAAACACATTTGTGCGTCGTGCCTCTTGACAGTCGTGGCAGATGGTGTGATTATGTGTCACTGTACTCTTTTTTTTTTTTTATCGCTGAACGGAAATTTCAATCTAGACGGACGTTTTGAAAAAGATGACTGTGAAAAGGAAGCTTCTAGTTCCTCCTCTTTGAATCCCTGCAGTGCCACCTGGTGGTCATTCAAAATAAAACAACACATCCACAGTTACAGCTTAGCATTGTTTAAAAAAATCACACGAACATTTCAAACACACGGTCTGTTTTTTAAAACCTGTTTTTGTGTTTGTTTTTTATATATTTTGTTATTTTAAAACCACTGCTGTGTTCTTTCAATCAATAATTGAATCAATCAAAGTGTTCGGGTCGGTAAATCGAGTGAATGTATTCACATCAAGCAGAAAATCGAATCAGATTAAACCACTTGTACCTAAAATCGAAAGCATGCTTGATGTGCAATCATGAAACTGTATTTAAAATCTGCTGTACAATATGAAAACATATTAAAAAAGGTATTTTTGTAGGTAAAACAAGAAAAAAACAAAAAACGATGCTTTAAAATCCTCAGAGTTGCATGCTGTAGATTAATTGTAGTGCTGCTACTAGAAAAACTTGATTATCCCTTCTTGATTGGATAATAACTGATCAAACTCGTAACCTAAAACCACCTTAAAATGACATTTCTTTTCTTTTTTATCCGCTTTTTTGATAATGAGAGTGTTGGCCCGTTCTGGTCCTTTTTTTTCCAGGCCAGTGGTAAAGGAACACAGGAGTGAGAGTTAGCTGTTCTGAGCTCGATGGTGAGATCGGGGCCGGACTTTCAAGTCTTGTGTTTTTTTTCTGCATGAGGGTCTGGACTGAAAAGCATGGTGTGCCGCTCCACCTGGTAGACTCTCTGTGCTACTTTTTAAGACTGGCATCAACTCAGAAATCATGTCTTTCATAACTCATTACATAAGCCTTTGTGATGGCTTGTTAGCGGCACAGAACAGGGTTGTTAGTGTAGGAGGTCGGAGCTGTAGATAAACTTTTTATGCATCTTGTAGTTTGTTCAAGAGCGGTTAATATCGGGCGCATGAGGCAGCATTTGAGGCATTTTTGCCCCTGATCATGACGTGGTTATTGGCATGTTGTGACGACGTGCAAAAGGCTTAACCCTAACAAGCATTCAAGCCAGATAAAAGTGGAAAAGTTGCAGATTTACAGGCTGCAAACAGATCTTTCAAAGTCACGTGAACATGACGGGTTTCTGGGTCTGTGTACTTGGCCACCAACAGATCACGACCAGTAAGGAATCGGGAGACAAAAAACGGAAACGGAAAGTTTTTTCGTTTTGATCATAAAAATCTGAGAATTCAAAAACAACTCAGTATTTGACTTTCTGTGATGTAACTTTAAACAGAAATGAAGATCAAAATACGTGCATGGAAATCTTGTGTTTGAAGTTTTGTTCACTTTTTTGTTGTGACCTGGAAGTTGTGACTTGGAGCAAGCAAGATATGATTTATTTTCCATGTACATCTGATGTCTTTAATGGGAACGTTGCCCCCTCCAAGATGGCTACCAACCCACCGTGCATTTTTTGGTCTAAAAGAAGTCTAATAGACGTCTAAATGTAGCCTAGATGACTGGTCTAAAATCAGGCTACCACAGGTCTAAAAAAGAAAGTTTTTTAGACAGTCTAAATAAGTCTTAATCTGGGCTATATCTATACTACACTGTATATTGCTCAACAGTGATTATTATTTTGGTTAAGTACTTGGAACTCAGTTATGCAACTCACAGTTGTTTTTTTAAACAAATAGTTATTGAATATTGGGTTAAAGTGCAACGTCTAAATTCAGTCTAAAAATATACAGAATCTTGACAATTAAAATTAGGTTTAAAAGAAAAACCTAATAGCCGTCTATTGCCCAGTGGGAAGGAGGCACGTCATGTATCTTTTCTTCTGTACATATGCCGTATTTTTCGCACTATAAGGCGCACTTCAAATCCTTCTGGCTTTTCAGAGCACTGCAGCTACCGTAGCCTTGCAAAGTTATTGAATGAGTTCAATAAAGTTTGACTTATCTGACTGCTTTGTTTGCGCTTTATAATCTGGTACGCCTTATGTATGAAAATAGATGCGAATAGACGCGTTCATTGATGGTGCGCCGTATGATCAGGTGTGCCTTATAGTGCGAAAAGTTCGGTATATATATCTGTGCTAACAAGAGTCAAAGTCTTGCTCCAAGTTACAACTTCCAGGTCACAACAAAAGAATTTAATGAAACTTAAACACAGATTTACATGAACGTTTTTTGATCCTCGATTTCCATTTAAAGCCACATCACAGAAATTTAAATTCTAAATTTTTATTTTTCATTGTCCGATTTTTATGATCAAAACCGGAAACGGTTTGTCTGACAGCTCGTCTCCTGATTTTCGTTTTTTCATTTGAAAATGAAAATCCGTTGGCCGCCATGTACATGGACCTCTCTGTCCCCCTCCTCTCCATATCTGAATATTTGAGTCTGTCTGTGATCAGATTCTTCTTAAAAGCTGTCTAACTTTTACTTTTTCACTTTTTGTTTGTTTGTTTGTTTTTTTCTTTCCCCCCTCTTTTGACTTGCAGATTCCTAAAAGTGTGAGAGGCTGGCTGAGGAATGGCAGGGCAAGCAGCCTCGGAGAAAACACCACCACGTTCCTCACGCGCTCACAGAGTCAGAGAGAGAAAGTGAAAGAGGACCCCAATCTTTAAAAAAAAAAAGAAAGAAAGATGGCCGATTTGGCGGCATCTCAATTTTTTTCAAAAAAAAAAAAAAAAAAACATGCGAAAAATATCCGGATTGTTGCAACAACAAGAGAAATCCATCTAAATTTAGCGCTCATAACCTGTTTCCATTCTTAACAGCCATGCAGCAGTCACAACCACAGTATTCAATTTGCTTTTTTGTTGTTTACAGCGAAGCTTTTTGCTTTTTAACGGAACTAACTCCGCTTGCACCGCGCTCAGTTTTGACTGCGGCTGTTGGCTTCCTCGCTCTGAACGTGCTCCCTTTGCCACTTCCCATTATCCTTACCTTATTACCCTCCTGCACACACACACACAAACACACACACACACACACACACACACACACACACACACACACACACACACACACTCGGTAAAGGGTGTGGTCAGAGACAGGACGGGGACCAGCAGGAGCCACAAAGCCCACCTTAACACACCTTTCATGCAGCGACGAGAGTGTGTGTGTGTGAGAGAGACATGAACTCTTCCTCCTCCTCTAAAAAAAAAAAAAACTCACCCTTGGCTCTCATCCGCCCACATCTGGAGCTTTCACCCTTTCTCCACTCAAACCCACATTTGCAGGTTTTTCGACCAACTGGATAATGATGAAGGTGCTAAACATCTATCTGTTCGCTACATGTTTCTGCTCCATGTCGTGTGTGTTTCTTTCGTATCTGAATGCCTGTCTGTGTTTGTTTCCCTCTCACACATATCCTGAACCAGCTCGGAGGAAAAGAGATGGATGAAGCACCACTCACCATCACTCATCCTTTAAACTCTTGTCTTGCCGTCTCTGGTGTCTGTTCCTCTCTCTGACCACCTCCCTCCTCCTCCTCCTCCTCACCTTCCCCTCTCCTTAGTCGACTCCTTCTCTCAGCGGGGGTCTCTCAGCGTTGCGGTGTGCTGCATGCTTGCCCTGTCTTCCTCCTCGCCCTCCTCTGCTAACAAACCCAGAGGAGGTGTTGTTCAGGGGGAGGGTGTTTGGTCAGCTTCGTCCAGCTTTTCTGTTTAGTTAACCCTCATTGCCTGGTCTCACTGTTTGAATTAACCTGAATGCTACTGTTTGGGTTCAGTGCCTGTGGTTCATTTGATTTTTCCCTGTCTTAGAAAGCATGTTGATCTTGTTTTTAACAGCGACAAGAGTGCGTGTGTTCCCCAGTTTACTCTCCGAACTGTCAGAAAAGGACGATAGGGACCCTGAAATGTTGTTTTTGTTTATTTTCTGAGCGACTGTTTGCATAGGTAGGTCTTGTGCATTTGTTTTACTGTTGAATACACAGTACAGTATGTATGTAAAAAATGTTAGTATTGTATGTTTTTCATCAGAGTGTCTAACGCAAGTCGTTGTTAGTTTACAGTTTTTATCACCCTGTGGAGACGCCTGCACTCATTTCAAGCAAAAACAGTTCGGCAAAAAAAAAGTAAAACGACTCACTATTTTTCACACGGCGGCCGTTTTTTCTCTGAGATCACGCTCAACAGTGAAAACTAAACTCTTAAAACATAAACCTAGATGGAAATGAGAAATAAAGATAATCAAAAAAGTGTGAAAATTGGTTTAAATATTGATAAGCAGCACAGAGCCAGCCCAAGCCTCAATGGGGCCCTAAGCAAAATTTGATTTTGAGGCCCTCTATTTCTGCCAATGATACTGATTGTTGATCATTCACACTCCACAAATCCCTTTGATTAATATTCCATGACATGCAAACATACCTTTATCTTGGCGTTTTTTTCTCTTCTTCCGCTGTCTTTTCTCTGCTCCTGAAGGACATGTCCTTTTTTGCCAAATTGTTCTGCCTCACAACTACCTGCGCTTTGGATGCTCAGTGCACATTGCACAGCAGAAGGCACATAACGGTAGCGGAGCTTTGACATATCAGCAGTAAGAATCATAGGTCTACATCAGCAGCAGCACTAAAATGTTTTTACTTGATTTAATTTTATTTTTACAGTAATATATATTTGATCATACAGAAAGCATCACTCATACATGCAAAAAAATTAAAAACATTTTATTTATTTAATTATTTTTTGATTGCTCTTGGGGGCCCACCTGTTGGCCGCGGGGCCCTAAGCAGACGCTTAGTTCGCATATGCCTTGGGCCGGCTCTGAAGCAGCACACTTGACATGGAGGAAGTCCAATTTAGCGACCAGCCAATCGTAATGCATCATTAGCGTTTCAACTCCTCCCCTTTGAGCCTGACTTTTTAAAAGAACGGCCGCCATGTGTTTGCAACAACAGTTTTCTCACCTGATGTTGGAAGGATGGTCCACTTCAGCTGTCTACTGTATATGAAAGTATACTGTGATCCACTTGATCCCTGTGAGTTTGTGACTGACCCAGAATCACCCGTCCGGGGTGAAAGGATGAAGATGTGATTGTCTCAAAAGTTTAAGGGGGGGCGAAATCTAAATTTCTGAAGATAGAAATGATGTCCACTGATCCCCTCTCCCCGCTCGACGGCACATAACGTACGTGATTTTAACATTTTTGTTTTATATTTCGATGATAATGATGATGTTGAGTTGACTTTCAGCTTTTCTTTGCTTTTTATTTCCTCGTTTTTTTTAAAGCTGGAAATCCGTGTTGTAGCTTGTTCTGCTTGAAATGCAAATCTGAGTAATGATGACATCTTTGTGGATGAAGCCATTTTTAAATATTCATCTGATGCAGCATTTTATGAATACAGAGGAATACTGATGGACTGTTTGGACTTTTGATGGAAGGATCGATCACACCCCTGTTGAATCAAGCTCATTAGTACCATTTTTGCTTTTTCGTCCCCCGCGGCTCGATACGCTTTCTTTTTTGTTTCGTTCAACACGATAAGGCACAGATCCGCAATTTTCAGACCGCAGATTACTTCAATCCTTCAAGTTTTCTGCAGCGAGACCACCACAAACCTTGGAAGTCGATGCCCCGGATTAACCTGCCTGTACAGAGGAAACCGGCACGTTGGAATTAGAGAGAGTATATATGAATATATAAATAAAGTTTAAAAAGGATTTTAAACATCTATTTTAACTATTGAGAGTCTTACCATTACTTTATCTGCTTTGCAAAGTAAGACTTCTTTTCCTTTGTAAAGGTCTACCAAATGGTGTGTTTTTGCACTTTTTTGTTTGTGTTCCATTTGGTAGCCCATGCTTGTGTTTTTGGAGCACTGAATACTTTGTATTGTGTTTACTGTGCCAATTAAATATGCCTGAAAGTTAATGAGCTGCTATTTGTGTCTTTGTTTTCTTTCTCTCGGGAGTTTCGGCAGAACAGAGAGCCAGGATCCCACAGAATCTATCGTTAGTAACCGCAGGAGTAATTACACGCATTAATTATGTCTTAACAAGGACGCTGAGTGTCTTTAAACCAATCAGATGTAACGATAAAGATCAGGAGTTTAATTAAACACAATCTAACCATCCTGCGTCTCATACATATGCAGTTAAGCAACATGTTCAATATTAGTTAATCTACCAAAAAAAGAGAAGAATAACTCACACTAAACTTTAAAAAAAGACGACTTAGATGCAAAAATGACTTTAATTAAAGCTTTTCTATCGCAACTAATTTGAAACTCTCCTAAGTTTGTAAAACAAAGTTTTGAAGAGCATCCAGGTTACATCTCACTGAAATCCAGGAATTCAATGAGGAAAGATGTGAAGAAAAGACTAAAAGAGGAGACAAGACAATGAACACGATAAAAAAGTCAAGTTTTAACTTTAACAAAGTCTGTTAACCGAGACATTTATTTGATTGATTGATTGATTGATTGATTTTATTGCCAAAGTCCTGCAACACAGCAGCTCTGTTTATAATAAAGAGGACGAGGTATACTAAGGCCTCCAACATACTTTTGATCTCGGTGAAGTCTCATGTGTATAAACCAGTCTTTATATGTTATAAAGGCTGTTTTATATGGTCTCTGGAGTGGTAAACTCAAAAACATAAAAAGGTTTTGATTTGGTGAAGCAGTTCAGACGAAACTAAAGTTTGATAACTAGAAAGACAAAGGACGAAGAAAAGGTATAAAAAGGTCACTAGAAAGACAGAAAAATGGACAAGGGAAAGATCGAGGAATGGGCAATGGAAGGACAGGGAATCAGAAAATGGTAAGAGGAAAAAGGAGCATTGGTGAGAAAGGAAAAGACAGTGGAAATACAGGAAAATGGACAAGAAAAGACAAGGGAAAGGACAGGAAAGAGGAAAATAGAAATGGACAAGGGCAGAAAGAGAAAATGAATAAGTAAAAGGAAGTACAGGAAAGCAATGGAAAGGCAGTGAAAGGAATGAGGAAAAGATAGGGTAGAGACGTGGAAAAGTAAAATGGAAATGGACAAGGGAAAGACAGAAAAATGGACAAGAAAAAGCGAGCAAAAGTCAATAGTAAAGAAAGAAATTGAATGATGGAGAGAAAGGGGAAAGGACAAGGAAAAGAGAGAAAAGGAGAACGGAAAGACAAGGAAATGGATCAAGAAAAATAAATGTTGAAAGTGTGAAGAGAAAGTATGAAATGGTAACGAGATGATAAGCAAAAACACACAAAAAACCCCCAGAAAAAGTCAATGAAGTATCCGTAATTGAAGTTGGAAACAGTTTGTTGATGTAGGTTATCAACTGGTGTGATTGCTGCAGTTCCTCTCTTGGCCATCAGATGGCAGTCACGTTCCATCAAATCTTTCACTTCACTTCCTTAAAGAGATCATCCACTTCTTGCTTTCCTTTATTTTCTCCTCCAGTTTCTCTCTGACAATGCAGCACTTCTTCAGGGACTTCCAGAGGCAGATAATTATGCAAACTTACCCCTCTGCACCCCCAACATACACACATTTACACACACATTTACACATATACACACACTCACAGCCCACTTAGTATTAGAATTCAAACTGCCTTTATTTAAGCCTCCCCTCTGGCATGTTTTATGCATCTTTTCCCCTCAGTGAAAGCTTCTCCTGTCATTTTACTTAACCGACCACTTCACCGTCATTAGATTGCGTTTGGCCGTCAAACAGCGCCGCAGTCACATGTATCGATCTGGCCTGCCGACAGATCTGGGTTGCCAATTGATTCTGGCCCACTGAGCTGCAGCTGTGATCAGTCCCAGTCGCCCCACAGAAATATGCAGGCGCATGCTGTGTAGCAGATGCAGCACTCACCTCCTCCAGCACACTCTCCAACAGCCTAATTGGCCTTTGCTCTCTTGGACCCGACAATCTGTGCTGTTTGTTCTGTGTCTCGGAAACAGCTAAAGAAAATGAATTGCTTGGTGAGTCCTGTGGGACAGAGCCAGTTTCTTCTTTCCATCATGATTCGGAGCTTCTTTTTACTTTGCCGTCTTAATTGGTTGATTTGGCAACAGCAGCTTGCTCATCAATTTGAATTATCCGCAGAAGTGAGCTGAGAACGGCAGAATTTCCTCTGTCTTCACTCGGCTTTTGTTAAATTAAACAAGGGCAGGATGAATATTTTAAGTTACTTGCTGTATTTAAACTTTATGAGGACATTTGCAAACATGTGCAGCATCTTTGAAGTGCTGCAATAAACACCAGAGGGATGAAAGACACAAGCAGACATGAGTTAAAAGGCCTGTCAGAGACAAAACATCACAAGAACAAGCAGATTTTTAATGAAATCAAAGCCGGCCTGACGGAGAGAGTGACTTAGTCCTACACCTGAAGCGGTTTTGGATCGTCATCATCTGTGCTGCAGATTAACAGGTCATCACAAAGAAACAAACAGTCCTTACAAGCATCAAACTTCACTTTGAGGACTGATTAAACCCGCCTCAGACTGATCTCCCATCTGTCTTCAGGACCCAGCACTGCCTGCAGACTCATGAAGACGTGGTTTAGCCGATGACAGATCCTTCACACTTTTGTAGAAAGTCTTTTAAGTGTCTTTCACCTGTTGAGGCGTGTTTGAGATGCTCATTATTTTTATCAAATTGATTTGTTTTCTGGCTTCCAGTTTGAGGATGTCGCTGCACTTGCGAACAGCTGAAATTCATCGTCACATTTTGTTCCCAAAATCGAACCCAGAAAAGACAGAAGTTTTATTTGGCCTTAGACAAAGTTTTAAGTTGTTTCCAGGAGCCTCTTCTTCATTTTTTAATACGTGTACTTGTTTAACTTTTAACAAAGTTTTATTGATTTACTTCTGACATTGTTTTAACTTCCAAATAAAGTTTAGTTTCCATTAAGATGTCTGTACAGACTCTCCGTCCTTCACGGTTGGTTATCCAAAGCTAGATCCAAAAGGCAACCGGGCTTCGTCAAGGTTCTTGAAGAAGTTTTTTTCTGCTACTGCAACATCCTCCTTCAGTTCTAAGAAAACTGACCAGGAGCACAGATAGAGAATAAGGAACGAAGGAGGAACAACAACATTGCAGTATACCCAAAGATGGAAACTTCCTAAAACACCCAGAAACAAAGTGTTTTTTGCCGTACAGTGCAATGAAGAATGAGGGAACTTGCATATTTGAAAACAACCAACATAGAAAAGTCAAAACCTTTGGACAGGACTCAGGTGTTCATTTACATCTAAACGGTTGAAGTCAGGAAAGTTTGAAGACAGAACGCTTGTTTGAGAGCGGTGTGAAAGACGCTGTCTGTGTCAAGATGGAAAAACCCTTCCTCAACAGAGGTGACGACTCCGGACACTAATCATCTCCCACATACACTTCCACTGAGGGCCATGTCATACAGCAAAATGTAAGTCCAACAACCAAGGGAAGACACACCCCCAGGTCAAACCAGGCCAGGTCTCCGTCGACAGCTCTCACCTAAGTCCCAAACACCTAAGTACTCATGGTCTACGTAACATCTAAGTCCAATCTCCTTTTTGGTCACTGAAGTAACTTCACAAATAAAGTCTCAACGGCACCACCCATCGGCTTTGTAGGGGGAGGTCTGACGCTAATCGATGGCGGCCGCCTCATCAGAAATTAGTTCCACTTAACTGAAAGTCTGATGTCCGAGTCGACCGCGTTCAAGTTAAAAAGTTTAAAACAAAGTTGTAAAGTTTGCCACGAGCTAGCATCATAAAATTATGACATGCCAACAGATAGAACTTGGACTTTGTTTTTAAAAGTGACAGAGTTGCTCAAACATCCTCTACATCAGTGGTTCTCAACTGGTGGGTCCTGACCCAAAAGTGGGTCGTGGACACGTTCTGGATGGGTCACGAACAGCTGGTCAAAAAGTTAATATTTAATGCGATATTTATTAGATGTTCAATATTTCTGTATATGCAACTTCAGTAGTTGTCCTCATGTTGTCCCCTTCATGTGCTCTGAAATGCCCTTTACTCAATAAAACAAGTGGATTAATGTTAAAGATGAGAGTCTTTAAAGGTTTTTTGTTTTATAAAAATATAATTTGCTTGGTTTGAATTCTAGTAAAGTGGGTCGTGACTTAAGGACCATGAGAAAATGTGGGTCCCAGAGTGAGACCAGTTGAGAACCACTTCTCTACATGTTTATTTCTGCTTCAAAAACAGACATTAAAACACGAATGCTAATGTGCTATTGCTTTAAGTTACGTCCTTTTTATTTAGCAGTCATTATCTCCAGATGGCTCTTTGATACTGTCAGGGCCGGTGCTGAAGTATCACGTCTTAAGCTGTCATCGTGGCACAAATCAGTTAAAGTGAATAAACAGGAGTTATTAAAGATGGATCTAATGATGGGAAAGTGACGAGTCTTATAATTTGCTCATTCATTCTCAATTTTTTCTTTTTTTTCTGCCAATTCTTCTTTTTTTTCTTTCTGCAAATCCAGCTGTGTTGATTTTAGTCCAAATTATGTGTTGTTCATATTTTTCTGAAATCACTGCCTGATGAATCCGCTCACAGTGTCTCTGTTGATTTATCAGGTTGATATCGAGCTTCATGGGACTTCTTAGCGTGACCTCCTCAGATGGCCAACAGATAACCTGGGTGAGTTGCTTCACTGTGAAGCTTTCAGGGAGACAGTATTGATTACTGACATCCTTTATCTAACATGGTTACTCAAGTCCGACAGAACAGATCCTGCACAGCAAAGGCCTCTAAATGTTGAATAAATGTAGCTGTTTTGTGGTCCATTAAAGTTGATCCATCTGTAGTCTAGACTTTAATAATCATTCATCGTTGGGGCATTTTGTATGGACATTAATGGCCCCCAGAAACAATTAAGTGAGTAAAAGCACAGAAAAACTACTTCTCAAAAGTTCCTGCCTTACCCCCAATTTCCACCTCATCCAGAACGGCTACGAA